GCGACCGACCACCGACCGCACCGCATTCCTATAAATTATATACACAGTGTGACTCTGCAGGGCGCCGCATTGTCCGACGAGCGTTTATTACATATAATATATGTTAGGTACGAATAATAAACGATGTAAGTGCGCGCATTTGCTATACAGTCACCCTCGTGACATTCATGAATGTGCATACAGGACGGTTGACCGAGCACGCTCTCAACACTCGAGCGAAGGATTTATTTGAATTCTGATTTTCCGAGTTTTCGTGTATGGATAATTCATTTGCAGTGCGACCCTTCCCCCCCCCCACATTAGATAGGATCAATTGTTTAGATTTTTATACCATTCGAGCAGTTTTCTCGGACGGTTTTCGCAACATTTTATAGAATGTCGATGGATTAATTATTGATATTCGTTACCTACTATAAAATACATTCGAATCAACAAAGTCCTGTGATAGCCATCGTGGGCCCGTTATTGACCTCGGAACACAAATCACGTTACACAATGTTAAATAGCTCAAAAACTCTACTACCTAGTGAGAATTTCAATTATTTAGATATAGGTGTACCTACTTCGACATATTTTGCATCTGATTATAACAATTTACTATAAAAACGTGGGAACCTCACTGGAAAAAAAAACTTGTTACAGAGACACTTTTAAAATTAAACAAAAATCTTATCATCTTAGACCATGGTCCTCGAGTGCCTAGGTACAAGCAGCTATAAAATTTCAAAAATCATATTTTGAATAAATTCATCGTTGAATACCGTAAAAACGGGGGTGAGCAATGAGCCTTCGCGGTGAATCCACCGCCCCCCTGTATATCATCATAGCAATAATTATAATACGTATGATATTAAACGTTATTATTAAAATTATTATTACATACGCGAACGCAAGATAAATATACACTATATAGTCTTGTGAAATATTGTATTAAATATTTACGCTTGGCGTACTGCTGTTGAGCGTGTACGTCGCTGTTGGCATGGCGAGGAAAAGTGGCCCCGGAGTGAAACCGTGAGTTTCCCGGTGCAGAATTTCCCGCAGCGGTATTGTACTCTACTACCATACAATGTCAAGGAAAACGACGACGACGACAACTATATACAACAATAATAATAATAATAATGATTGCCTTTTGTCACGATGACAAACGCGTTTTTGACACCTGTATAATATTATAATGTATATATAGGTTGCAAGGATCGCGCGCATGCAACGGTTGAAATAAAAACTAACGTTTTTCATTTAATATTTATTTAATTTTTGTATAAAATGATAAAGGTTTTCGGAAAGTTTCTGCAATATTTTCGTTTGATATTTGTTTGTGTAGACTTTTGACAAAATGAGGCCGAATATGAGTGTAATAATCGATTGACTGCGCGTTGCAGCTGTAAATAAATTTAACCAAAATATACCCATCACCCGTTAAGAACTAATCTTTTTAAAAGCGTGTCTATAACCGATGCAATATGACGCTGTAATCATTTTTCAAAAACAGTAGTCGGAAAAAATGTCATTGATCAGGGTGGCGAGAACTTTCAGGATATATATTTTATATCTGTAGTACTTCCACCTACCTATATATTACACATTTATGCCTACACATTCCGACCCTCATCGAGCGCGTTTACCTATGTAGGCGCAAACGTTAATTTTTCCACCCTACTTAACTATATCCAGCATCCTGCACCACTGATGTCCCTTATAAAGTTATCCTCGGACAAATTAATGTTTTCAATACCGCTCCTCTACACATACGGAGACGTTTCTAAGAGGTGGCAGGCAGGACCTGATTTACTGATTCATAGGCCCAGAAGAATTTACAATTTTGGGCCCCAAATTGTCCTACTCTATGTTATTTAATGCTAACGAAAAATGTTGCTAAATTTTCGGGGAAACCTCATTACATCTTTAATAGAAACTAATAGTAAAGTAAAATTAAAATATTTTTTATTTTCCCAAAGTATGGTAAAAAGGTTTATATCTATAATTTTTATCCCTGTCGCCTGAAGTCGGTATTCCCCACTTTTGAGTAGGCCCAGTGCAAAAGTCCCATTTATCCTTACATAAATATAATGGCGCCGGTGGCAGGAAAATGTTTAAATATGTGTGGGGGTGCTAAATATTATTGCTCTGAGGTGCCAATGAAAGTTAGCGCGGCACTGTATCTATGTACAGCTGCAATTGACAGCCACCTTTCGAGTCTGTCCGTACTCACTTGACTTTTTTTTTTGCAGATACTTTTAGCATATCACCGCATCTTCGTCACCGCCGTCACTGTCAGCGCATACAACAGCAACAGATATGACGAAGAATCGCTCGGTGGCTGTGCTGACGGCCGCGATATTGATCAGCTGGACTGTCGTCAGGCCGGCGCTGTCCTGCCGCATATCCGAATTCATGTGCAAGTCGACCGGCGGGTGTGTTCAGTTGGACGAGTACTGTGACGGAAAGTACGACTGTCCCGACAGGTCGGACGAACCGCCGTCCTGCACTGGTATGTATTATACGCGATAACACTCATCGTTATAATATAATATATTGCAGACGAGTTATGTAACCCGTCCGGTTCATCTTGGCACTTAGCTTGACAGTTACTATTTTTCTATCAAGTTCCGAATCTATGTTGTATTGAAATGTTTTTAAGTTTTTGGACTACTGTTTTTTTTTTTTTTTTAATCGTTTAACGGATGCCTAGATGAACTGGAGGACGGGGTATACCTACAAATGCGAATTTAAAATTAATCTATGTATTTTACGTTTTTAATACTTATGGCCTTCGCCAAAATAATAATATTATTACAGTTATGTGTATAAGAACTGTATTTTTATTTGACTTCACTCCCTTGTAGTTACCTCTCCGTATGCAGCTGTAGGCCTTCTATAAGTTCCCACTGTTTGACTTTTCATAAGGACAGACATACGTATTACGTGTAATACACATATCGGATATGACAACGACGATGACGACGAACCCAAATTAACGAGAGAGTTCACTAGCCGGAGGGCGCACACACATATAATTATGTATAAATGCCAAAAAGCTAAACAAACTACAGCACACATTGAGACGTTCTAATTGGGGGTAAAGTATAGAGAAAGGGAGCTGGTCCGAAAGACCGAAACGTACAATAACAATTAAAAATGATTAATTATCATATTATCTTCGCAAACAATAACGTGTAATACAGTATACTACTCTATATATTATATTCCATATTATACAATATTCTCATCGGACCGATCAAAGCGCATATAGGATTATGAGGAAGTAGAAGGATCAAGGAGATACATATTACATTGTATGGTCATATGTAACTATATAGATCGTGAAATATATTATACTATAGGTAATAGGTACATATGGTATCGAGGTGCGACGAGTGTTCAGAATCCATACATACGTACGACTACAGTTATTTCTCACATTTTTTCGTGTCTTACCATTTAATAAAAAATTTGGAATTCAATTATGATTGATAAAATAACTATTGCTTATAATATTAAGTAAGAATAGTCGATATAAGCGAATCTGATGCTCATACATTTATTGTACACTCGCCCCCTTTATTGCAACGAGTGTCGCTCTGTATAATACTCGCACTTCTACACGGGACACGGAAGACTTCAGATCCATGAAATTCGACCCTCCTTCAAAAAAGCAAACTAAGTATAGGTAGGGCGTAACGTATAATATAATAATAATAATATGTATGAACGGGAGGCCACTCGGCCGCACGTACGGTGTATAAACGCAATGCTCGACGAAACGAATGCGTACGTGCCGCTTTCTGAGGAGCAGGCTATAAAAATATGCGGTTTTCTATATAGACTCTCAAATTTACCCTCCGAGTAGATATATATGTAAGTATTATCATTTTTTTTTAATACGCGTATACACAACGATCGTGCCGACGGCTCGACGTATAGTTATCGAATGAAAAATAAAAAAGCTCGTAGTCGGTACACACCATAATATTATGTCGTCATCGGTTTTCCACTATAAATAAATTTATTCCCGACGAATATATTGTATAGGTAGAGAGGTACATACCTTTATTTATAATTTGCACGTTCGCGGACAATACGGACGTAATTGTACGATCATCATCGCAACCCACCCATGAACAATTATGTAGGTAAACGCGTCGCTGGAAAGGCAAACGAAGTTGCGTCGTTATTATTCTCGGGTCCTACAACTGCAGTGCACACTCATTTATACAACGTTATATATTATAAAGTAGTGTATGGTTTTTAAAAGCGTAGCAATCCCAACTGAAAAAAAAATGTTTCCCAATAAATTAAAATCTATTTAAGCTCCACGACGCCTCGATATAGTTCACTTGTGGTTAGAAATTTCGATTCGCCTGAATTCTGTATATTCTTAATTAATGTAAATATTTAATCGCCTGCATATATTATATTATTTTATAACAATATGTCACCCCGTCAATGTCGGCAATCAGTGTCGTTTTCAGTAATGACAGTCATTATTGACAATGGTCAATTTTTTGCTAATTCGGTTATAGATAATGCTCAGACGACAGACACTGCCAAGACGACAATACATCAAATTACTAATTGTAATAGTCAAAGTGGGTAGTAATAATAATAATATTTTATTTACTAGATTTATTAAAATATTATTTAAATCACTAAAGAATACTTAAATCTACAAAAACATGCGTTTACAATATACATATTATATTGAGTTATTAAAATTGTTTACTTATTAGTTGTATTGCTAATACTATAAAAACATATTATTTTCGAAAGTCAAATTGCAAATGATTCTGAACGCAGACGTATCCCCTTTCCTAATGATATTTTCGAAAAAAAAATAAATGTTTAGCGTGCATTAATTCCTACGACTGTTCTATATTGAAACTACATTATCTTTATCCGTTATTTGTTTACAAAAATGATTTTTGTAATGATTCTCGCATGAACATACCCCCTCCCTCAACCCAAAAATCGATATTTTAACCATAAAAGTAATAACTAACAATATGATCGATAAACTGATCATCATTGATCACCTTGGGGATATCCGATGTATGTCATTGTCTAAACTTATCCGCCAATTACGGAAATATAGACCGATTACCTGCAACAACGGCTGGACCGCGGTGTCACCCGGCATTACCCACGTCGTCTGGTCTAGTCATTACCTACCCATATTGTCGACATTTCCTTCATTTAAGGTAACATAATATTATAGACGTACAACATACCTTTATACCCAGCTACGTACAATACTATCGGTAGCGATTAAATAATAATATATATACCGATAGTGTTGATGAAAAGATGTACGTTTTCACGTGAAACCTGTGAACTCTTCTTAACATGTGTGAACAAAACGGTTTTACGGCGTATACCATTTAGGTACACGAGTACATTGATGAAATATAAAATACATTACGTGTGGACGAGTACGCGTCGCACAGATAAACATTATATTATGTATAAACCAGAGTATAAGTTATATTATAGACGTCAGCACAACCCTCTGCAGAGACGACTGCTTCAATTCTTAATTCGTGTACGACGGGTCTGACACGCGTCGTATTAATATTTGAAAATCCGTCCGCCGGCGGGAGGAGTATTTTTTTTTCGGGGAGGGGAGGCCGGGGGAACGAACTTTTAACCGACCAAAAAGAATAAAACGCGGATTGGAGTTTTTTTTCGTTGATAAAAAGTGCTCTCCAGATTACTGCGAAGGCTTTGTGGCTGAGTGCCTGAGTGTAAAGTTAACACCCATCAATCTTATTTCCTGCGTCCACGCACTCCGTCGCCCCCGCACCCATTCATCCCTTATATCCCTCCTGCAATAAGTACAATGTACAACACAAACACACAACACACATTTATATGTCATATACGTAGAAAAAAAACGCAGAAAAGTACGCGCCAGTATATTATATATAAATAATAATAAGGGTATATGTGTGTGTGTGTGTGTGTGTGTGTGTGTGTGTGTGTGTGTGTGTGTGTGCATGTGACTGGCGCCTCTCATCCTAATTAGTCGCTGTTGACTCCTACCCCCTTCGCCCACAAAGTCATTAAAATACACACATTCCGCATATGTATATACAATATAACGCATCCAGCATTCCAACTCACTCATCGTGCCTCCGACCCTCTCTTTTCTGTTTAGTTCTTATTCTTTCCAACGCAACAAATATATACGTCGGTTGGAATCAGATTTTCTTTAGTAGTCCTGACTCCTGACAATATAATTAATGTTTATTTTTTTGTTTGTCTCGCCTAATTGGTACTATAACATGCATATTGTACAATAATTGCGATAAAAAAAATAATATTCTACACATGTATGTACAAAGTAGTTTTTTTTATTTTTTAACGCAAAGCACTCGTTTTTTCAGTCAATTTTTGAAAATTGTTTCATTTAATTCAAAGTACACTTATCGCACTACATCATAATAACATGTTAATGTTAGCGAAAAAAATCAAATTATGCACAGTTTTTGATATTCGAGTGTTAGTTTACATAGGTATTATAATGTATATTTTTTAAATAGCATCCTTATTTTTAATTTAATATTCTGGAGCTTTACTTTTTTTGAACGTTTAAATATATTTATCGAATTTATTGTGAAACGATGTTTTATTATTTAGAGGGATTTTAAGCATAATAATAATACAATTCACAAGTGGCAATGTGGCATTTTAATGGCTACGTCATGAATCTCTAAATAGGTACTTCTAAATAATAATAACTATAGACTATATTATAGTCTATATTAATTTAATATTTGATTTTTAAACATCATCATGTTCGGGAGAATATTCTTCAATAATCATTAAATCAAGAATAATATTTATCATTCAAAAAGTATAAAACCAAAAAAAAAATCACACTCAACTATAAACTTTTATCATTATTACTTAATTTATATAAATTGTACGATAACACTAATTCGAGTTTTTTTTTTGTTGACTTTATCTAAAAATTACTCAGTTATTTAAATACAAAAATAAACTAAAAAAACAAATCCCTAGGGTTGGAAAAAAATTACCTACTCTGCAGTACATAAATTATTTACTCTGTACCCGCTAATTATTATTAAAAGCACCTATACCGGGCGAGTATCCTCACGTAAAATACCCATTTCGCTGAGGTTTTTCAAAACATTTGTTCACATAATTTAAAAAACCAACAAAATATATTATTTTCACTATTTTTAATCGTTATCATTTAAGTTTTTAAAGTTTTCTACTCTTTCGTTACACACGTTTTTAATTTCACACTCCAAAGCTGCAGAATATTTTTCGAAGTCGATACACAAAAAGTCTTATTTCAAACGAGCATAATATAGTTAATGAGTTTAAAGTATTTAAAGTTTAGACGGGCGGATTAGCGTGGACCAAACATTGCGCTTGAAAACCTAGCTATCTGTGCCACTCCAATTATCTAAACTTTAAAATTGTTCGGAGTGCCTTACGTCGGAGTAATCGCCCGATATATGTGTATAAGTGTACACTTTGTGCGCTCAGATTATGTAAAAAATGTTAATGGATTCTAACGTTCACTGTCTATATTATATTACAGCGTGCAATAGGACTTATTACGGCGAAGTGGGAAAATCGTATAGGCTGACTGTGAAGAAACTGCAAAAGGAAAGACCATTCCTGTGTCACTTGAGTTTCACTGCGAGCGGACAAGAACACGGAGACTTTGTGGAAGTGAGTTTATTATTCAATATAATAATACCTATACATTATACTACCGCATATTATTATCGTCATTATTATATTATACGAGTACGCGGATCTATGTATACATTATTCGAAAAACTACTTCATGACGTGGTCCTTTTTACTCATTCATTGAACATTTTTTCCCTCTTTAAATTATAACGCGTTTCGAGTAGTTTTCACGAGGCTCAATATTATACAATAATAATAATAATAAGGACACCGCAGGAATCATTTTTTTCGTGTAAAAATTTAGCTCTGTATTCATTCGTAAGAAACGTCAACTGAAGTATTCGTTTTATAGTTATTTAAAGAAAAAAAAACGTTATATTTGGTTTATAATATAATGATCGTAGACTCTGTATAATATTAGTATTACGCGTGCGAATTCTCGACTCGAGAAAACATTTTTTCAAATTTTACTTTTAAACTATTACGTCTGTCACGGTGTTATAAAATATCACGATTCTAGGCGATTTTTATTTTATTATTGTTGTTTGATATTTCAAATGCACGTCTAATGTTTAAGAGACATTTAAAAAAGAAAAAAAACATTGGGTATTTGAAAATAGATTATGTGTTTTAATGTTTCTAAGTCATAAGAATATCTTTTATTATCTTGTAAATAAATCCATAAATAAATTCATCATTTAATTTTTTTTTTATATATACTATACAGAAATATATTTTGTAGTTATTATTGAAAAGAGACAGTTATAAGGTACAATCATTATCGGTTAATTTCGTACACTCCGTTAAAATATACCATCTATATCTGTGCGACTATGTCGTGTGTATATTATTTTAATATTTGATACATTACTATTGTGGATATCGTATTATTATCTCACAAGATCTTACCTACTGCTTAGATGTTTTCAAACACACGTTGACCTATCGAAAAGTTCGCAGAACTATAATTTAGGTACCTACCCTTTAAAATAGACAGTAGGTACAGAATGCGGTATGTATATAATGTATACTACATAATATATATCAAATAAAAGATAGTATACATTTGCATCTAGAAATAAAATATAGCACCACCAAGCCCCACATAATTTGAGCTTTTCTCTCTCTCTCTCTCTCTCTCTCTCTCTCTCTCTCTCTCGGTAAATTGTTTAATGCTAATTGTCTTGTCATGTTTAAAACATTATCGTGCGGCGTATAACTGTAATATAGAAACGAAAAAGGACAAATATAAAATGTTTAAATGTAAGTAGCATAAAGTTTTCCACGCACAAGGGTTTCGGGTTTTTATGCTCTGGTTTATACATACAATAAATTATTCATGAGAATTCTTTTTGCGGCGTAACTTTCATTGTCTGTGGAGAATACTCGCCGCAGTTCTTTCTCAGCAACGTATATCCGCTCGTTGTATACAAACAGGTCGGAATCGTAAAACGCGTGTATGCGTGTGTAAATCATGTCATCCCAAAACTATTGCACTGTGGCCGGTGTTGTGTGTGTGTGTGTGTGTGTGTGTGTGAGTGCGCAAATATATTTGGGCACTTGCAGAGCAACAACGGTTTGAGATTTACGGACGCACAATGACAAATGTCGGGGTAAATCACCTAAAATACAGAAATGTGTCAATGATTCAGTATAAATTATTAATACAGTCACAGTTAACCATATAATATTAAAATATTATTTTAAAGTGCCATTCGTTATCTACGAAATAAAAATATTATTATCTACGCCAATATAATTGCTATACACGTCGCGCCGTAAACTGCCCGCGTTATATTTTATAAGAGTTTAATTTATGTAATTAGTACCTACCTATTTACTAACTACGGCAATTGAAATAAAAAGCCAATTTTGAATAATACATTTATCATATTGTATACATAGGTATGGGTATAGTGTTTAATCTAGTGGCCCCCTGTTTGACCTAACCTGGTATAATCTAACCTATATACCTGGCTGAGTTCTTCAATGGAGCAAAATCGTTTTGATGATTTGGCAATACTAAACGTTGAAAAGGATTTACTAAAGAACTTAAATATAGAAAAAATTCTTGATGAGTTTGCAAAAGTCGAGAAAATTAAAATTGTAAAATGTCATTTGTATGGCAATATTTTAAAATTAATGACAAAATACTAAGTAAAATAGTGTATGTTTAAAAAAAAAATTGTATATCCTTTTTTTGTTAGTATAGGTAATAACTAAAAGTAAGAACTTTGTAATTTTCATAGGGGTTTAGCCCCCCTCCCCTGTTTTACAACCTTAAATACGCCCCTGGATATACGACCAGTATTGTTTACAGCAGGCGTAGCCAACCCAATGGTCTTGCGGGCCACTTTGGGAGTAGATTATACGATCCCGTGGGCCACATATTTTTTTTATTATAAAATAGAAATATACAAATAATACAATAATGAGACTTATTCCGCTTTGTGCGGGCATTCCAGAATATTCTAATGGCACAAAAATACATTTTTTTTGTAAATGTTTAATAAATCTCGCGAGCCGCAAAACTTTCCAAGGCGGGCCGTGGTTTGGCCATCTCTGGTTTAAAAGTTATACAAGGAATATGATCGTCGGATTTGGACATATCTACTGCAGGTCATGAACGATCTATATAGGTATACATTATAATATTTGTTTTTCACGTACATCATTTTATTTACTCGTCCAACGGACGGGTTTGAGATGTAAAGGTACGTTAGAACCTAATTTTAGTACCTACCTATATACCTATATAGGTTGACCTAGTTAACGTTTTATTTGTTCAGGCGTTGAATGTTGATCTATTATTTAATACTTTGCTATACGATATAAAATATGTACTACAACCAAGGGCGTGTGAGGGAATTTGTCGAGGGAAGGGCAAATTTTCATTTTTTAATTTGTTTTTCACTTTTTGGCTGTTGATAAAGTATATTTTGTGACATGTTTTCTCTTACATGGGTAGGGAATGTACAAATTATTTATGAATTATGCAGTTTGTTAAAACTTAATTTTAATCAAATCATTTTAATTAATTAAAATGCAACATTCAATAAAAAAATTCATTTTTTTTATAAAAAATATTTCACCATTGATTTGACAGTTTTTAGCTATTCATAAAATAAAAAAAGTACCAGGGCGCCTAGATGTTAAAGTAAAAACTACCAAATTCTTTTAATATTTTGAGAACTATTACCTACGTCTAATAACATTAAATGTAATTATCAATCGCTAGATCGTTGATGGGTATAATTTACAAAACAAACTATTAAACTAATCAGTAATCACCAGTTATAAAAAAAACCAGAAAACAACCAAAAAGATTAGATAATCGGTTAATGCCAGTCGGTTCCTGTTATTTAATATTTATAATTATATCTGCAGTTAACAGCAGCCAGCAACTTTATCATAAAATAATAATTTTTAAAACAAGAAATGTGAAGAAAACCAATTTGTGTTATTTTATATTGCATAACGATTATGATAATCGACCAAGAAAAAAAAACCAAGGGAGGAGCAACTGCCCTTGCTCGACTCCCCTTCCCCACTCTGCGGACGCCTTTGACTACACCTACTTAAACCCTGCCTACTTGATAATGTCATTATTTTTTTTTTTTTTATCGACTCGTTTCTTATTACACTATTGATCGGATTATCTTTTACGCCAAAAACAATAGCTGTGCCCCCCAATCTGGTTACACGAGAAATCATCGCCAGCGCTGTGACCAAAAACAAAACAATACGCGTGTATGCGATCGGCATTTTCGACTGGATCTAATAATCAATGTATACAGGAAGTCTCCTGTACACATTACACGCGCATAATACAATGGAAAAGCCCCGGAGGACTTTTCGCAGCACCTGGGGACACGTTGGGGTCAATCGCTCGATAGAGTCGTTGTATAATATATAATATATATAATGCGAAGCGCTACCACTGCACGCTGCGCTCAAATCGAAAACACATCCTGTCCCACTTGTTACGAAAGCCTATGCCCGAAAAGAGTATACATATAACAGCTGTATACGGTAAAAAAAAACACACACACACACACATTTTGTTACGCTTAAATCTCGTCGTGTTATGAGATACAGTGGGAGAAAAATTCAATATAAAATAATACGCGGTGGGACTTGCAAAGTATCCGTGTACGAAATAGTCGTCTTAAACAATAAAAACAAAAGCAGAAAAACGTTAAATTCTTATCTAAAACGAATGTTATCTCGTTCGATGCGCTATTAAATAAAGCTCATCGACGATAAGGTCTGAAACGATATAGGTAATTCCCAAGCGGATATATTGCACTTATTACATAGGTATCTCGTGTATGTAATATATATTGGTAAATAGGTCATAACTCAATGGCTGCTGTTATTGTCGCAATTGCCCATATTTTACAATCTACATGTGACCTATATATCGAGTTCAGTGGTTGCCAAGGTTGCACCCTATGCCTCCGTTAATTTACCGGGTAGAAAGAGTTCTATTGCAGCTCTTCTTTAATTCTAAAATCAACCGCAGAAAGAGGTTTTATATTTTATTTTATCAGAGGTAATTTTTTTATTGATCTATTATTTACGAAAAAAAATAATAAATTTTATTCTTATTTAAATGTTATGCGGGGAAACTTATACCGACATCTGATAACCTAGTATATATCTGAACTTTAACCTAAACTTCGATTAATTAATTTAGAAAAACGATTTATGACAAATTTAAAAATATTTATTGATTCTTATATAACCTTACTTCAAGTTCCAATTATTTATTATATTGTCTTATTTATTTAAAAACAATACTTAAATTTTTTAAAAGGTATATTTTTGAGTTTTATATGTTATGATACTACACCTATACGTACATCAACATGTATATTTTATTTTTACTGTGGTGAATATTTAAGTACCTTATGATCTTTTTCAAACTATAATTATAAAATTAAAAATCAGCTATTATGATTATACTTTTATTATGATTAAAAATCATAATATTTATTTATGACTTTCTGAACAAAGCAATATTTGAAATTTAAGACCCGGTGATTTTTATTTTAATACGAAGACAGGAACGACGGTATATTTATAAGTAAAAATATAATGTTTGGATAAAATGATTTTATTCAATAGACAATCTATACCTAAATATTTTATAAGATTATTTTTATGAAATTTTGAGCAAGTACTGAAAATTTCACATAAATTTACTTATATTTCTTTTTTCTTTTTTATTCATGGTTAAGCGTTAACAACTAAGGTTATTAGCTTAAAACGATATAAACATTAGTTATATAACAATATAAATCCATAGGATTACTAGATTGCGACATATCAATATATTTGAGAAAAGAAAATACATTATTCTACAGCTGTTGTCTTCATTACTTATATTGTGTTGCTCTTGTCTGTCATTTACATATTCGATACGACATTGTACATAATATGTATAATGTATATGTATATAATACTTTGTATTAAATTATTAAAGCAAACATTTAATCATTATTTTTTAATTTTTTAAACATAAAAGAACACCTCGTGCGTTGTCGTATGATTTCGAATATTAATACCTATTGGTAACGACGTATAAATTAGGGTGCGAAGGGAGCAAAGCAAGAACTTAATAGTTCTTGACTTCATGAAACGTATGTCTTTAGTTCGCGACACTCGGTGAGACAGATTATATAATATATTATAACGGCCATCTAGTCCTCATGCATTTTTATATGATATTATAGTTTTATTATTTTAACACAGTGTAACATAATATACAATTTACTCAGTACATGATTGAGTTGTGCTTGAGTAGTTGTGGACCAATATTCTGCATTGGGATTACGATTGAATTCCCGCGGGGGTTTATGAGTTTTATACGTGAGTTTTAGACTTTTAGTTATATATTGAAGCAGTAAAGTTCAAGTATTTTACTCCTATTTCGCTATTTTCCTCGAAATCAAATGCTCCACTGCAGGACGATGTGGTCGACGTTATATTAAACGTACATTCCGTTCCATATTCGCATAAACCTCTTTCGGTATTTAATAATAATATAATATACCTACCAAATATAATCATCTCGGTACTGGACAAATTATCTAGTCGAGTTGAACTTTACAGGCAAGTTTAAAATTAACCGTGTTTCAAAATGATTTTGAAACCCTGTGAGTACCTAAATACTTAATATTAATCGTTTTATGTGTACTTACATGCAGATTTGACTGCTTAATATTGAATTGCTACGCACGCGTTCATTTTCGATGTTTCTTTTACCTTAAAAAAATTAATAACATTAACATAATATCATCAACTAATTATTTACAAAAATAATAATAATTAATAATAAGTACCTATAACCACAGTTTTTTTTTTTTTTTGTTTTATAAGTATTGTAAGATGTTATACAATATTTAATATATAAAATATTAAATAATGAAACTAGTCAATGTTTATATTGCATTTTATTTCTCACATTATTTTATTGATGCTGAAATACGGTTAAATAATAAAAAAAAAAAATCTAATTGAAAAAACCATAAATTTCTAGTTACATTAGCCGAAAAAACTTTTAACTTTATTAAAACCGTATATAATGAAAACCAAAAGACATATTACAACCATAATTAGATTTAAAATTAGAGTATTTAATTAATGAGAAACTACACTATGTAACATTGTAATACATGCGGTATAGGTGTGGGTATAGTAAAAGTTGTACAAGCTTCTTGTAAACACCTAACGCCCACATTATTAATTTATATTTTGAGAAATATTTAATGTTCTGAACTTTTTTAATACACGTTTATATTTTTAAATTAAAACTTTATTTTGGTTATGTACGGGGTTGTATATTTATATTACCAAGTGAGACTTTATAGTAGGTAGGCCAAAATCATTATTTTTAAACTTTTACGCATTTTATTTTTCACAAATTCCGTAAAATATTATATATTGTACCTGTCTATTGTAATGTCGAATATTTATTCTTACTTCAAAATGGCAAATTCCGCGTACTCGCGTGCATTTTAATATTCAATGTTTATCATGATACGCGTATAGGTAGTATTAAATATTGAAATAGTATACCTTTTGTCCGTATACAGCCATAAATATGTATGATTATACATCATGCTCGTTTAAAAATGTGATCTTCTCAAAATTGCGATTTTTCTGTTATTTGTTAAACCGCGCGTAAATCATCTTCCGTGATATTAAAATGGTTTATAGAATATACCTGTATTATTAGGTCTCTGCCTGGACGAGAAACAGTTGAAATTGTAGATTTTACGAAATAATATGATGGCTTTGATTTTTGAAGGAAAACGAGTTTCAAAACTGCAGTAAAGATACCCCCATTTCCAAAGTCATGTATTATAAATAGGGACTATATAAGTCACTGTGTACCGTCCCTACAGACTTTGACAAATATGTACGGATTTTCCGCAGCACTCTCATGAAAATGAAAAACAATGTGGTGTCGAGGCGGATTATAATAAAAATAATGAAAATTGTATTATATGTTATTACGACGGATTATCCCGGCCAGAGACGAGTGAATAGTACAAGAAGCACAAGAGTGGCAATGCAACTCATGGTTTATGCGAATCGCGGAAAAAAGCACAAAAAAAAAATTTTACGGAAAAAAGCACAACAAATAAACACACCGAGGAGAAAAAGCCCAGATGTTATACTTTTACCCCTAATGTTTTTTGACTTTTAACTCGACACTGTATATTATGTATAAATTAGTTCATATATTATTTGTATTTAATTTTTTTTTTCTGTTATAAATTGTTTTTTAAATATAATTAATAGTTCAGCATAAGCCATATTCAGGCATAAAATTATTTATATTTGACATTTTTCATCGAATAAATAGATAAAAAAAAGTTTCTTATTAATTGAGTCTCCGCTTATAAAATTGCCTATATTGGCTATAATAATTTATGAATTATTTATTACTAACTAGGAGTAGATGAGTATATAGTACGTATGTGTTTATACTTAAATTTAATTTTTTTTCTTGAGTATTTTTCAGTGGACTTTTTTTTCCGTCTACCGGTCCATGCATATACTTAATTCAGATTTTTTATAGCCCGTCGACGTATTAATTTAATTTCAAACAAAAATAATCGAGAAGTATTCTTACTCGCCAAAGCAAGTTGTAACAGACACATAAGCGATCGAAAAATAAATACTGCACGTCCGCACACAAAGACTATGAACATATGTGTGTGTGTGTGTGTGTGTGTGTGTGTGTGTGTGTGTGTGTGTGTGTGTGTGTGTACGTGTGTAAACGTGTTATTTAACTTGAACAATGATTTTTAGTTGGTTTCACGATAATGTGTTTCATTTTTTCCGTCAAAGCACTTCAAGTTAGTTTTAAAAACGAAATAAAACTCTATACGCGTAAGCAAACCAAGTTTCGATCGGAATGGCCTTTCTAACGCAATACAATAGTAGTTTTAAAATCTAATATACGTATACAATATACAATATATATATATATAAATATATTTATATTTATTGATTATTGACGTTGTATACGTATCCCGCACCCGCGCTCTCAAGATCCGTCTAAAACAGGTGCCCGCCATACCCTGGCGTTCGATTTTCTACGACTTAAAAATAAATGAAAACTTATCGTCAAACACACAACAGCTTCTCCGGGACGGGGGGCTGGAATTTGAGTCGGGCATTTAATGCTTATATACATTTGTATTCGGGTTGGTTAGTAGGACTCTACCCATGCGTTTGTCGTCTCACAGACGTATACGACGTCGCAAATTTTATATAGTTTACTGTAGTCTCAGTAGTGCCGTACTAAATATCGACATTTTAGGTGAGGCATAATCTGTGCAGCAGCGGTGTGCCCCGGGGGGGAGGGGGGGGGTCGATTTTTTTTTTAGGAATAGTCCGAATCTGTATGTGTAATTGACAAAAAGCTAATCCCAGTGGTTGGGAGCAGCGCACTAATTGTAGCACTGCAACTGAAGAAGCACGACGCTACATTTTATTCGTAGCAATTAATGCGTAACGTCGCTACAATGCGTAGAGAAATACTTTCGGTTAGCGTAGCTAAAATTACTATTATTTTGTCGCTACCTTCAACCGATTTGGTGATATAGTTGCAATAGTATGATAATTATTACATTGATTCATATATATTTTAATAATATAATGAATATATTAGTGGATTGTTCGGTTTTAACTCACGATTACTTCTCGTAGTTGAATTCGTCCAGAGACCAAATGTTAAATCAGTACAACCTATAAACTACCAATACTCAATAAGAACATAAAAAAAAAAAATTAGCCTAAAATTAGCACCCTACACTTAAGAAATTGCGTTAGAAGCAGCACACTACATTAAAATAAAAAAGAGAGATAACGAGCAACTTGTTTTTTTTTTTTTGGGGGGGGGGGGGGTTGGTTAAGTGTGTATAAGACGGAGATATAACGATAATGCAAATGTGGCGTCCTCTCAACATGCAATCGCTAAACAAATGTATTAGTGACCTGCTACCATAGACATTTTACTCTAAAAGGTCTATGCCTGCTACCTACCTATCCTGAAAATGTACTCTTACTATAGTAGGTGGGCACATGGCTGACGGCTGTGCAATTGTGATGGAAAATATTATGTCGACGTATCTCATATTCGTATGCACACGAATTGTTTATAATTTTTCAAATCGTTTTTCGGTGGAAAATACTGAACATAACACGTAATAATTACATCCAAACCAAACCAATACGTCCACTATACAACCACTTCACAACTTCTTCGTAGATCGATGGTATAGATATTACGTAATGTCAATCGTTTGTTGTTACTGATGTCTAACGCCGATTTAATTCAAGTCCATTCAAGTATGCTTCTTTTAGGATCAACATTTTAAAAAACCAAGACTTCTTTAAGGGGTTCGGTATAGGCAATTCTTTCGTTCCTTGCTGTCACTGCTCGTCTTTGTGTGTACAGTAAACGATCATTAGCGCGTGTACACACCCCGCCGATCACCCACAACATACTTATTGTTACCCACTCGCGTGCAAATGCCATTTAGTCACCAAATCAAAGTATTCAAAACCAATTTATGGAAGTGAAATATAGGTGTACGACTGTCAAAAATTAAAGTAGTTCGATTTAAAAAATGTAAAGATAATTGAATTATTGATAAACAAGTTTATTTCAATGTCTATATATATATATATGTTCAATTTTAGCAAATTTTTGACGAGAATAAATAATTTACATTTCATAGATTTGTCAGTGTTTATTAAAAAATATAAAATATATCATGCTCCGACCGACGCAAAGTAGACTTGCTTATTAATTCAAACATTTTTACTTTTTTTTTAAATCAAATCAATAGAAAATATACCTTAATTTTTGTCAGTCGCTAAGGTTGTTTAATTAGAATTAATAGAAATCCCTTTAACAACAATATACCGTATACCTAATTATTGAATATTATAATATAGAGTGTCTCCAATGCCAATTTCTATTTTATCTGATATAAAAATTAACTTCTGGATCTTAAATATTGATATTCGGTTATTTAACATTAAGTTGTCAAACAAATATCATGAGCACATTGATTCTTTAATATGTGTAAAGACAAAATATAATTGAAAACAGCGACTTGACTCTCGAGTTAGTTAAGTCAGCGTTAAGTTATAAACAATATATTTATTAAACTCTTTAAAGTTAATATGCGGAAAAATATTAACTCATCTCGGTTGATGAGTAGTTTTTTATTTTTATATCATATTATTACCATATGTGTCACACTTATATATATATATACAGTGCAACTTCAATTTTTTTTTTAAATAATCCACTAAACATTTTCTGTATAAAATGCATTCTACACTGTTCTTTCTTATTGCGCACTATATATAGTTGCAGTGGCTTGGAGAACATTGAACGTTTGTGTCAACTATATCATTAAAACAACCGGGCTTATTTGCATTTAAAATCATTGACGCATACTGCACCGACAACATTAAGACCTCGCGTCGGCCAGATTTATACAACACGCGGTCTTGCGACTTCACTGGATTTTCGGATTTTGTGTAGATAATCGATTATGTTATCCCGAGTTCGGTTCCCCGTATAGTCCGCACAGAAAAAAATTGGTCTAAGTGCAGAAGGACTATACAGTTGTCTATACAGTATACAGGGACGTCGCTGGACTTCGACATCGCCGTCTGAGGACGACGGTAATCGGAACGAAAATCCCCGCGGACTACAATATTATACTCACAAGACACAAACACATGCAAATTATTGAATAAATATATTTTCTCTAATATTACTGTAATTACCACCCTTATAATATTCAATTACGAATAACACACACTTAAAGTGACTTAAAGTGTAGTTATATAAAATGTAGAAAATGTTCAATTTTTGTATCCGTTCTAAAGATTGAAAATTTGAAATATCACCTACGTTTCTTATAATATTTTGACTGTTATGCAAATACAATAATATTAGGAAGCGTTTTTACAAGTTTTAGTGAGTTTTACTTTATAGAGATGAAATATTGAAAAATATAATAAATTCAAAATCAAACAAGTAAATGTAGGTAATCAAAGTAAAAAAAAAATATTTCGAGTACGTCAAATAATAATATACGCACAACATACTATTAGGCACATTAGATTATAGATTATCAAAGGTTACCTACACACTATACAGTACTACACCGTACACTACAATATGTACAATTTTAAGTTCTTAATTCTTATATTGTATATATAATTTTATCAAAATGTTTTAGTAAATAACCTAACCTAATGTAAAAAAAAAAAAATTATTTCAGTCGTTTAATTATACAGAATTATACGTAGTATCGCAGTATTATAAAACAATATTATTAGTATAAAGTATGTATTTGTAATTAAATATTAATAATGATGGTAATTAGTAATTACACTAATTAGCGTTTAAAAACAATATTTGTTCAGTAATTTGCGTGCGTTTGTAAGTACCTAGTATTGTAGCCTGGGGATTTTTATTCCGCAATATATAATATAATACATACTTAAAAGTTAAAATACGTCTATTGAACATTTAAAATTAACTAGTAAATTATTATTCAACTGCAAAAATATTACGTACCCACATAGTCTCGCAATAGGCGAATTCAATATAATCGTCGAAAACATTTCGCCGGGCTGTAGGTTAATGTTTTTCCGGCTTTCGCTGCGACGCGGACGGAATATTTCTCCGATTATCGTTTGGAACGATATTTTTATTGTACCTATGCAGTCTCGCTTCCGAACATTTTGTAGATGTCAGATGATTATGACATTTATGAGCTGATTCGTTGCTTTGCGACAACCGTACAGACTGAATAATTCAAAAAAGGTATTTTTTTTTATTCAACTTTGACCAACTTTTTCGTTCTAAAGTTTAATGGCCCCGTGATGGTGGAAGCCTGCAAGAGCGGCGCAAGCTTTCACCGTAGGGCTGTAGCGCATTTTTTATTAAAGGTAACATTTATTATTCATCGGGTCCCGTTATTATTTCGTCCTCGTGATCTCAATAAATATAATGGATGTATGTACGTAAATATTTAATAGGCACATGGCAACTTTTGTAAATCTTTTGATTTGACTCATTGTTATTTTTATTGTGAAATATTCGGAAATGTCGACTTCGACTTACCGCCAGTACCTCTATATGAATATTATATCAAACATGATCATGTATTTAAATGTTTGTAAAAAAAAAGCTTATGACTATAGATTGCCGATTAAAATGTCATCGAATTACCCACAACATAGTTATTGATCTCAGGTCAAATAAGTAGTCGAACACTGTTGTAGGCAACAGGTCTGTCGAAGTGCGTGCAGTGTTAACAATTGAATAAACTACAGCGTATTATTATATAGGTATATAATGTGCCGAATAGAACAATAGTAGGCAGGTGTTTAAAAAAGCACTAGGCACTTTTATTGTATGCGTTTCACATATTATAAAATATATCTGAAATGACACTTTAGTTAAATTAAACTATGGTCGTTGAGCTATAATATACAATATGTTATTACGCCATGAACAATAATTAGAAATAATAATACGTTAATTTGATACATTTCATTTTTCCACTTTACATATTTTATTCGCAGCAAGCCTGTATAATAGCTTGGCATATGTTTGTTTGTTTTTCGGAATTCGCTGTCGGTGGAATAGGTACGTAATAATTATAAAGTGTGTAAAGGTCCGTACAGACCAAGCAACATTTTGTTGGCAACACGTTGCCGAATGTTGACAACAAATTTGTCGGATTCAGATACATGTATCTAGATACATGTTGTCAACAGTGTGGCACGTTCAAACCAAATAATAGTTGCGCGTCAACAGTCCACATCCGTCTAGCTGTTGTAGTTGTAGTGTGAAGTTGTACTTGTGAAAGTGAAAGTTAAAATATATAAAATAAAATATATAAATATTTAAAAAATAAATACTTTATTTTAAACAAATACTAAATGGATCTGACAACTGCTGCTGCTGGTGCTAGTGCTGCATTCATCATCATAGCTACTCATGGTAAAGTAAGAAAAAGAAGATGGTGGCAGAGAAAATTTTTAAAAAATGGGATAAGCTATGGTGACAACTTAATGTCTGAATTACTTTTAAATGACGGCAGTTCATTCCGCAATTTCGTTAGACTAACTAAATCTGATTTTGAAGAACTTCTCCGTTTGGTAGGTTAGCCAAAGTTACTCCTTTCGTATTGGTAGCAGATGATGCATTTTCATTAAACACAAACCTTATGAAGCCCTTCCCAGGTCCATATCCAAAAGGTTCCCAAGAAAGAGCGTTTAACTATCGATTAAGTAGAGCTCGACGGATTATTGAGAATGTGTTTGGTTTGCTGGCGACTGTTTTCCGAGTATTTAGAAAGCCTATTCCATTACACCCAAAGAAAGTTGAAAGTGTAGTACTTGCTTGCATTTCTCTACATAACTTTTTAAGACGAAATGCACAGTCAGTACGGATGTACACACCACCTGGCACATTTGATAGTGAAGATTTAGATACTGGTTCAATAACACCTGGATCATGGAGAGCAGAAACTGAGGGAAGTTTACTTGATTTACAGCGCATCCCAAGAAATGCTTCTCAAGAAGCTAAAGAAATCAGAAAAGAATTCGCCAAATATTTTATTTCAGAAGAAGGAAAAGTACCGTGGCAAGATAGATTTGCATAAATTTTCTGGGCTATGATAATTATTGTAGTTAATGGTTTCTTATTACATTGTCAATTTAATCAAATATAGTTTTTATTATTTTTATATTGTTAATCTTATTTAATTGACTAATAAATTTTAAAATTTAACACTATAAGGTAAAAAATATAGTCTTTGTTGTTTAAAAAATTATTTTGCTAACAATAAAAATATTTCATAATATTTATAATAAATTATTTTTATATTAGTGTTATTTCTTATTTTATTTGTATCACGATGGGTGATTATGCGATAATAATAACAACCGTCGTATGACGTACACAATACACATGATTACATGAACAAACCACAAATGGTTGCTTATAGGTTTATAATTATTTTAAGTTATTTATAGTTATGTCTCAATATTACGATAACGACATCGACAAAAATACGCAATATAGACATTTTTGATGGCAATAATTTTTAAGTTTACAATAATACAATTTAGTTTATTTATTATAAATAAATAAATTATAATATAAATAGTATTTATTGATTTAGTAAGTAAGTAAAATAAATTCAATTTTAAACTACTACTTCACTATTTTTTAACTACTAGATACCTACCTCAAATGTACTGCGACTGCCTTTAGAAATGTTATTTTCCACGAGAAACTTCATCATATTATACCCAAACCATATATTATCTTCCGAAATTGTAGCAGCTCCACTTTTACTTTTTTCTCCAATTTTCTTCCGTTCTTGGCTAAACTGAGTTTTTAGGGATTTAATTTTCCTTGATACTTCATCCACATTTGTTTTGAAGTGAGATGCTATTTTGGACGTTTCATCATTCTTCAAGTTTCTATCCCGATATTCTTTGGATTGTATGTCCCACATGGCAGGGGCAGCTTTCAGCATTTCAATGAGTTCTATTACGAGCTCTTTTGACCACAACATTTTTATGCAAAAAATTAAAAAGTACAACTAAACTAACTTAATAACGATATGTGAACGTGTGTACAAATCAATGACAGTAATTGTTGACAACATCGTCCATACTGAGCGATGTTTTCCATTTCGATTGGAAAACTCAGATACTAGCAACACGCAACAAATCTCTTTGATGTCATGCCGCCCAACATTGACGTGTATCCGTCAACTTTTAACCAGTTGCTGAGATACATGTTGACAACACTGTTGACAACGTGTTGCCAACAAAATGTTGCTTGGTCTGTACGGACCTTAACGATAAACGTGTGATGGTATTTAAAATATTTCAATTCACAATAAATTACGGTCAGTGTTAGTTGGTGGATTTTTTTTGCAATCTGGTTAAATAAATATAATAATAATATAGCGAGGTATTTGATGCGCTTTGAAATTTATTCAATGGCTTAACAATATTGATTATGTATATCAGCTATGGTTAAGTCCACCGTGGTATCCGATAATGTAATAATAATTTCAATTATTTAAAAATTTAAACAATGCTATACGCATACGGGTTAAGCACGCGTCATGCACAAATTAAAATAAAAAGGACGTCTTTTATCTGATCAAATGATAATGGGCAATAGACAATAGTATTACCTACTTGACAAGCTTTGTATAGTTTTTTTCGGCGGCCATAACAATAATATCTATCAGTTGTGGACTTCAATAGTCAAATCTATGCAGTAACTGATAACGTAAAATATTTCGATGAGGTAATTAAAAATTTAAACAAGATTACTCACAGGTTAAACACACCTGTATGAATTTAAATAAAAACCGATAAGCCGAGAATAAATAAGCCCTGGTGGCTAGTGCATAGGCGCAACTAGACCTCTAAGAGGTTGGGTGCTATAATTGTAAATACTCCACAGAGTCGTGGGGAGGGTTGCTAAAATCACATCATCCTATAAGTTATAGTTATAAAATAGTAATAATACGCATCACGTAGTCTGCATGCATCTATATATAGTGCTTATCGATGTGACTCATTGGCTAAAAATTGCTCGGAAGCAATCCGTTTCTCTACAATGTGTATCTTAATGTCAATTGTCTAACAATTGTAGAAATACCGAATATGTAATAATTTAAAACGAATTAATATTACGACTCAAGCCATAATTACGACTATAGAATTATTAAAACTTTTTTTTGGTAAATAATTATTATTTTAAACATTAATAACGTGTATGGTAATTTACTATAAAAATAATAGTTAGACGTGGACCTAAAATACATTTAGTACTCCAATGGCCTGATGCACAGGTTACAGATGATATCTGTGTAATTTTAATTTTTAATAGGTATACTATTATATAACAAAAATAATAATAGAAATACGCACTTACACTCGAAATTGAATCGTATTAAAACTTTCATAAGTATAATTTGAGTAAAATTATGTTTCCACTTTCAGAATAATAATACCTACTGTTGGGCTAAAACTGTCCATGGCTGTTGGAAACCCATACTCGTGTAATAAAATCGAAAATTGTCTGCTGCAGACATAACACATCGAAAAAAAAATTAATCTCACGCGATCATTTCGAACACGATGATTTTATTCAAACCGTTTGAAATCGAACTCGAACTTTGGTCTTTTGAAAAGCCGAAGTGTTCGTGAGCCCATTACCGATGATGTGTATAACATAGACATCCGGCGAATGACATAAAAATCTACCTAAATAAAATACCAATAAAATTGGTCAGCTTCATCTCTCATTTAGACTTTAAAAACTTTATTTAATCGATAAACTATGTATTATAACACTTGTCCAAAATTTGATTCTTATAGATCAAAGTAATCCGATTACATTCAGCTTAGGAGTATGAAATTAAAAACGTACACTGTCATTCAAAACAGTAAAACACTTAAAAAATGCTTAAATATTTCTCCAAAATGTTGTCTTGTTACAAATCAAAAATAGTATGTAAATTAAAAACTCTCAAAATCGTTGGGTTTTATGTTTGAACTAATGCACGTCGTACGACTCTTACGTAGACTATTGGATCACCTCCGGTTCGATAATAATATAATTCTATATGGTATAATTATTACTGTAATATAACAAAATAATTAATAAAATCGAGTATCTACCTACTACACATAATATTTTGCTTGTCGGTCGCATTGTTTGAAAAAATAAAATACAAGTATGTGAGCGTATAATATTGTTTGTTTTACAACCCACGATCTTTTCTGTGTGATTTCAGCTGATTTTCGAGGAATTCCGGTTGGGCACTCTCTACCTGGGCGAGTGCATCAGCGGCGAAATGCAAATACTCGAACTCGGCCGCCCCTACGTGGGGGGGTCATGGTGCGGTTACGGGCCCACGGACGGCACCGCACCGGCCGTGTACTACAGCGAGGCGGGCACCGTTACACTTACGCTGCGGATACCCGTGAGCGGGCTGTACACGACGCTTCCGTTCGCGTTCGGGCTGCGGTTCAAGTTCTTGGACAACCGGCAGGCGTCGGTCAGGCTGGGCACGCCGGCCGAGCCCAAGGAGCGCGGCGAGCTGGTGCCCGGCACGCACTGCAGCCGCAACTTCTACGAGTGCTACCGGAAGAGGTGCTCGCTGCAGTCGCCCAACTACCCGGGCATGTACCCGCGGAACGTGACGTGCCGGTACACTGTCCGGCAGAAGGTGGTGCCCAAATGCAAGCACGCCATGGTCTCGGTGACCCAGGGCCGGGGCAGCGCGGTACAACAGGCGCACAGGTCCGGCGGCAGGGGCCAGCAAGGGGTAGCCCAGGGCACCCCCAACGGGACGGCCATCATACGCGTCAACGACATGTGCAGCGAGAACGAGGACCGGCTAGTTTTCCACGACGGGCCGTCCGAGGACGATCCCGTGCTGTTGCGGTATTGCGGCGGCCCGGCGCTGCCCCGGGTGGTGGCCAGCGGGCCCACCATGCTGGTCGTGTTCAAATCGTGGGTGCACAATTCACCGGCCACGTTCTCGTGGCCACCGCCCGTGTCCCGGCTGCGGAGCTTCGAGCTGGACGTGCGCATAGCGTTCGTCGACTCGGACTCGCTGGACTACGCCAAGGGGCCGGCGTGCGAGTTCACCGTCAACGCGTCGGCCACGCCCAAGTCACGGCGCGGCGTGCTGGTCAGCCCCCGACACGCGGTGCCGCCGAACAGCACGTGCACGTACAGGTTCCAGGGGCTACCCGACGATCGGGTGTGGATGTACTTCGAGAGCTACGGCCACCGGAGCACCGGCCACTTCCTCACGTTCAAGCCGTGCCCGACCCGACTCCGGATATGGGACGGGGCCGGCACGCTGTTGGGAGATCACTGCGACACGCCCAGGCTGTGCGAACACATCGCTGCCGCAGACGCGTCGGCTTCTGCGCCGCCGAACGCCACGCGCCCCAAGCGGCCGTGCACGCTGGACGAGAGCTACCTGTCAAAGTCACCCAGCGTCATACTTCAGGTGCACTCGGTATTGGGAACAGTGCTGGAACCGTTTGGGTTCCGGCTGCACTACGAGTTTGTTGACAGCATCGCGTACGACCGCGAGACCGACGGCGACGCGTGCGTCATTGACCACAGGGTGCGCGAGTCGATGGACCTGGCGGAACCGCGGAACGTATTCCTGTACGGCCGGGGCGGTGCCAAGAGCTTGGACTGCGTATACCGGCTACAGGCGGAACCCGGTTACCGGTTGCAGATCGTGGTTCGCAACGCGTCGTTCGGGTCACGCGAACGGCCTCCGCAGCCCATTGCCAGGACGGTGACGGGCAAGTATGCCTGCCCGACCGGCGACGAGGGCCCCAGGCTGTCGGTGAGCGAGGTGTTCTGGCGGACGGTTCGAGTGGAGCGCGGTTGCTTCAGTCAGAACTTCACGGAAGCCGCTTTGGGCACGCAACAGGTGACGTTTGACACTTCGTCGGACCGCGTGGAAATCCATTTCCACGTTCCCGGGCTGGGCGTCACCGACGATTTTACCAACACGTACTTCAGCGCTCACGTCCGCGTTCTCCGGTGGCCCGCGTGCCCTCGCAGGCAGTGGGTCCGCGGTTCTGGCGGCGAGATCGAGTTGGCGTATCCACCGGAAGCGCGAGAAGACTTGCACTGCCGCGACGTGCCGTGGCTACTGGAGGCCCGGCCAGGCCACAGCATGTTCGTGCAGACGTGGGGCCGCTTCCTGCCGGTCAACGCGTCCGCGGCGGCCCCGTGTCGGACCAGGAACCGGATACTGCTGTACGCGGTCCGGCCGGAAGTCCGGTTGGTCGGCAACGTGTGTCCGGCGGAGGCGCGCGACGGCCGCCGCGAAACGCTGTACATGTTTTCAGACGAGTGGACGGCGTTCGTGCCGGACGACCAGCAGAACCCCAGCTTTATGGTAGAGTTTGTGGCCCAGGATGCCGGTTCCATGGCGTTCAAGTGGCTGGAGGTGTCCAAGCCGTCCAAGCGCGTGCAGACGACGTCGCCGTCCAAGCGCAACCAGTCCGGCGGCGGCGGCGGCCCGCACCGCGGCTCGGGTTGCGCGTACGGCTGCCCCGAGCTGGAGGCGTGCATCAGTCCCACGCTGTGGTGCGACGGCCACCGAAACTGTCCGTCCGGCGTGGACGAGGCCGACCTCGAGTGCCAGACAAAGTGGCCGTCGTTCAAGGTGCTCCGGTCGTACGGGCTGCCGGTGGTCGGCCTGGGCCTGGTCGGTGTCGTCTTCGCCGTGCTCGCGTGCGTCTACTGCCGGAGGGAACCTGAATACAAACACTACGACGAACCCGAACCGGCCACCGAGAACACAACCAGATCGTGTTCGACGATCGCCTCCTGACAGCAGTCCTCGGTCGACACTGTTGACGTCGTCGACCGAGAAACGTGCGTTTGAAAACAACCACTCTTGCTCAAGCTCTACACCGTGGTGTTGTTAGATTTCTGTTATTATTATTATTGCTATCATTTCAAACGTGTGCGTGTATCCGAATAACACGTCGTTTTGTCCACAAACGTAGGTGCCTTATATAATATTATGTAATACCATATAATTTAATGTTCTATCGGTTATGTTCAGCGTGTTGCAGATGAGGATTTAGATAGAATTAATTGGCGGAAATCGGGGGGGGGGAGGGGCCGAGGGTTGTGTTTCAAGCCCCCGCTTTAATAATGGATAAAAAAATACTTGTAATGTTATTTCCCTTAATAAATACTGTCAAAAAATAGAAAAGTTTAGTAGGTCCATCCTATGCGTAGGTATACTTTATAGAGCATCTTCTTAACAATATTTATAAATATTTTAAATGGGAGAAACCTTTGTTTTCCTCGAAGCGCGATGTGAACGGCAACCAACTGTCATTATTCTAAAAATAAATTATGCCCCGATTTTCGCCTATGAGGTACATGTCAAATGTCAACTATAGTTCGTTATTTCAAGAGAAACACACTCATCTATATATTGTGTGACGATTATAATTGTAGATACCTATAAAAAGATCCAATTAAATGAAAAAAGAGCAGGTACTGTAAATTCACGAGGATGTTAAATGTCATATAAGTACACAGCAAGTCGACAGTATCCAGATACCTACCTATATATCTTATACATAAAACCATTATTAGTATTTACTTGTATAGAACATGGACGGTTTCGACTTGCATTGTATAGACGGGATCGACACAACAGAGTGTGTCAATAAGACCCCTAGAAATAAATATTTTAAGATAATTTTAAACCATTCGTCTGTTCGAATATAGACCAACGTTTATAATAAGACAATTACAGTGTCCAATAGTAATTTCAGCACACTATTTAGTAAATATATGAAGAATTATTAAATTTGCGCCAAATTAATGTGATACTGCCTTGACATTTTTTTTTATTTCTGATATTTTATTTACTATTATCACTATAACAAATAGAATTTTATTGAATTTTTGTCAAGCAGATAAAATTTTTTTTTTAAAAAAAGAGGGTTTTAATATTTAAAAACAAGCAATCCCCAACCTTAAACAAGTATTATAAACAGTATAATTTACATACATGCACTTATAATATTATATTATTGTCATTTAACAATGTATACTAGTGTTACCATAGGATTTAAGAAAAAGCACAAGTGTAATGATGTATTCCTTTAGTTTATAATAAATAATAATAATATGCACTGTTATAATAAATTTAAATATTTAGAAATAGATAGATATATTATATTTCTATATAAAGCATTATATTAAATTATATTATATAAACTACAAAGTGTAATATTAAAAAATAAAAAAGATAAAACAATTATAAATGATACAATATCTTAAATATAATGAGTACATAAAAATTATTTCAACAATTGTGCCAGTTTACACACTTTACTATTGTTTCTCACCATATCAACTTTAGTTTCCCAAAGAATTTTGACTAGTTTCACATCGTCTTTTTCGTCCATAGCTATATCTTCTGATAGTTGTGGACAAAACCTAAATACCAAAAATCAATGTTAAATTGTTCAGAAATATTAAGTTGCGTCAACAAAAAAATGATCACCTGAAGAACTCAGTTTTTGTTTTGTAACACAACGATCTTGCTCTGTCTACAACACGTCCATCAGACTGGGTCGCTTGGTCAATGAGCAACAGACCTAATGCTGAGAATCCAAACACCAAACGCAAGCTATCACTCACACTACTGGGTTTAAAAATGTCTAAATTCTTCACCTAAAACAAACACCAAATACCTTGGTTAGAATATTATAGTTTTTTTTCAAATGATATTATTAGAAAAAAAATAAACAGAAAAATCTAACGTAGTATTATTTTTGTATACTTCATTATTACAAAATGACAATATTCAAACTGTGTAAATATTATATACCTCAGTCACAGGTATGCTTCCAGTACCAACAGAAACTACAAGACTAGGATCATGCATTTCATTAGCCCTGTTTGTTTTGTATAATGCTAAATTATATTCCTCTATTTCGGTTAATGTATCCAAAGTCGGGTTGTTTGAAATCAATCCTCCATCCAAAAAACGACCAAACATTCTAAAACATATCAACCTGTCAATTAGTATAACAATTCTATACAAAAATGGGAATTATAATATTAAAAAAATATCACTGCTCTATGAATAACAGTTTTGCATAAATTATTGATAACATATTGTGCATTAGCCATTGACATAATGTACAATAATGAAATAAAATTTTTAAAAATAACGGTTTATAACAGTTATGGTAAGTATAAAATGTATTGTTATATATATTATTATATGTATGTATATATATTTAAAATATAAATTATATAGAATTGTATAGTCAACAACTTAAAATGAACCAAAAATTATAATTAAAAAATTATAAAAATTCAAAATAGTGAACTTTAACATATTTAAATATTTTTTGAAAAATTATTAACATTTAAGGAAGGATATCTATGATAAAACAAAATAATTGTACAAGTAGAACATCAACATCATAATTAGGACAAAACTCGCATCAAATGTTATATTATTGTACATTTTTCAAAGGCACCCTGAAGAGTGATGACTATGGCTTTTAAGTACATGCCTTAAAAAATGCCTAAACAAGCATTTGCTTATCAAAAATGCACTAAAAACTGGCAAAATATGACTCAAAAAGTTTTTTTTTAGAGTAGTGCTCTCTACATTCATTTCAAAACAATTTTGAACAATAGACATAAGACATACCGTTAACGAAAAGGGACAGAGTGGGTCAAAGATACCGAAATTGTAGATAAATTTGTTTGAAAAGATTTGGATAAATTACTATTCATAGATTAATGCACAAACAAGTCTACAGTGTTCATTGAGCAATACAATTTCAAATTTTAGTATTATAATTCCCAAGATTTATAAAATATATTTATACAAAAAAAAAAAACGAACTTCACTGATCTCTTAATAAAATGGAATATGCCAACACTTAAATCTTATGTCACACATTGTTGATACTTTATATAAATAGAAAAAACATTAATTTGCTAGACTTATGCCAATGGTTTTAAATAAATATTTTAACTAAAAATTAATTTTTGATCATTGATAATAATTATTAAAAATGGATATGAGCTAATAAAAACAATTAAACTTTATAAATAATTAATTACCTAAAATATGAAGGTGCTGCACCACTTGCTCTTGCTGCTTTCCATGCTAACTGTTCATGAGGGGGTGGTGGAGGTGGATAATCACACGGATGATCTAGATTAATCATGTCACTAGGTGATATATAATTACGAAAAATGTGTAAGTCAACCGGTTTTCTATCTGCTAACAAACCTGTGACTAAGATCCTGAAACAAATTCATTTATTTACATTAAAAACAAAATAGTAAGAAACAAAAATACAATAAAACATCTTTTTTTTAAAATTTAAAACATTAATTGGTAATTTTGATCATCAGAAAAAAACATTAGTCAACTATTTAGTCAATAAAAACTAATTACTTTGGATGCTTAATATCACTCATATACGTATTTGCGCCCAATGTTTCTTGTAACATATTTTCCAATACCTCACTTTGGTAAGGTTTACTACCTTGAAACACGAGTTGTTTAAGTCTAAAATATAAACACAAACACTCGTGCAATGATTTACCTAAAACATAATTTACAAATACTATTATATACAAAAGTGTATATGAAGATCATGTGTTTCTTTATACATAGTAAACCTCAAAGATAGACTAAATAGTCTATCCAGTCCTTAACGAAAAAAAAATATATACATGTTATTTTATTGCTTAATAATTTGTCTTACATTTTTTTTAAATTGTAATAAAAAGCCTAGTTTTTTCATAACTTGTAATACGTTTTTTCCTCATGTTATGCTGTTTATAAAATTATATACACATCACATTTTAACTTTACACAATTCACAAAGAAAAATGGTCTATAAACTATAATAATATTGCAATGCAATTACCACATGCAAGTCCCAAAGCTAAAATTCCACCAGTACTTGTGCCAGCTAACCAATCAAAACAATGAATAATAGGAACTTGAGTAGCATTTTCTATATGAAGTAGAACAGATATCAACACCAATCCTCTAATTCCGCCACCATCAAGGCATAACACTCTGCCACCTCTATGATTCTTGTTAACATCTATTCTTTCATCCATGAGTTCTTCCATCGCTGTCACAATACATCTAACCTGTAAAATAATAACTCTTTTAGTATTTAAAAACAAATATATTATGTGAATTTTTATGATTTGGTCAATATTATTTTAAGATATGAATATTCTAATATTATTGGGATCACAATTTTAACCATGTATTAATTATATTATATACATATATACACAGTCCAGACTCCAGGTGCAAGTATCTATATAGTACATTGCAGAAATGCCCATATAATTAGTTAAAAGTGTTTGGAGTTTATCATCCCATGTACTTTAAGTCTAGAAGTTTGTACATAGTGTTTTTTTTAAGAATTAATAATATTATAATAATGTTGCTATGTATTTATTAATATATTAACTAACATGTGTACAGTGTCCATAATATTTTTGATATTTTATTGTGGCTTGCTGCACACCTGTCAAAATCTAAGAGTAATATTTTAAGTTATGTATGTGAAATTATGTGATCATAAGATCATATGGGTGATTTTTAGCAATGCTGGGCACTAAATAGTTAGGAGTTACTTTTGTTGGTAACTAGAAACTTTGCTAAGTAGCTTGTTTAAATAACTTAAATAGTTGTATTTTAACTGTAAATATTGAGTAAACTAGTTATTTTTTTTAAAAAATCATAAAGTTATTCAAAAGTTTTTTTTTTAATAAACTATTCTTAAACAATCTAATCTACAAGTTTGTCAAACCTCGAAAATTCAAAATTCAAAATTTCGAACAAATACTTTCATTAAAATGTAATCAATATTAAATGTAAATTAATTTAATATCATAAAAATTTTAAATATTTTTTCATTGGGTCATATTAATTTTAATTTAATTCTGGTTTCTTTACATTTTATATATGAACCATAATTGTAGGTAGTACATAACTTTTTTGGAACTTAGTCAGTGTTTTAATCGACAAACTTACAATCGAACTAAGTTAATAGATTTCTTAAGGAACTTAAATACATAACTGGTAAGTGTTTTTTTTTTTAAATTTTTTTAACTTTAACTAGTTGGAAGTTATCACTAACTTATCTAGGCTTAATTTATACCTATTTCATGTGTGGGAGCTAACATTTGACCTACTCGCCGGAGACCAGGGCACAGTCTACTGACTCGAATGGGTACACTAGTATATGTTTTTAACTACACAGACTTTAAAATTGTTTCTATAAAAACCACATATGTTTGTGTTTTTAAATGCATGTTGAATAAAGACTCATAGTTGATACGTACAGGCATTGACACAGGTCTTGGTGGTGGTAAACCATTGAATTCTTTATCCCAAGCACATCCATTTGTGCATTCAGTTTCTAATAAAATATGTTGACAACGTTTTGCACCAACTGCATGCAAGATATACACAATTTTATCAGAAATTTTATCTGGACCGTTATTGGTAGCAGCAATATGTCGTGAAGTTATGCCTTTATTGTTACTACAAACAATTAATTATTTTTATATTTTTATCAAAAACATGAATGGAGCAATTTTTACATTTAAAAGATGCATAAAAAAGAGTTTAATATATAAATATTGAATTTAAAATGTACACACATAAAATCGATATCAGCTTCAAACGCAATAAGAGCATGAATAACTGGTACCAAATTGCTTTTGACCGCCAAATGCAGTGGTGTATTACCTTCTTGGTCAGGTATATTTACATTAGCTCCATTGCAGAGCAGTCCCATAACACAATCAAATCTATTCCTCAAAACCTAAAAGTAGTATAAAATCATCAAGATAAATTATAAATAAAATCAATAATATAAAATAAGAAATATATCAGAGCTTAAATTTATAAAAAGAAATATTGTTTTTAAGGTCTAATGTTATTGTAAGTTGAAATGCTATTTGATTTTTTTAGTTTAAAATTATAATTTAAAAATAAATAGAGAATTAAAATTAATTTGTGGCAGAATTATGAAATTAGTAAAATTTGTTGGCCAGGCTAGATTATTTCCAATCATCTTAGACATTATTTGCAATTTTTTTTGTCATGTACATTTATTGTTGATCTTAAATTGTGTTTAATGATGTACTATATTAATTTGTAATCAATTATTTTTGTTTTTTGTTTATTTTTTTCTCATTTATTTCAGTTAGAAACATAATAAGTTATAACATTTTGAAGTCTTGAAATATACATATTATACAATAATGTTACCATTATGTGGAGAGCAGTGCGTTTATCAAAATTCAGTGCATTCATATCACAATTATTGGAAATTAAACTGTCAATCACTTCACGAGAACTTGACCAATGTAATGGAGTTCCGCCAAATTTCATATCCTAGAAAAATCAATCAATAAACTTAAAAACATATTTTTATTTTTATTCATAAAATTAAAATTAATCATTTAAAAAAAAATTTTAATGGTTATTAGTTAAGGCTGTTGAAAGCAAACCATTTTTAAGGGGTCAGATGAGTGATAGACTCATGATAGTAAAGCAATAATCTATGTCCATTGTGAGTGATTTGTGACTATGAGCGACTGATCATTAGCGTGTGTGAGTTCCCTAAAGCTTTATGTAATTAAAGATAAAGTATGGCGAAGATTCTTGGAAATCAGCAACATATATAAGCATAGTCATGCCTTAATATATTTCATGAATCATGATCAATACAATTTTAATATGAAAGTAGCAAAAAGTGGAAGAAAAATTCAACCAGTACCAAAATCCTGACTTAAATTTTAAAAACATATTTGAATTCCTTATTCTATTTTCTATATTATGTGGGAAATGGATTTTCGAATTTTTTGTATTGATTAATTATTATAGTAACTACCACATGAAGTATTCTTTTTTTTTTTAAATTCATCTTTACTGTGTTATTAAAAAAAAGAATCAAAAATCCATTTCTTACATAACCCAGACAAAAATAAGGAATTCAAATATTTTTTCAAAAATGTAATTGAACTTCTGGAAGTTTATTTCTTATCTTCTGCTTATTAAAGCAAGGTCAAAATACACGAAAAACTATTAAATAATGACCAGCTTTCAACAGCCTTGAGATGTAAAAATGAAAATGTGTAAATAGTTTTTAGAATTAAAATATAATTAAACACATAGAATGTAACAATTAAGGCTAATAAAATTAAATGCATAAACCTAATCTGTAACATTAACAATTAAAAGTGAAAACAAACTTATATGTAAGTCTAACAAGTTAAGTCTGTTAAAATATATGCAATGTTTTAATGTACTCACAAATAATATTTTATCCTTACTTCAACAAATAATTTTTTATGGTTATCCTGAAGATATTCTTTGACAATTCCAGGTAATTTGTTTTCTGATACATTAGTTACAGGAACTCCAGCTGGTATATTTACATCAGCCCCACAAACTAATAATTCTTTAACACATTCTGGTTTGTCAGCTTGACAAGCTAAGTGAAGGGGAGTAAATCCATTTATGTTACGGTAGTTTAAGCATTTAGTGCTTACTTTAGATAAAACCTATAATATTTATTAAATGATTATACTATTAATTTATGTAAAAATACAATTGTGACTTTACCAAAATTATATCACTACTAGATTTAGCAGCATAGTGAAAAACTGAATTGGCTTCATTATCTAAGTGCTCCAAAGAAACATCTAAGGCAATTAATGCTTTGACAACAGCTAATGAATTGTCATAAATGGCTAACTGTAATGATGATATACCACTTTCTGTATCTGGTGTATTTAAGTACCTGAAATCAATTTTAATAAGATAATTACAATATATTCATGTTAAAAAAAATGATAGTTCAACAGTTGTAGGTAAAAAACTTACATCACGACATTTGGGCTGGATAAAATGTCTATCATTGCCAATCTCACAACCAGATGTGCAATATTCCATGTTGGGTGTTCAACAAGAGTATCACATAAATTTTGTATTACGGACAAACAATAGCACTACACAATCAATATTATTTTGTTAGATAATTTAATAGTTATTCTGTTGACATCATGTACTTACATCCTTGGATATACTGAGAATTTCTGGTAATTTATCCTTAAGTATACAAAATCTTATTTCTGAATCTTCTATACTCGATCCTCTGTATAAGCTGTTAAACCATATGGTTATAAATATGTTAAATTAATATTCTACTAATCTAAATAAGGCCAGACCTGTAAGAAGTAGTTAAACTCTCCGCGCGCGACAAATGCAATACAATTTCACTGACATTATTACTCTCTACTGCATACAAAATAATCGGGCCATGACGACAATGAACATTACGATTAGAATATTTTTCCGATTTGACTTCAATAACTTTATTGGGATTTTTATCCGGGGTAAAAAATACTTTTAACGAATTTAACCAAGACATAATGGACAATGGTCAATATTTGTTTGATGAACACCTAACACACGAGTTGTTCAAAAAACAATTACAGCACGTTCATATTAGTCACACTCAAATGTCCACACAAAAAAGGTTAAACAATGGATTACAGCATTGTACTTTTTTGAGGAATTTTAAATGAACTTTGCATTTGCCATTTTGATACGCTATATCATTTGATTTCATTACCACAAGTACGTATCACCTTATTGATTAAAAATTAAAATCAATAACATACTGTGATAACAGCAATAATTGTATGTGATAAGATCCTCAGTTTTGTAATGAAGATTACATCTAAGATTTTTAAGTTGTACAGTGAAGTACTTTAAATCGTTAAAATCATGATTCGTACGAATGTTTGTCGATTAACTTCTTTGGTTACAAATAAATGCGCTTCGAGTCTAATAAAAAACTTTGCACAACGTCCCCCATTGCAAATTTATATCCGTACAACACCAACAGCCGACCGAATTCGTTGTTATACGTCATTGCCATCTGTACAAAACCAAAACTGTGAGAAACAGCCTGAAAATGAACCTACGGGTAAAATGCAAATCAATTTTACTTGTACTGTGTGCAACACAAGGAACAGCCGGAGGTTTTCAAAACTTTCATACGAAAAAGGAATTGTGATTGTGGAATGCGATGGGTGCAGTAACAACCATTTGATAGCCGATAACTTGGGATGGTTTCCAGATACAGGATGTAAAAACATTGAAGAAATATTATCTTCCAAAGGCGAAAAGGTCAAACGAATAAATGGATGTTGGGAATTAAGGTCAAAATGATGAGAAAATATATTAAAATAAAATTAACTTGTAAATAATAAACATTGTTATGAAATCTTATACTCAAATGTAAACATTTGTTATTAAATAATATTTAACATGTATTATGTAAAAAAAAAAATAAATAAAAACCTTTAGTATGTAATGAATAGTATGTAAAGTTTCTCTGTAATAAGTAATTATTTCCTAGATTTTGTTTTTGTTTTACGCTTTGCTGCAACTGGTTTGACCTCTTTTTTATCAGACTCTGGGGTGTCTGAAAAATTATCGGCCAAGTCTTCAGATTCTTGGATTTTCTCACGTTCTATAGGCGGGCTCTTCTGTTGTACTTCTTCTTCATCCAAGTCTTCAACTTTAGCCCTACGACCTCCGCGTTTCGGTGCTTTAATTTCTTTTAAATCATTATCTTTTTGTTCAACATCAGTTTGTTTTAATTTACGCTCACGTTTGGGTTTTATTTCTGGAGATTTATTAGAATCATCTGTTTCGTGTATTTTACTAGACTCTTCAGATAATTCAGATGCCTTCGTATTTTTTTTAGATTTAGGAACACTTTTTTGTTTTTTTTCTAAATCTTTTTCACTGTTTGGTTTATCCATTACTTTTGGAGCTGCTCGGCTTCTACTTGAAGGTTTAGGTACCTTTTCTTCTTTATCTTCCTTATTTTCTTCATCTTCATCTTCAACCGGTTTCTATAAAATAAAAATAATCAGAAATTTAAGTGAACGAAAACAATTTTATTTATTGTTATAATAGTTATATAAATATATATTATAATAATTTCAAAACAATAAGTGACTGACAAATGGTTACAATATGCAACAATTTGTGGTCTCTAAATAGTAAAATATGAAATTCAGAAGGAAATATTTTGAAAACAATACATTTATTTGACATCAAAATACAAATAGATAAAATAAGTTTATCTTTGGTTCTCTTTTCATATTTGCTATGTACCAAAAAAGGATGCCAAACATTTCACCCAATACACATAAAAAAAAAATACTTTATAAGTGAAATCAGAATACCTTGATAACTAATATTATGTTAAATTAAGTTTGTTTAAATGATGTGCATATTCAACTTTAAATAAAAACAGATTTGTTCGCAAGACGAAATCCTTACTACTGAATTTTAAGGAAAAAAGTTATAGGCAACTTCTTATACATTCAGGTATTAGCCTTGAAGTTGTATTAGTCATGAAACCCGCATAGTAGTAGCACAGAGGAATCTCACACTCACTTAGAGCAAATGTCAGATAATTTTGTGATCCAGACAAAATACATTTTTTCACTCAAACAGACAACTCAAATTCCAACAATTACATCGATTTGCATTTTTATAAAGATATTCATAAATATTCATATGAACAAGGAATCAATTGAGACCCATTTGTATGATTTTAGTTAGTTGATTAAATATTTAATTTTTGAAAATGTATAACATTTAATGCAATTTCAATAACATAATTTAGAAATGTGGCTTGATAGTTCCCTTGTACACATTAAAGAGAATATTTTTTCAGAATAAAAATTGTGATAATTATCGATACATATCGATGAATTTAGAAACAGTAGTTTTTACAAAAAAATTTATGAGGTCTTTTAACCATACAAAAATTAATGTCACTGACTTAATAACAGGTACCAAAAACAAACGATAGAAATGTCAACAACAAATATAATATCAAAACATTAGGCGTCAATGACATTTTAGAATTCCAACTCCAGGTAGAGTGATGATGTTTGAAAAAAATGAAGTAGAAATACTGCATTATAAAAGTAAGACAATTTTCATTTGTAGATAGCATAATGTGTAAGTACCAACAAACATTAAACTTAATTTACAAGACATTGAGATAAACAAAAGTAAATTAATAAAACATAACAAAATTCAATCGTTGAAATGATGATTGAAATTAAAAATTATTCCGTGTTATTAAGGGTGGGATTTCCAAAACGTTCAACCTTATCTGTATAACTTTTTTACAATCCTTTAAAAAGTACATTGTTATTTAAACCAAATTTTAATTAGGAATAAAATATATACTAGACATTTTAAAAAATGTAGTGAATTTTGTAAGTGCATTATATAGAATTTGTAGGACATTCAAATCCCAGCCCTAGTTATAACATTCAAGAACACCCTTCTCCAAAAAACTGTAATAACTGAATAGCACAACATAGCATTTTAAAACAATCATTTCATATATGAAATTATGAAAATAATATTGAGTATAAATTTTATAGAGATCATCTTCAAGCATATTTAGTACATAATAAGTAAATTGTATCTGATATGAGGGCTATATCTTTTAGTAGATCACACTTATATTAGGTAAGACACTATAGTCGGGTGAATGAAAATTGGCCGCTGATGCCCACGCGCATAGCAGTGAATTTTTATCATTGTACCGCAAAGTTATGGAAAAAAGTGCGCGCATTTTGAATTATTATTCATAATGCAATTACATGTCTTAACGTGATCCACTTTGAGATCCCACGGCTTATCGAAAAAAAAAGGTTCCTATCATATTGCCAGCGGCCACTTTTCTTTCACCCGACTATAGACATTAAACATCACCAAATTAATTCAAATTTTGACTTAGATATTTTTAGTGATTCTCTATAAACTATATACTCAAGTGTTTGTTTTAATTAAAATAATTTGTCTTACATCTATTTTGACTTTTTTGATGCCTCGTTTAGATTTTGGTTTTTCTTGAATGCTATTTAAAGCTGCTTTGACATCATCTTCTTCTATTGCTACAACATTTTCCTTTTCTTCATTTAATACTTTTTTTGTATTTTTTTTCGCCTTGGAATTCTTTTCTATAATTTTTGTTTCATCATCTTTTGTTTCCATTATTTTAGGTTGATCTTCTTTCTTTGTTCCTTTTTTTTGTTTTTTTAGTGTATCATCTTCAGTTTCAACAACTGCAGCTTTAACTTTACTATTAACTTTTTTTTTTGGTACTTTATCTGATGAAAAACTTGAGATTTCAGATGTAAGTATATCCACACTAGCAGCTCTCCTATTTCTTTTTGGTAATTCGTTTAAAGGAGAAACGGATTTTAGAGACTCTGGTAAATTTTTATCAACTGGTCTTTTTCGACTTTTGCTAATAACTTTTTCAACAACTTTTGATACTTGTCTATCTTCACTAGCAGCCCTTTTCCTAGTTTTTACAAGTTTGGTATCTTCAACTGTTATTTTTTTGGACTTAAGTTTTGTTTTAGTAACTTTCTTTTGAGGAAGTTTTTCGATAAATTCTGCTTCGTCTACAGGTAGATCTAATTCAGATTCTGACTCTGTTACTTTAGGTTTAAAATCAGGGATTTTATCTAAAACAGTTGTGACATTCATATTTGTATTATTTTCTGAAACAGGTGCTATAACATCCTTTTGAATCACGTTATCTTCAACCATGTTATCTGTAATCATTATGATTCAAAATTAAAAGAGCACACAGAACAATTTTTTTTTTAATCAGAAAAACCCAAGAAAAATAATTAAGTTACAAGACATGAGAAATTTAAAACAACTGTATTACATCATCAACCTAAGCACAACTATCATCTATATTAATTATACATAGTTTGTAGATGACACTTTATTTACAAATCTTATAAGTTATAACAAATTTATTCTGATTTTGCCACAATTATAAATTATAACTTATAATTGTAGGGTAAGTTATTATGGTAGGGAGTACAATAGTTAAACACACACAATACAGTAACCCCTTGATTAGTCATGGTCTTCCGCAGAACTATCTACAGTTCTAAAAATGGGGTTTATGTACAATTTAATATTTAGGTACTGTTTTAGTTGAAACCCACCAAGAAGTGTTCTCTCACTACTTATTACTACTCCGCAGCGCTTTTTTTAGTATATTACTGTAGCACCATGGAAAGTTAATAATATAAAATTATATTCATTAAAAGTCGCCAGCGGTCATAAGGTGTGGTAATTAGATCAACTATGGATGCCATCGGGCATATAAGAATAGAAATTGAGCATGCAGTAAGGCCACCTGTGGGCTCATAATGGTTAACATATTAAAACATCAAAAATATAAGGTATAAGTGGAGGGCATCAACTAAACCAGTACCAATATGTGCTAGTGAAAAAAAAATGTATACAGTAGAAATAGTTTATAATGACAATTATGACATAATTGTATAATGGTCCCAGTAAAACTTCTATATTGTGTTTACTAATTAGTATTGATTATTACGACGTCTGCATAACAACAATACAGACATTATGACAGTTATTTTTGGTTAGTTGGAAAAATTTATATAAAAAAAATACAGCAATATTTTTCTACTAACAAGATAGATGATTTTTTTAGTACAATGTAAATTTAATTTTAAAATAATGAAACAACTTTTTTATTAAATTTTTTTTCTGATATGATATATCATTTTAGTTTCAATTTTGAGAATTAATATCATATTAATGTAAAAGTTTGTAAATTTATAATTAGTAAGTACCTATAAGTAACATTTTAACATTCATTGTTAAGTATTTAGATAAGTACTTGAGGTAGGTATATGAGTACAACTAATAACAAAAAATAAACGGGAACAAGGACTAATTCCCTCTCCTTATTTATATTTGTGTATATAAATCAAAGGAATGTCAAAAGTTTTTAATGTAAATTACACCATCAAAATATATCAATACATTGAATATGAAAAAAAAATATAAAAAACTGGTATTTATAATGGGGGCCTTCGAGTTAATGTATAAAAAACATTCAAATAAGAGAGATGAACAGTATTTTCTCACAGTGCATTAAACCTTGTCTGATGATTAACAACACCTCAAACAACACTAACTTTAAAACAGTTTTAATTCTTGAATACAATCAAAAGGTGAGTAAATATTTTAAATATAGTGGTGTTTGGTAAACATTTTTTTCTCAAGCAATTATTTTTAAGATCATTAACTTGGATTGAATGTTTAATAATTTGTTGAATTTATAGGTTGCCCATTATGACACAAAAAAGTTCATCTTTAACCAGTTATAGATTTAATACTATTAAACTTATAACTCGACTTATAATTAACAAATAAACTTTTGACAATATTTTTTTTATTGATGGTTAATAGTAGGACAGTTTGTAAATGCATTATTTAAGTTAAGTTTTTAATTTTATTTCTATAGCTTAATAACTTGTAAAAGATGAACTTAAAAAAAAATGATAAAAATTGTACCTAGAAAAGGGTCTGAAACCAACATAAGTGCAATGTAATAGTTTCAGTTTTGCTAAAGGTCTTTTTTTTAAATTTAAATTTTAGATTTTGTTAATATTATTAGCAAAATAATTATTAGTTGTGAACAAATTTTGAATTACCTATAGCTAAATATGTAATAATATTAAACTGTGTGATTTCCCAGCAAGTTGTGTCTAATTACATACCAAGAGAATACAATGAGCTACTTTGGTAATCCATCAATAAAACTAGCTAGGTGTATTTTTAGTCCAATAGATTGGTGTATCAGTAAACTGTCTAATAAACTAGCATAAAGTGTAACTTGTAACATTTATGCCCAGTAAGTAGGTAGGTCATCAGATGTGCTTGGGAATTAGTTAGTTAACATTTCATAGGTTACATAAATACGTTAACAAAATATAAGTTATTTACAAGAATTTCCAAAATAAACTTATTATGTTCACATTAGATTATTAGAATAATGCATAGGTACTTGTAATATTAATGCTCATACAAATTTAAGCCTATTAGTGGATTTTCAATAATATTAAATAATATTATAATTTAATGTTTTCAAACAAGCATTTTGTATTTAATTGAGTAATGATCATAGTCGGGATGTTTATGAATTCCATTAATCGTTCACAATTTCATAGCGTCTAAGCATATAATAGTATAACACTACAGTATGGTACCTAACTAGAAAAGATTTTATGGATTTTAACCATTTTGTCTATCATCACAACCCCTGTCGTGAAATAGAATCCAATGGCACTGGTCACAGGATACAATAGCAAACAATCAACGCAAAGTGTAAACAGACACCGATGGGTTGCCCCGATATCCTCGTAGTACCCTCACGCCACACGCTCTTTTACCTTTTGTTACGGGCCGTCTGACAGTGATGTGCATAATATTATCCTCAATGACTGGCGGCGGCACATCGTCGACGGACGGTTTGGCGACCTTCTGAGCGGCTTTCCTCTTCGGCGGCATGGCGATTCGCGGCTATGTAGTGAGCGGGAAGATGAACTGTGAATGTCACACTGCACAAAACAAAAACATTAAGTCAAATGGCACGCAACTCGCGGAATGCCGGACATGACATACGACATGGGTCAAGAGTACCTTTTAAAGCGGCGGCAGATGTCGGCCTTGACCGTGGTCGGTTGGACACGAACACGCGGGACTCGGCTGTCTGAGAGACGGTCTGCGATTACGCACACGGCGTGGCTGCCTGAAACACTGAAAAATTAACGGCCGGATGAGACGTGTCGCGTGCTGCGAACAACCAAAATTGACACGAACCTGTTCAACGACGACGATGACTGCGGACAGAAGCCACCTTGGACGGCGCGCGAGTGCTGGAAATCGTGGTGATGGACGAGCGACTGCGAAGACGCAAAGTGGGAACGGCTTTTGCGGTGTCGGGAACTCGATAATGGAGCGAACCGCCGTGATACGACAGATTTTCACGCCGAACTTTTACAGAGCTGCCACAACCCCGGCCTTCGAGCCGGCGCGGATGTGTCGCGCTGCCGCGGTGGTGTCGCGCGTGACCGCGGAGCGCGGGAAATGGACGTAAATAATTTACAAAACTGTAATCGACTCAATAATATTGTACAACACCGCTAATCGATATTCGTCATTAGTTATTGTTATTATTGATATTATTGTCCGCCGACAAGCGATTTTTCAACGATAGAACATTGAAATTCCAATGTCGATACACGGCGATATTATTGCCGGAAACGGCTAACCTGCGCGAGTGCCGTTCGTGCTCTATTGTTGTTGTCCGTTTTCGAGATATAAATAGAATTATGTCGTTTTTGAAGGCTCGCCGCCGAATGGAGCGCTTCACTTTCGCATTAATTCGTCTTAATCGTTCGTGCGACGTGTTATGTCTGACTCCGAACGTCATATCAAATCTCGCCGAATCGCGGCCGTACGCATAGTCGCGATTTCAACGAAATCTCAATTAATCGTTGAAACTAAACAGGGTTCACTCTTTCACAGCTAAGTTGTGTCGTGTGGTTTTATTGTATTCGGATTGGACGCTGCCCGCTGCAGTCGTAGCTTCACCAACCACGAACTAGGACACTCCCGAAGTCAGGCCTAGAACAACTCTAAGACTCGTGTGGACGACACCGACACGGCAGACGAAGAATCCGGATTTAGTCCGCTAACGAGTTAGGTACGATCACGGATTATATAATGAGCGAATTCGCCACCCGCACCGCCACGGCTAATTTTAATAACCATTTTTATATACCTATTATATCTATAAAGGTATTGTATACTGCAGGGTATCCGAAAGTGGATGCTACCAATCCATCGTGGGCATTTTTTATTTTGAAGGGTGCGTTTTTCTGGGGGGGGGGGGCGCTTTTCTGTCATTTACATTTTTATTCTCGATAACTGGTTGCAATAAAAAAAGCTGTAGTGAGGTTCAACAACTTTTGACCGAATCGAGAAACTAATTAGAAATATGCTGAAGAGGAGATTTAGGACTAATGCTGACATCTATCGAGCCTGCAGATATAATTTCGTTAGCAGGAAACCATCAACCTCGGAGCAGTCATTAATCACATAGGTATTTTTGTGTTATTATTTTATATTAGCAAATTCGAAATCAAATTATATAATTCATATTATTAAGAGGTATTTAAATTTAAAATGAACTAAATCGTTGAGTAAAATTCTATTTTTTCTTTAATTAAATTGTTTATTAAAAAATAAAACGTTAATATTTTTAAAAAATTGATTGGTGGAGGTGTGAGATTTAAATTAAAAGATTGGGAAACACTGCTCTTTAGGTTAACTGCTAATTTCAAAACTCTGGGGGCTGAGCACACCCGTTTTGGGGGGTTTGACGTTTTACCTCTTCCTAAACTAAGCCTATGGTTATTTCAACCACGACAAAGTTGCCCTTAGTCATTTAGTGTTCTTTTTTGATGATTTATTGTATTATAATTTTTAGATATACTATAGAGTATAGACCCTAAGACGTTGTTCATCGGATTAACTTCATTCAAGTAGGTTACATCATTATTTATAATTTAAGTATTAAAGCAAGAAAAATGTTTTTTATTCTTCAATGATGAATAGATAAGCACCTATATTTCACTTATACTGATCAATAATATAAGATACAAGTGTTAAATTTAAACTGCATCTAACTAGCAAACCTATTTAAATAACGTTTTTGAGAAATTATGATTTGTCCCCTCGACTTTTATTAAATTGTCGAATACCGAAAACAATTTCTTTATTACATACCACTGAGTATAATGTGTAATCGTTTTCTGACTTATGGCCTTATTACCTAACCTAACTTGTGTAAGGTCGGACTGTGGGCTGTTACACTTATTAAGCGTGTGTTTCCGTTTACCCAAATTAATACTTAAATGTGACGCCAATTACGTCGTCGTGTTATTTTTTTTTTATAATTTGGCGTAGATTACATACTCCTTTAAATTTACCTTTACCCAATGGTGGCTCAAATTACAAGTACTATAAATTTGTCTTTCAAAATTTCATCGTCCAACGAGACGAGTACCTACCTACTATAATACCTACCTGGCTACTCCTCGAGGGTCACCGCACGGGAAGGGCGGATAATGAGGAAATTACCTGTTGGTTCCTGGGATTTTATTAGCTGTATTCAATTTAGGGGCTAGGTCAATTTGGTCTAAAATAATTTGTGTGGACATTTTAAAAGTGGTAAGTTTATGTAAAAGAGTGGTAGGTAAGTTGGGTCTCGGAAAAATATACTACATATTAATACGATAATCAGATTTGAGTTTGTTAAATCCTTATCATTTACGTTTTTACTGAGTGTAAAATATTTTAAAAACACTTACATTTTAATTAAATTAATTTTTTAATTCATACAATTTATATCAAGAATATAATATTTTAAATTTATTTATATCATTATTTACATTTTTTCCTGGATTCACCTTACCTGCTTCTTTTTTTCTGGAACACAATCTACCAAACCCTTGTAATTTAAGAACATGCATAATATGGCATATCTTATAGTTCATAAAATATTTTTGGAATGTATAAGGTCCCTTACATAAAATAAAATAGTTATTGTAATTGGATAAAATTGTAGGCTTATATTTTATATTTGGTCTAAACAACCCAAATGTGTATGTCAACAATTGTGCAGTTTACTTTTAACGAAGTGTATGAAGTGGTGATAAATCCTCTGACAATGATGTGCAGGATCAATTAGTACTTAGCAGGTATCTAAATATAATAATATAGTACCTATGCTTATTTAGTTATATTATATAGGTAGAATAGGTTGATAATTGATTTATAGAACAAAATAAGATTAACATAAAAACGATAATTTCTATTCAGGTTCACACTATATTGTTATAAGAACAGGTTACCTACTTATCGAATAACGTGGATTACGGTTCGTTTCTGTATCCCCACTACCTACCTATAGGCAACATTGCATTTCTTCAATTATATACCTTCATGGCTACATACTATAAATGACCCATTGGTCATTACTGGCTTACTGCCACTAGGCCACACTCGATAATATAATATACTGTATAGGTTACTATACACTTATACGTGTATTATATGTCAATTATACATTTGATTGAATTGTCTGGATTTCAGTGGTTGAAACAAATTTTATGAAGTGATTTAAATACGATAATAAAGGTAAGCATTTTCAAATTGAAACACGTATAATTTAATTTCAATACAATTGACTTCTGAGTACCTAAATATTGACTTTATAATACTTACAGTAGTAAATAAGTAGTATTAGTAGTAAATAATAATACAGTTGTAGCCTGTAGGTACCTAATTGCAATTTAAAAAACTTCTATTGAAGTTGTTGATGACCAAACTTCATCAGTACTTAATTCTGATAGAGCCAAACAAATTTTTTATTATTTATTCAATATTTCGTTACAGTATTATTTGTTGAGTACTGAATACTACGGGTGCTACATAGTAATAACCAATAAATTGTTACAATGTGGCATCATTATTATTCATTACTAATAAGTAATAACCATAGACGTAATCTATGTTCGGACAGAGAGGGGAGAGTTCTCCTGATATTTTATAGTGGGGCAACAAAATCGTTTTAAGATCAATCCTGTCTTAACTCATATTTATTGTATGTCACAACATATATTTTTTTTAAGCTAATGGTTGAGCTTGAATATTATTTTTCTGTGTGCGTGTTATGTAATTGGACATTAAAATACATTTTATATTTTATCTATGTAACTATATGTAACCTACATAGTTATGAAGGAAGCTATACAGTTTATTCATTATAATATGGATAGACGGATAATAGGTACCTACTAATTTAGTATATTTTAATTTATTTTACAACTAAAGAAAACTTCAAGGATTGCTATTTAGTTGTAAAGATTAAAATATATTGGTTCATAGGTAAATGTAAATTATTTGAGTTGTATAGAATGGTGTCATCGGTGTCATACTTTATAGTCCGCTAGGTACCTTATTATTTATTAATACACAAACAGTCTAATATTTATTTAACTTATTTATTAATATAAAAACACACATTTCAATTTCCACTTCTTAATAACATTACCTACCAAGCAAGTGTTGTATTAGCCATTAGGGGATAACTTCAAGACGTTATAGGACGTAACTTCTATAGTACTATGCAGCATTTTATAGCTAGATACCTATATTTAACGCACAACATGTGCCTTAATTATAAAATTAAAATATTATTAATTATTTTATAACGTGTAATCTATTTTGAATAATGAAGTTGTTGTTTAATTAATATTTTTCTATCTAAATACAATTATATTTCTACATAGATTACAGGTATGTGCTGGTAGGTATCGATAATTTTAATACAACTATGTGCATATTTATAGTTGTTAGTGGAAGAGGAAGCTTATCATAGTTTTTTTATCAGGTCATTTTAACCATAATATTAATTGGTAATTGTATAATGTATATGTCTACTAAATATAAACTATATACAATATATTGTAGGTACATCATTACGATTTTCGATAAGAAATTAATTACTAACATTTTCACTGTTCATGAAAAAAACAAAAAGAGTAATTTGGTTAACCTAAATATAATTGATCGCTACCTATTTCTGAGGCTTGAATAATAAGTTATTTATTATACTACCGTTCACACTTCCACCCGTCGAAATTTGACCATGATAATTGTAAAATAAACACGCTACAAAACATTGCATTTATTATCGCACACACTGTTCGGTATCAGTGTTAGTGCTTCTTTTTCTTTTATTCGGACGAATCATGAATATTTTTTATTTTTTATATTTAATTTCACTGAACAGATTTCGGAACATATGACAGAATATTATATTATCTGTCTCAACGAGGGAAATTCTATTTGATTTTTATCACGAGTTTTATAATTAGCGTCGAAAGAAGTTATGAATGTTTTAATCAGATCTATAAAATATAGAGCTATAGACTGATATTTTTTATATACTTAATTTTGGAGTGGCAATTCAAAAATTAGGTACTATTGATATTTTTCTTTTTTTTTCTGTGTAAGCGATTTTGTGTTTTGAAAGTCTGGAATGTTATAAATTTAATAATGAATAATGGATAAATTCAGTAAAATGATTATTATTTCGATTAAGATTTTAAAGATTAAGTTAGGTAAAAACGCACTATTTCCAACCAACATCACTGTTGGGATAAATTACTAATTAGTCAACTTGGTACATTAAAGAAAAATTATAAATATTAAATAAATAAATATTTTTGTAGATATATAACAATACATGTTTGGGGCTCCCAGTGCAGAGGCTTCGGTCTTAGTAAAATATTTTATAACCATTTAAATGAACACAACAATATTAAATTGTACATACAAAGGCTGAACACAGTTTGGTATACACTCTCATAATCTCTAGAAATCTATTAATACTATTTATTGAAAACGGTCCAGTAGTTTCTGAGTTTATAATAATGATATTTTATTTATTTAATTTATTTATTTTGTGACATTATCGATTCCCCCCTATGTTTATGGTATAATTTGATGTCTTACTTAGTTTTGCTAAATATGCCAATAGCACGTTTTTTTTATCGTCATCACTCAATTAATCAAGCTTCAAAATCATGTTTAAAAAAATAAAATGTGTTATACTAGGTATACAATACATTTGAGTTAAGACAGAATGAATCTCAAGACTCTATAAAACCGTTTTGTTGCCTTTACAATAAAATGTAAGGATATTAAATTTTCTTCCCCTCGTCCTCCACAGTCCACGTCTATAATGGTTTTTAACACTGATGAATATTTTAAAATATCCTAAATTTATGAACCTAGTTACTTATTATTTTTAATACAATATTGGAATAAATTTGTCATAATATTTTGTATCTTTAAATTAAAATAATCATTATAATCTGAAAATGTAATAAGTAATTAAGAAAAATAAGACCTATTAACTATTATAATATGGTTACTAAAATTTATAATTTGAATTATTAAGTTACTCTGGTAGGTATTAAATATTTGTATATGTAAGATTAATGTAATATTATAAAATAATAGTCTAATACGACAATTTTACTATTTTAAAGTTTAATCTTTTGGCTTAAAAAAATGTAGGTCCAGATTGTAAAAAATCATTCTGTGAGAATAATTCAAAATTCGATTATTCTAAATATTGAGCTTATTTTTAAATATTTACATGAACTCTAAATATATTACTCTTAAGGTAATGGCTTAAACACATGTAATTTGTCCTACAAACCCAGAAAATAACTAGGTAGTTATAATTTTAACGTTCAAAATAATCTGTTTTACTCTGTTACTATCTTCAAGTAGGTTATTTTTAATATTTTAATTTTGAATCAAGTTACCTAAGAATTTTAAAATCGGTGACGTCTCCTTAGTAGAAGTTATTATTAAATAGGTAGGTAGGTAGGTATTTCATTAATAGGTAATACACAGTCGTTTCACGTTAGTGCAAATTTAATTGTAGCAAATCAAAAGTTAACCTATGGGTTTATCGTTGATCTCCAATATTAAATAGGTAAAAGTACCTACATATAATCAATATTTTTTCTAATTGGTTTATTACAGGTACATAATTTATAACACTGTGTCATTAATAAATAATATAGCTCATAATTTGTATAAATGAGTACTTATGGTTTTTGTTTTTTTTTTTTTTTGAGAAATATTAACAGAAATTATTATGTCTCCTGAATACCCTATTCACGTAACCTCATTACTCATTACCCATTCGGTACTCATTATATACTTATAAAAATAATAAACCTAATCAGCCTATCAGAATTCGCCAAAAATACCTATATTATATTTACAGGTATAATAAATAAAAGGTAAAATGTGTTACGCATTTATACACACATTTATAACATCAATTATTTTTGTTTTTAATTATAGAACTAAAATTTGTCAACATGCAGAGGGCATATTGTACGGTTTTTGCGTTGATTATTAGCATTTCGTTTGTATTCGCAGGTAAATTTTCTGGTTTAAAAACGATTTGGTTTACACATTTTTTAGGCAGGCAAATCATTATAATTATTGACAAACGTTTTCAGACAATTTATCACCAAATTATTGGTCGTCTGACGATGACACACTACCAGAAGTGCTACCAAAAAAGATGCGCGACAAAAGCGATGACGAGATTCAAAAAGCTGTTTTTCAAGCATTTGAAAACCAGCTCAAAGTGATTTCTGAATACACTGGGCACGTGTTGGATCCAGAATCTCCGTACGGATTCTTCAAAGACGAAATGCCGATTTCAAACGCGAGGACTTCTAATCCGCAATCTGATCTCATATTTTACAATAATGCCATTAGAGGGTTTATTGGACATAATAAAAACAGTATTATCATTAAATGGGCCCCAAATCAGGTATTTCATACTATCGGCTTTTGAATTTATCAGTTGGAAAAATTTTAATTGGATGCCTTAGAAATATAAGATATAAATAAATTGTAAATAGTCTGCAATTCTTAGAATGTTCAAGCGGATACCTGCTATGCTTATTAAGACAAAAAAATTGTCTAATATCTAGATAGTATACTCAGTTCATCATCGTAAAAAATACAATAATACAATGGTTATTAGATGAATTATATAAATCATTATATGGAATAGCGTCAATAGTAATGCAATGATAATGATGTCACATATCACCCAGTGCTCTCCTACTGTGTTTGTTTTCTCCATTAGGTACCTACTTTATTGTACCACACATAGCAATACATACCGAGTTTACGTTTTGCTGTTCATGTTTAGTTTCGTTATTTTTAATATTTAGTTTTATTATAGATTAAATTGACCTATTATTTATATAATTACCTATATCTCATTTGAAAATTAAAACATCGAAAAATAACCTCCAAAAAAACATCTAACTCTCTAAACAGCCTATACAATGTCGTTACAATGTTAGATTTAGGTTTAATAATAATATTCAAACTAACAAAACTAAAGTCTAAAACAGAACTGCTGAACGTATACATTTTATATAAGTAATATGTTAGTAGGTATTTTACTCGCTCGATGGAGATAAAAAATGTTGATTTGCAGTCCTCTTAAACTATTTTATTAAGATTTTTCTGTGTGTAATCTCTATATGGCCAAATGGTTATATAGCTTAATCATGTATAGAAAAGCATATGTTTATTTAACAGATTTTGCCATATTTTAAGCCTAACCTACTACACGAAAGGTGTTAATATTATAAGATCAAACTACAAATATTATTATTATTTGTGAAACTGTGATCTCACTTTCGAAATTGAAGTAGAAAAATTAGCAACTGCCTTGTTTGATTTCACTTCGCTGTTATGCATTAAATTAACAACAATTATTTTTCAATTGACTAAACAGAATGGTATCAGAATAAAATAAAACTACACTTATAATTAAATAAATAGTAGATACCTATACATTATTAACTACATACATGCATACACGTTATAAACATAAATATTAACAACTAACATTAGTTGTTTTCATTTGTCAATATTACCTAGTTATTCAAAAAGTATAATTTTGTATTTCAATTCGAATTTACTTTATATGGGTATCTATTTTATTATTAATAATATTCGTAATCCATGATATTATGGTTTATAACCATTAAAATATTTCAAAAAATCAAGAATGGAATATGAATGGACAAAATAAAATATGTATAATGAACTATGATTATTTCAATATAAATATATTACTCTTGTATAGGTCGTTACTGAACTAGGATGGAAAGAAATGAGTATCAGAGGAAGGTATACTTTCATGAATTCTTCGTATTTTGATCAAGGAAAGTACCATATCCAATTACAAGATATGAAGTATCTTGCTAGCACTACACTTTCAGAAAACACCGAATCATACCCATCGTCCGTACCAAAATCTAGCATTTCATACAAAAGTGTTAAGGTATCATTCACAGGTGGTTTACCAGAATTATTAAAGACTAGTGATTCTACTAATGTCAAGTGAGTTTATAAAAAATAAAAAATACACTATTTTCTATAAATAGTATATATTTTTAATTCTATATTTAAAAAAAATTACTTTAAATTATTTTACCTTTTTATGGATCTAACAAACATAGTGGATCAATTAAATAAATCATAAATTGTATGAATTTTTTGAGTGTTTTAAGTCATAAACATTAATAACCCTAGTTATAAACCGTATATCATGAGTATACACTACCTATACTATATTAAATTTCAAGAATAAAACTAAACTATAAAGTCTAAAAATGGTTTAATTAAGCTACAAAATACTACCTCTAGCAGCTATAGCTTATAGGTAATACTGCATGTAACAATATTAATAATATATTCAAACAAAATATGATTTAGTGATTATGATATGATTTCAGGTACCTATTACAAAAAACAAATTACAAATAACAAATATGTATTATGTATATGGTATATGTATAGTGCATTAGTAGATTACATATTATTTAATTTAACGTTGATTAATTAATATTGTTTTTAAACATATGTAATGTATTCAACTATTATCAATAATTTGTATAATTTAAAGAATAGTAACGGTTCATCTTAATGGTTATGTTCTTATGTAATATAAAAACATAAGTGTGTTGTGACTTGTACCTATATCCTATGAATTTAATAATGGGTATAAATACCATTCATATTTCGTTGCTTAAAATAAAGAATATTTTCTCTATTATACAATTACAAATTAATCTTCTGACCATACAGACTTGTACAGACTTGATATTTCTTAATTTAATTCCAAATTTTAAACTTCTGGTATTTCGATGTATTGATGTAACTATCTTGAAGATATTTCATTATCTATTGCATTAGGCATGGGAAAGACCAGCTGTATTTCGTACGTAATACGTTATACACTTATACCTATACGTCTATTATCTAAAATCTATAATAAACCTTTTCTGTTTGATACATCCTGTAATGGTATTATAATATACGTTATATAATAACTAGCGTTAATTTTTTTATATGCAAGCAGTGCGCATGATACGATCGTGTCTATGTTGAAATTAATATAATCAAATTAATCGTGTATTTCAAAAATGATTAATAGTTTGTCAATTTTTAAAATATATATGTATGTATATTTAAATTTATAATTTTAGGCACTTCATTGAAGATATCGTTTTCCAACAAGTAGCCGATCGCGTAGTCAGGGACACTCACAACAACATCACCGTGGCCATACGTCAAGTCATTAAACCGTACGTCATGATCAAAAACGACACCGAAAAAAACTTTCCCGGTACAAACGGAAAGCTTCCCAGTGGCAGCGTAGGGTACAGCATCAGCAACACGGTCATTAGTGGCTTGGCTAATGCTGAACACAAATTAAAAAAGGTCACCACGAAAATGGCCACCAACACGGTTACAGCTGATGTGCGTACAACGATTCATAACTTAGATGGAAAATTCGACTTCAAGCTCGAGGAGAGTAAGCCTACCGTCGGCAAAGCAACGTTCATCATTAGCAGAATCGATGTCAACCTATCGTTCAACATGCTCAAGCCCGTCGAATGCAAGGCCGAGATCGTAGTAAACCAGCCGAATGTTAAATACGGTACAAAGTTGTCGGCCGACATTGAAAAATCATTGACAAACGCATTTATCGATAATGTTAAAATCCAATTGAGCACAAATACCTGCAAGGCTTTGGGCCAGGTGGCTAAAGCTGGAAAATAAAACAAACAAAAACTATTTCATTTATCCTAGAATCGTCGTACAGCTTATTTTTATAATTAACTATTTTTTTTAACCGCACGGTTAAGACAAGTAATTATTAATCAAGGATAACTATTTTTAAATTATTGTTTTTGCCCCAATAAAATTGTTATTTAACTAACATAATAATATTATTGAACATTCACAATATTACAAAATATACGTATAATATATAAACATGTGTGAAATTAATGAAATAATTTTATGAACACGATGTAAGTACACATGTAATATCGATACAATAATGTCGAAAAATAATTTGGTATAATGTATAAATTGATTATAATTTAAGTTGCTTATGTTAACTAAATTGTAATTAGTCTAAATCAGTGTTTCTCAACCTTTTTTTACTCAACACCGCTTTTAGATTTTAAAAATGTCACAACGTCCCACAATCAATTTACTAAAAATATTAACGTTTTATTTTTTAATATGCTATTTAATTTAAGAAAAAATTTAATTTTACTCTACGATTTAGTTAATTTCAAATTTAAATAACTCCTAATAATATGAACTAAATAATTTGATTTCGAATTTGCTCATATAAAACAATAACACAATAAATACTTATGTGATTAATGACTGCCCCGAGGTTGACGGTTTCCTGCTAACGAAATGATATCTGCAGGCTCAATAGATGTCAGCATTAGTCTTAAATCTCCTCTTTAACATATTTCTAATTTGTTTCTTGATTTGGTCAAAAGTTGTTGTTACGCCGTTTTCTTTGCAATCAGTTATAAACAATAAAAGTGCAAATGATTCTATGATAGATGAACGCTCCCTTAGAAAATTCCCCCTGCAACATAAAAATGCCTGTGAGAGGGCAGTAGCACCCACATTGGGAAACATTGGTCTAAATTTAATGTTAGTTGTTGATATCAAACATTTTAGTAAGTAAATTCTAGGTTCCAATACAGGTAAATTACATGTAGGTATAGTTAATACTTAATATTTAGTCCTACTAAACTATTTTGGTTTGAAAATACAAAGTATTATGTTATATTTAAAATGTTTGAACACTAAGTGAGATATAAACGGATCAATACATACAATTTTGAGTCTTATGTAAACTATACAGTATACTTATTACCTACTTAAAGAACATAATTATGTTGAAATAACATGATTTTTTTATACAACATGTATAAACTTCTTTAAAAAAACAAAATTTGGTTTCAATAAATTCCAACAGGTGTCAAACGAAGTTCAAATTGTTAAGGAAAAAACACTTGATGAGATTAACATAATATTATGTATAAATGATTTATACTTTATAATTTATTGAAAGAAAAAAATATAATTTCAATACAATTATTGATGAACTTGGTCTTCAAAGAACGAGAATCAACAACATTTTTTTAGATTCTGAGCTTACCGATGAATGTATTGATTTTATAATAATTTGTGTCTTTTAATTTTTTTCTTGTGCTTCTGAACACTTATTTACTGCTTTGATAATCAACTTCAATGGAAGTTTCTTGTAGTAAATTGGATCTAGTTTGCATGTACTTTTGGGAGGTCAACGTTGAAAATTATTGTTGTGCATATTAAACAGTTCGACAATCTTTGCACAGAATCCTTGTTCATATACAATGATTTATCATTGAATTCAAATTTATTAAGTCGTCCATTACATTGCCTACTCAATAAAAGGACAGGTAGTCTCGAGTTATGAATTCTACTGTACAGCAGAACGGTCGATTATACTTCTGTCTTCCCCATTTTTTTAAAATTTCAGTTCATTCATGTACATTGTGCTTATAATACACAACATTAATAATAGAAAAAAATACCTATAACAATAAAACATTTAATCTATTTAGTGTACTGAGCAACCGATAAAAATTACTAAATCAGAATGGCACATAATATATTACAACCATTATTTATTTGGTTGAAGCTACCTATGTTAAGGTTTGAGTTGGTAAAGGTATATAAAAGTTTTAACAACAATTTTTTTCCTTTTGAGTCTTGGATTTCCAATCCATATATAATAATTTAAGCCTTGTTAAAATTAAGAGAACGAAGTCAAAATGTTATAAAATTATATTGTTATTATCACAAAAGAATTGTACATGTTGAAATAACTCTAAATCTAGTAAACTACATAATATCTACGAGATATTTTACAATTTAAAAACTCATGAGAAAATATTTTATTAATTTACTAAATACAATAATGAATATGATAAGAAGAACCTAACAAATTAAAATTTTAAATAAAAGAGTTCATCTTTATGAATTTCATTTTCGCGACTTTTAGTATCATTATAACTATCGAAGTCAAAAGGGGATTAAAGTATTAAACCAATTGGCGATTACAAGCATAGGTAGTTCAGTAGCTGGTAACTATGAAATTGGCCAATTTTGAAAATATTAGTAACACAATATATAATAATGTTAGCATTACAATATCGAGAGGTTTTAAATAAGCAATAAATAAAGTGTAACAATATAAAATGCAATTATAAGTAGGTAGGTACATGATAAAATATGTATCCGACAAATAACAAATAGTAACAATAATTTTACCGTAAAAATAATACAACTGATATATATAACGCAAATTGAATGTATTTATCTATAGTTTGTTCAGCCAAATATTAAGGTGCAATATTTGAAAAGCACCTAAAATGTAAACGACAATATAATATTATTGAAATGGTAATAATGGGCTTAAGAAAATGTTTTTTATGTTTATTATTTCAATCGAGTTTAATATAAAGTTTAACAATATTTATATGCAAACAAATAAAAACAAACATTAATTCAATTTAACTTAATAATAGATTAGTAGGCAGGTAATAAAGTTTACTGTGGTTCAAAGAATATTAAAATGGATGGACGTTCATTATGGTAACCTCAATTTTTTGCATATTTAATCAATGGTCAAATTTTGTCAAACTATAAGAACTATCAGTTTTTCACGGTTTATGTGTATTCTATATTCACCCCGAAATTACAGAACTGGAAAAATAAATTATCGAAATGACGACTGTTTTCAAAACCACTTTAAGGCCAATTTTAGTATTTTGTCAGTTCTTAGGAATGATTAACATTTCTTATACATTGCAACCAACGGGATTATTAGTCCACGATACTCATTCAACAATCAATTCATTCCTTGAAGTAGCACGCATTTGTTTGTTATTGACGTTCACCTTCATACTTTGCGGATGGAAACTATTTAGTTTCATGGAAATAATATTTCTTCTTAAATTTTGGTCTGTCATTATTGCAGCAAGATTTTCAGAAATATGGATAGTAAAGTATGATTACCTATGTACATTTTTATTATATGTATACAATAAATATTTATTTCAAATATTTTTTAAGTTTAAATTAGGCATAAATTCACAATAAGAGCTTAATTTCGGTGCATGAAAAGATCGTCAAGTGAGACTAGTAGTTATGGGATATACAATATACCTACATGATATATAGGTTAGACCAACTTATCATAATCATTAGGTTTGTGGAAATAAAACTTTTTTATCATACACTGAAGGTATAAATAAATAAATGATAAGTTTCTTTTTAAATTTTCCTCTATTTTATACCAATCAAAAGGATAATTAATTTGGATCCTTTTTAGGTGATTTATAGATATCCATTCCTAAATTAGGATCAATCCACCTCTGTCCTACTACTTTTTACTTAGTACCTACCTATGGAATGGCTGCACTACTGGAATGCACTACTGCAGTGTTACAGCCACCCTATATCATATTATGGTTTTCCGATTTACGTTAGACGTTCTTGATTATACCGACTATAATCATTATAAAATTATACACACACAACTTTAAGGATGGAAATAGACCAAATAGAATAATTTTTTATAAACTAATTTTTTTTTTTGCAAAAATGTCAATATAAAAATGATTAACTATAGCCTATAGGTAATATTAAAAATAATTTGTATTTTTTTTTTTAAGGCTGGTCAATGGCATTATAGAATTTGATGAAAAAGCTGCACTTCTTTCGACATATTTGTCTGTACAACAGCGTTCTTTGAGTAAACGATTTTTAAATACTGTTTATATTTTATTACTGGTGTACTTTGTTGGATTTGAACTTTACTACCTGTACTTATTTACTCCCAAAACAATAAATATTCATATAAGCGTACGTTATTTGTTTACTGTGCCATATTTGTTGGACTTTGCTGTTTTAATTTCATCATGTTTTTTTCTCATTAACTTAAAAAATAGATTTCAAACATTACTAGATTTTTTAAAATTTCTTCCTATTGAATCCGATTTTCCTAACGAATGGACAAATTCTGAAGTAGCTATGTCAATGGAAAAAATACGTTTGTTACACTCTGAACTCTCTGAACTATTAAACATATTCAGTTTGAGTTACGGTCTATTGCTTTTAAGTTTCTTTGTATTCAATTTTATAAATTTAATGTTCCAACTTTTTTTATCGATTTGTTTTGAAATGCCTCTTTCTGATGCACCACCATTCAAAATATTCTTAAGAAAAACATTAACCCTCATATTAAATATTCAAGTTGTAGTCTTTACGATGTCCATTATTGTTGCTGTCTCGTTGATACATGATGAGGTAAGTTATACCTACCTAATTATTTAATAAATAATAATACTTATTGGTACATTGCACAGCATTATTAAGGCAGGTATGTTCAGCAGCGGAAAAATTCATCCATGTATGCCAAATATTTACTATATATGACATATGTTCAATAATATTAAAAAAATTGAAATATTCTTAAAAATATTTCTTTTTCTCTTTAAAAACCAAAAAATTAAATTAACATATTTTGTTTATTGTTCTTTCCTAGTCTATTTTTTTACGCTCGTATATAAACAAGAAATCAACAAACATTTAATAAATGTATGTATAACTCTTGTCTTTCAACCAAATGAACAATATTACATTGTGTTACAGTTACTACCATTTTTCGAATGTACATGAGTGTCAGTTGTTCACCAATAGATTTTCGTAAAATAATATTTTATTATTTAAATCAATTGTTTTTCAAATGCGTATACAATCAAATTAAATATTGTATAGGTAATATGTAAAATATGCACTTCAACTACATACATAAAAAAATATGCTCTTATTTGGAAAAAAGCTAAATGAATAATAAAAGAAAAAAAATTGCTTTAAGCTCCTATTGTATTATGAAACAAATGTCTTATATCTATATTAATTAGCAGTGTTTTCAATCATCATTGAAAAATATGTAAACTCATATTATAAGAACTTCATTCTAATCAGTTATAATTATGTAAATATGTGAGTATAGGTGATTTAAAGAATGTACAGTATCGAGTTTCAAGTCTTAATCATTAATCATAATAAATTACGGTTTACGAGATTTTATCTTTACAGTTAATCATTACCCTAATTATTAATAACTAAATATTTAATTACAATAATAGATATGTCTATTAGAATACACAAGCATATTTTTGAACATATTATTCCAGAAAAGGAAGATAATATCATATTTAAGATTATATCGTATATCAAACTTACACTCCGACGTAAAACGACAAGTAAATTATATTTAAATTAATACTATTTCACGACTTTTGATAATTCACAAAATACTTAATTAATTTTATTATGACATAATATATCCTCTTAATTATTAGCATATGTTAACTGTTTAACATTCGCACACAAATTAAAAATGCAATAATACAATTTGAATACCAATTAAAACGTATATATTGGATATTATAAGTTATTGATTAAAACTGATTATCTGATGATATTAGTTCGTTATTATAAAATAATCTTTATAATCATTAATCGTTATAAAAATAATGTGATTAATAAATGTTTACTATATACCTATAGGTTAAAATGTTTATGCTTCAACTATCATTGTTTGAATTGGATGAAATTACCACCTACGGATTTTTCAATATAAATTTGAATATTGTTATGTCAGTAAGTATTATTTAATATATTTTGTATTATTAAAATATGTGTTATTCAAATTTCACAATACTTTAATTCAAATATTTTACTACAGCACAGCTAAAGATTGAACTATTAAACATATTTGATACACCTATATAGATAATAGTGTTCGCTTGCAGTTATGTATCAAATACCTACGCAATAACTTAAATAGATAACGACCGTATATACTAAAACGGTTTAATTAACGATTATAAAACCAGCGTAGGTAGCAACCAGGAGTATTTAAGGGTTAATATGAGAGATTGTTTTCATATGAATTATATATACGCCACTGAAGTTAAATATACACATGTAAACCCAAATATCAAAAGTTAAATCAACTGCTACATTTCTATGTGTATAAAATAACATTAAGTTGTTACAATTTCAATGTATATGATGATTTTATTATAAAAGTTTAGCGTTGTTTAGTATTAATCGACCAATAGATAATAAATAATAAACGGGTATATATTTTAAAATACAAAAATGAATACTGATTTAATTTTGTAAAAACTGTACAAAAAATGAAAAAAATAGGGAAAGTTACTTCATGTAGATTTTGTGGTGTTAACTGTATACCTTGGCATTGAATAGGTCACTATGTAATGGATATGTTAAATATGAATTAAATAATAATTGACAATGATCATTGTAAACGATGAAATGATTCTGAGAGGAGACCATTTGTCAGCTTATATTTTTAAGGATATTTCATGATCATATATAGGTACTATATAGGTTGCTGTTAAATTGTATACACAACCAAGTCCATGTACAATTTCCTTGTTGACTAGATTTATTGCTTGTTAGTTTATACTAAATCTAGATTTAAGTATTTTCTGTACATCAATATTATTATCTAGGATTCACTTTTTGAGTTATTTTGGGTATGTTCACATTACGAACTACACTTACTTTACTTTACTATTCGTAAAGAGAGTTTTCAGTAGATAATCGTGTATGTGGTGGTGAAAAGTTTAGACACACAAATCGTTGTAAAATTAATACATTTATCACTCAGATCAAAATCTAGAATTGGTGACCATAAATTCTGTACATATAATTTTTCAAGTTTATACATTCAACCCTTAAGTTTTCTTAAAAATATTATTTTTATTTTTAGATTACAGTGTTATTTATAACTGGATTAATCACATTAATACAAATGAAAAATCACACAATTATGATGAATATTTACAATACCTAGTACGTTTACCGCGGTATCCGGTATGTTTGATTTATAATCACCATTCAATGTATTCTTAAATATTATTATTTTATTAAATATAATTAAATAAACTAAATTGTTTTAGAACTTAAGTAGGTATTGCTGATAAATTTATTTTATTGTAATTTTTTGTAGTATGCAAAAGCCTATATAGTATGTTAATAAAAAATAGTACACTTATAAGTTATTATACGCATAAAATTATTCAATGTATTATTATCTCTATAATTATCGATAAAAATTCTATTATTCGTTTGAAAACTATAAAAGTATTTAAATGAATTCCTAAATTAAGGATAATACCTACTTAAGATGTGTATTTATTATAATATTTGTTTAATTCTACTTTTTACAAAAGTAATATTGGCTTCTCAACTTCTATATTATACCTACAGTTAGGTTAGGTTATACATTTTAATGTACATCTTTATTATATATTAATAAATGTATTATTCACATCCATATTTATTGTATTCCCATAAAAATAATGTTATGTTCTATTGAGTAAAATATATATTATTAAGCTGTTATTTAGAGAAATTATTTTTCTATCGAGTATCGACCTAGAAAATGATCAAATGCAATAATTGTTGTAATGAAAGGTAATTTTAAGTGCAACTATTATTGGTAGAGCGAATGTAAGTTTTTACACGAGACATTACAGGTAACTAAAATACATATGTCAATTTCTACACTCTAGAAAAATTAGATATGTAAGTAGTAAGTTTCAACACGGCTGAAAGAGTGGTATAATATGTAGTTCCTACCCTGTTCAGTTCCTAAAAGTGCGTATGTAAGTTCTTACATGTCAGAAAAATGTACTACTTTATGTAAACACCATAATTTTTAAATTTCATTTTCATACATTTTATAATTTAATAATTGTTAAAATATATTTTTATATTTTATTCAATATTTCAAGTTATTATGATATTTTAATTTTTTTAAGACAGTAGACAGTAAGACACCAGTTTGATAACTCATATTATTATGTAAAATATAGTATGTTTTGTCTTAAAAATTATTGAATTATAAAGTGTATGACAATTCAATGTATGAAATATACCTTTTCTGATACTTTTATGTAATTATATATAATAATATATTTTGTGACTTCCTTACACACGTAACCTTATCTATACGGCTATACCTACCAATACACAGTTGTTGTGTATGCTTGGTACTTATCAATCTACATCTAGGTGTCAGTAACTTTTTTTATATCAAGGACCTGAAACGTATGCGAATTTTATCAAGGGTCATACAATAAATAGAATATTACACCTATATGCGTACCTATGTACTTATCTATATGGTTACTATCTCTTTATTTTATTTTAAAGTGATATTAAAATGGGTAAAACGTTTAGATATAATTGTTTTTAATAGTGTTTACAAAAAAAATATATATAATATTAATATATATCCCAAATCGGTTACCTCTTCCACGGATTCTATCTCAAATGTTTTATCTGAATTTATTTCCAATTTAAACTTTTTAATTACTCCACTAATTAATCTCCTTACGAAGGTCGTTAACAAGCGTATCTGTCCGTAGTGATTGGGTCTTGTTTTTATATTTCTCCTAATTATCTTTTCATTGTATATTTAACTATTTTATCTACATTTTAATTATCTATAATACTTAGTATTTATTATATACCTATATAATTTGTTATCTATCCATTGTATACTTTAATTTTTGTCTAACTATAACTTCATTAATTTATATACCATATGATATTGTAATTGTTGAGCCATAATAGTATTTGACTGAAGGCTAAAATAAAAAAAATAAAAAAAAATATTATTATTATTATTATTATTATTATTATTATTATTAATACGTATTAAAATATAAAATATTATTGAATATTATTAAATAAACATTGTCTTGTAGTGCCTTATTATGTTATAATTTTTATATTTGTGTAATTTNCCCCCCAATATGCAACTAATTTACAACCAAAATTATACAACTTATAACTTAATACCTTCGGCACAAAATGAAATTTTAGGTTAAAAATATTATAAGACTTGAATTGCAATTAGTTGCCAATTATTAACGAAATATCGACTCTGCAGATTTTGAATCGAGTCAACGGACGGTAGGCAAAAGAATCTCGGGGTAAAAAAGTCAACGTAAAAAAGTCTCAGGGGAAAAAAAGTTTGTTTTCTAAAGATAATAACTAATGAATACAAAACAGATATTATATTTAAAAAAAAAACCTAATAGTTGTATAATTTTAAAAAAAATATGTCATTGAATCATAGGCAATAATATTATTAAAAAATAATCTGGAAAATGCATGCAGAATAGAAAAATTGTTTTAAATAATTATAAAAAAACCTATGTATAAATGTTATGAAATTTCCATTTTTTGAAAAATTTAAACTGTTTAAAACCTTTAACTGTTTAAAATCACTGTATTTGCGTACTCTGTATACGACTATCACACCTACAACTGCACTATGCTATACAAGATGTCACCATATGGCGTTATCCGCAATCTAATAAAAATAATGAGACAGACTTTAAGATATTATTTTATTTTATTATATCACGCTCTACCTCATATACTCTGTATATATATATATATATGCTAAATGCTAATGCCGTAGGTAAAAACCAAAAATTATCGGTTTTTGTTGTTCAGCCAAGCACTATACTGTACGATTGAAATATATAGGTGGTATATTATAATACTAAGTAAACTTTATCAAAATTTATTTAGTGTTTCCCACTCAAAACTAATGTGTAGTAGATATTATAATGAGTGAATAGTAGATTTTATCTGTTTATTAACTTATTTTTCACACAAAGCTAACATATTATGCAGAGTGTTTATATAAGTTTTATTTTAAATATTCTAAATTGTACCTAAATAAATATTTCAATCGTTGTATGAACTTTGTATGCCCCGAGACTTTTTTTCCGTCCCCCGAGTCAATGACTTGGGGGTTGAGGGTCTTCACAGTTCACATACATGGTTTTGATAGAAAATCGTTATTGAATGGGTCACTGTAATGAGTGTGTTCAATTTGAATTCAATGTTAAACCATTGCATATACGAAGAACAATTCTCAGTAGAAATGTGTGATTTTGTAATTTATTTATAATAGTTAATAATTATAGTGAATAGCCAAATATTTATGTAATTAATTATTCTACCACTTACATATATTAAAATGTGTATTACATTTTATTAAGAAAAAACGCATGGGACACATTGTATTAAATTAAAAAATGTTATCAATTTTGAACTACAAAAGTTTTAGACTTTTTTAGGTTTAGAAAATTTTTGTCGAAATTTGAACTTTAAAAGTTGATATAAAACAAATTATATTCTCAATATGTTTTCTCAAAAAAAAAAAAATGTAAACAAAATGTAAATAAAATAAATAGCTTAAATATTGCCAAAATATTAAAATTAATGCATATTGCAATTGACATCATGATGTCCAGATTAAGCTGACATAAATTTTTGTTAAAAATTTCACGATATTTTCTATAAATTTTTTGTATTTTTTTGTGTGAAAGTGTGTAAAACTTGTCTACATTTTTCTGACAAGATACAATTTGCTGCCAACCAGAAACCACTAAATGCTTAACGTTGTGCTCAAAAACAATGATCTAAGAAATTCTGATTTCACAACATCAATGATAATGATAAAAGTTATTTCACAATAAAGTTATCATTGTAGAGTAGGTATGTATTTTTACAAGTAGATTATACATTTTTTTATGCGGACCACGAAAAATTGTTTCGGGGGTCACGGGTTGTCGATTCCTGATATATATATACACTATTACATTTGCGAGCATATTACACCGAGATATGAATAATAAGGGAAAATTTGTTTTGATCGTCTCTAGCTTATCTATTTTTTTTTAATTTGAATTGATAACATAGATGTTTGGGATATAATAATTATATTTTTATACACACACATGTTGTAACACGGTTCTAAAATATATATTATTATTATTGCAAATTTATGCATTTAACTTATACCGACTGATATTATGTTATTATTTTATAATTATTTGTCTAATCTAACTTTTGAATGATAATAAAAAAGATAAAGAATAACAGAGAGTTAATGTAGAGTCTAATAGAACTTAACAAACTAAATGTAGTTAATTAGAGTAAATAAACGGTTTTATGAACATACTTTATTTTATATAAAAGATAGTACTGTTATACAATTAACACATTTAGCCCTCTCGCGATCAAGATGAAGTTGTCGTTGGTTTTAGCTTTAGCTGTTTACATCTCTCACTCTGTTGCAGGTAATATATTTAATAGACAAATAAAAAAACAAAATTATTGTTAATATTTCAACGAATACCTATATCATTATTTGCTGTATATGTTTTGTATATAATTTTTTTTTAGTGAATCTAAAATATATGTTCTCAATATCCATTATACTATACCTAATTTATTATACCTATCATTTTTAGATGAAATATCCGATTACGTAAATTGGAGATATGACAATGATACGATACCCGAGATGTTGCCGAGAAATATGCGAGAAAAGAGTGACGAAGAAATTGGAAAAGCTGTTTATAATGCGTACTCAAATCAAATTAGAGTTGTCTCTGAATACAGTGGTCATGTTTATGACCCCCCATTTCCATTAGGATATTTAAAAAATGAATGTCCCGTACCGAATACACACACATATCAATCAGAAAATGACTTGGTAGGTATTCAACAACAACGTAGTTAAGGGATTAAGGGATTATAACAATAACCTTATTGTCATTAAATGGGCACCTGATCAGGTACGTACTGTATACGTGTGCAACATTAACTAATATTCATTTCATTTTTCTCATTTTAAACTCTCGCATGCTAAAAATGTATGTCTATATAAGTACATGTTCGTTACTGAAATCCACACAAATTGTAATTATAATTTATAATCAATAATCATTTAATCATATAGATCGAAACTAATGTCGAATGGAAAGAGGCCAATATTAGAGGAAGCTATTATTATTCAAATACCACATACTTTGATCAAGGAAACTATCATATTCAATTAGAGAACTTAAAATACCAGGCGAATACGCCTCTTTCCGAAAACACCATGAAATATCCAGCTTCAGTGCCAAAATCGAGCATTTCATATGAAACTGTTAAAGCTTCATTTTCAGGAAACATTAAAGATGTGACAAACGTCAACGACTTGTATAATCTAAAGTAATTTGATTAAATAATTAAATAATACCTTAATACCTTAATATAATAAAACTGAAACAATTATTTTTTGTAACTCATAATATTTCAATAAAAGTTTAGTTGTAGGATTAGTGATTACTGAAATATAATTAGGTAGGTACTATTTAGTTAATACTGCGTAATATAGTATACCTATTTTTTTGAAAAATGTTGATGTTTATTTCTGTTATACAATAACTTATAGTTGTATCCATTCATTAAATTGACAGAGTCGACTTAATATATCCTTTGATTATTATTTATCCGTATTTATCAATTACTTAGAACTGATACCGTTTTTAAATCAGTACCTATACTTACATAAATATGTATATTGTATATAATATATATTCTTTATTCATCATAAAAAGTGATTATTATGAATTTATAAATAATTATAAATATTATATAGACATTTTAATACTTGAAATCAATGCAAGTTATAAGTTTTAAATGTAAACACTTGCTATCGTTGTCTAGTTAATATTCCAATGCTTCTTTATTTTTTATCAGATACTTCCTGGAAGAGGTCGCTTCCCAACACATCGCTGATAGTGTAGCGAAATCCATGCAGCCTAACATTTCTATCGCAGTCAGACAAGCAATTAGACCTTACATCATGTTCAAGAACGTGTCGGATCCGCATTTCAAAGGATTTACTGCCAGTACGGCTTCGGGTATACAACTCGTGGTCGACGACGTCTTCACTAATGGTTTAAACCAAACCAATCAAAGGGTAAAAAATATGGTCGCTGACATGGCTAACAAGAAATTGATATCGACAACCGAGTTGGTGATGCATTATTTGAGCGGCACTTTCCGAATGCAACTCACCAGAGACAGCAAACAGTACACGGGTTATGTTATGTTCGAGATCGAAAACATCAACGTAGTTCCAACCATCAATATGTTCAATCGTGACGAATGCACCGCAAACACCAACATTAAAAACGTCAGAGTTAAGGTTGATCCTGCAGAATTCAACTTGTCCAAAGATGATGAGGTGGAAGTAAACAGTGTTGTAGTGGACGAATTTATTAAAACCCTCAAGAAAAAATTCAACAACACCGTTTGCATAGCTTTAGGAGACATGCTTAACTCCAAGGCCGGAAACTATTAATCGCATACATTTTTTAGGTAATCCAGATAATCCGTTTACTAAGAATTTTTGTAATTTATACATAGGTATAGGTGGTCCATTGTGAAAGGGTTACAGGCGTTGAAACTCTACTTTGTAAACTATTTCAAAGATTTTTTCCATTTATTACAGTTGATTTATAAGAAATGCCTAACACTTACCTTTTGTCTCTAAATATATTTATGATTATTGTTATTACTTATTATGTTATCACTTTTCTTAAGCAATGCATTTAATTTATATTTATAAGGCTGGACCAGACTTAGGTAAGTGTAGTTTGCTGGACCTATATACTTTAATAGAGGTCTATTTTTAATATTTTTTTCCAAATTTTGTTCTTTAGTAGTCAACAAAATACTTATTTCCACATCGTTTTTTATAACGCGGGCCTATGAAATCGAAACTACACATGTTTAAAAGTTGTACATTTTTTATTTATTATAGTAGAAATAAATATTGTCATTATTTGTTAAGCTACGATAACCCGATAGCAGTATATATTTAATTTGTATATGTACTAAATTATTAAAATAAACAGTAAAATAATTTTGTCAAAAAATAATTTTTAGCGCTGTCTTTATTAGCCTTATTCTATATTTCAAACTAAAGTATATATAAATGTATTGAAAATTGAATGAATTTATTTGTGTGCTCAAAATGCTGTGTTCAAAGTCATACATTAAAAAATTGTATTTTTATTTTACTATACTTTTGTGTGGGCTCGGGATTTGGTAAAATCTCACAATTGTATGGTAAACTCTCGCAATTGTTTATACTAGCAGTAAACTCTCCCAGGTAAACATTATGTTTACTTGAAAAAAGTCTAGACTTGTTTTAAAATTATATCACAAAAATTCAAAGACTATACAGACTTGCATAGACTTGATATTTCAAAATTTGATTTTAAACTTGAAACTTCTGGTTTTACGATGTATTGAAGTAGGTAACAAATGTGTAAACTGTAAAGATTTCATTATTGCATTATTTATTTATTTATTTATTTATTGAATACGGGACGTGCCCAATTACAAGAATCAAAAATACATAACATAAAATAGGAAATTTACATAAATTACAAGAATACAAATACAATTAGGATAAAGAGCAAATAGACATAATAACATAATAACTATGAACGTTGCATAAATTACAAAATACAATTAAAATATTAAAAAAAAAAAAAAAAAAAAATAGAACAATAGATAATAATTTATTGCCAAACATTCAGGAATAGTGGGTCCTCATTCGCTAGTTTCGTCATACGAGCTATAGGACGATTTACTAAATAGTTACAGCGGCTAACAGGAATTTGGAAAGGGAAGGAGTATCTGGAGTAAAAACTTGGAACTCTGAAATTTAATTTAGATAGGAGAGCAGGGGAATCCAATTCACCATTTATTAGTTTAGTGAGGAACGTAAGATTAGCCTGTTTCCTCCTGTCACATAGGGTAGACAAATGGAGGCGCTGTAATACAGGTTGATACTCATGGGGTTGACATTCAATACGTAATGCAAAAGCAGCAAACTTCAAAAATTTACGTTGAACTCTTTCTAGTTGTTTACTACCATCAAGTGTGCATGGATCCCAAATAATTACTCCATACTCCAACACAGATCGAACAAAAGAGCAATATAACGTCTTAAGAGAGCTGGACAGTTTAAATTCAGCCGAAATTCTTTTCACAAACCCGAGAAGTTTCAGGGCCTTACAGGTAACTTTCTCAATATGAGTACGAAAAGTAAGCGACCGATCAAAAGTAATGCCAAGGTCAATAACACTGTCACCTGGTTGCTTTAGTGCAATGCCATTTATGGTGTAGGCAAACAAGACACGCTCATTGGAACGTGTGTAGGTCATGGTATGACATTTAGAGATACTAAGCTCTAAGCCAAGTCCCTGGGCCCAATGAGCAACAGAATCAAGATCATGTTGTAAGAGTTTACAATCATCAGTTGTGCAAATACGGAGAAAGAGTTTTATATCATCAGCAAACAATAGAAGTTCGCTGTGCTGGATCACATTTTTGATGCCATTAACAAAGAGTGCAAATATAATGGGAGATAGATGACCACCTTGGGGTACACCAGAAGTAACCCTAGTTGGGCTGGAACAGAAGCCATTTATCTTGACAACCTGTTTCCTCTCAGACAAATATGAATTGAACCAAGATAATAGAGGCATATAATTTTCAAGATTATGAAAAAGACTAGCTGCAGTTTGTACGTAATGCGTTTTACACTTATGCGGAGTGGGGCAAATGTCCAGGTGGATAATTTAGTGGTAGGTTTGTGTGTACGTTTCTATATGGTACTTATCTCAATTTAACCTCATAATAGGTTAGTAAGTAGGTATAAGTCTACTATGTTTCTGATGATATATAATATTGAAACGGAAAGTGTTCACTATGGTTATGGTAATACTGTTTGTTTGCTTATTATGAAATCAATGGTCAAATTCAGCCCAAGTATAATAACAAACCGTTTTCCAAGAATTTGTTTCCGTTCATCCCGGATTTACAGTACTCACAGGGGAAAAAAAATCGAAATGACGACTTTTTTTAAAACAACTTTAAGGAAAATTTTAATCTTTAATCAGTTCTCAGGATTGATTGACATTTCATATACATCGCCACCAACTGCATTATTATTCTATGATACTCATTCAACAATCTATTCATTACTTGAAAGAGTACGCACTTGTTTTGTTATTGACGTGCACCTACGTCCTACATACTTTGTGGATGGAAACTATTTACTTTTATGAAAATAATATTACTACTAAAGTTTTGATCTGTCATTATTGCAGCAATATTTTCAGGAAGATGTATATATATATACACTTTTACTATGCAATAAATATTTATTTCAAAACTGTATAGACACACTACACTAGTACTACACTATATAGTAGTACCTAGCTATTGAGATTAGACAAAATATTCAATAAGAGTTAAATTTCGGTGAGTGAAAAATATTGTGTTTTTTGCCAATGGCATTATGGAATTCGATAAAAAAAATTGCACTACTTTCAACATATTTATCGGTTTGGCAGCCGGTTTATATGTCAAAAGTAGTGCAATTTTTCTCAATTCCTTCAATCTTATAATTACCTAGTACTAATGATTTTATAAAATAAATATGTAAATAGGTAACTCATAAAAATAATATATATTTTTATGTATTAATATTTATTATATTTATATACTACCGAAGTTCCAGTCCCAACCACTAATTCATAATAAATAAAGGCTTACAAGGCTTTATCTTTACAGACTTACAGTTAATCATTAACCTAATTATATATATAACTAAATATTTAATTACGATAATAGGTAGGTATGTCTATTAAAGTATAAAAAAAGCATAATTTTGAACGTATTATATAGAAAAATATTATTCCAGAAAAGGAAGATAATATCATATTTAAAATTATATCGTCCATCAAACTTACACGCCGACCTAAAACTATTTTTTAATCTGTTTAATATTCACTCACTAATCACAAATTATATTGGATATTAGTTACTGATTAACATCGATTATCTAATGATATTAGTTCGTTATTATAAAATAGCCATTATTAAACATTAATCATTAAAAAAAATAATATGATTACTAATTTTAATTATATTCCTATAGGTTAAAATGTTTATGCTTCAACCATCATTTCTTGAATTGGATGAAATTAGCACCTATGGATTTTTAATATAAATTTGAATATTGTTATGCCAGTAAGTATTATTTAATATATTTTTTATTATTAAAAAATGTGTTTATTCAGATTTCACAATAGTTAAATTCAAATATTATACTACATTACAGCTGAAAATTAAATTATTAAAAATATTTAATATACCTATGTAGATAATATTATGTGTTTTGAGTTATGTAGTACTTAGTGTTTCTTAATATGTACACTGTTTTTTATTCTCATACAGGGTCAGGGTGAACTGAAAGAACTTACTAATGCGTATATTATTTATAAATACTTGTGCTATATATAATATATATAGTGTACATGTTTTTATTTTTTAAAACTGTTCATGTTATGAATTCATCTTTTTTGAAAATTGTAATCACCTTAATTAATATAAATACGTTTAATATTACAACTAATAAATAAATAAAACGGTTCATAATTGACTGGATTGGACTATGATTAAATATAAAAATCTATTAAATCCATATGATTTTGTCAATTGAAAAAATTGTTTATTTTACATATCATATTTTAATATTTTTCAAAAATATGTACCCATAACTAATTTTAGCTAAATATCAACATAATATGATTAACTTTATTTGGTTTAAAAAAGTAGTATACTATATGCATATACTTTTACGATGGATATTAAAATAAAATAAGTATAACCTTTATATTGTAAGTCTTGTAATAAATAACAATGTGTGGTGACTTTTTATGATATAATATTGTAATGAAATTAATATACACGTTTATATAAGTTACAGATACTCATTACTCGTACAAACGATATCGTTATAGTGATTAACTAAACCGTCTAACCTTCTTTAAATTATATTTTAAGGGTAGGTGGGTACCCCCCAGCCATAACTGCGGTGTGTAGTTGAGCTATACAATAATATAATAACAGCAAGAGGCCGATTCTGGTGGTGTAGGTTGTAGGTATATAGATTGTGTAGGTACCTACGAGCCGGTTACTCGATCAGTCGCAGTAAAAAACGAACCGTCAACGTGATCGTTATATAGGTAGTGTTATTTCGCTATACGTACCGGCCACTGAGCATGTGATGTTTTCACACACGTAACGGTTATTATTAAAACAAAATTTATTTAAAATGTTTAAAATGATTTGTCGGAATCTATTTTCATTTACCGTGTGTTCTATTTTAATAAGTTCATCGCTTTCAGCCACCAGGATAATAAAAGGTAACATTTTATACAAATTATAAATTATATGTGTGGATATTAAATTACACGGGTATGAATACCTCTTGATAGAAATTGAAAAATTAAGTAGACATTTAAAAAAAAAGTTTATATGTACAGAAGATCTTTAGCATTTTAATTTGTTATATTAATTCATCTTTAAAAAATGAAATTGTAGATTTTTAAATTAAACGAAAAGCTACGATAGCAAATTTAATGAATAATGCACATTATGAAACAAGTTTAGAACAGATGTTCTTAAAATATATTTTTAAGTCTAACCACGATATTATAATAACATATTGATGATTATTATTTTATTTAATTCGATAAATATGATGTATAACTGATTATTTTTAAAAATGTAACTATATTTATAGTTATGTATTATTGTAATGGGTAGATGATAATATGTACTGTGCTCAATATTACAATTAATTGTATTAAATTAATACTTATATCAAGGAGATATGAACCCAGTAAGTAGAGATACTTTTTGGAATGAACAAATATATATTTTAAACTTACACAGTTTAGAGTTACTTAGTGAAAAAAACAAAATTCATACCACAAAATAAATTGAAGATTGCAATAAAAGCCTACGTTAAATATGTTTAAAGTTGTAACATAGTGTAATCTAAAGTTCATTCCTAAATATTTAAGTTTTTGGAAATTATGATCGGTATTTTAGATTTCTATTTAATCATGCAGTTTAATGCGATCATTGAATCCTATGTATACATAATACAATAATTATTATTACACATTTACACGTGAATTACGGTGATTAGTTTAGATTGTAAAATTCGATCAATTAATATTTTTGTTTTAAATGCACTTGGAAGTATTCGAATTGAAAAAGAATATTAATCTATTTCATATTTTTACCATACAATTTTTTTAATCAAATAATCAATAATATTTAGTTTTGAAGTTATTCAAATTTGAATAGGTATTACGTTTAATAAATGAAAAATAAAGAAAACGCGTGAGGCGTTTAAATCTGCAAGACGATGTCCGAAGTGGTTGTGTTCAAGTAAAAAGTATTCGAATAATATAACTCTTTTTATTGCATATATATATATTATTTATAATGATAATAATACTTAATTTTGTATTATATCATGTATAAAATCGCGTGTATAGTTTTATCATTCACACTGCTATTACGTGTTTAAAAGTGTTTATATAGATGCTTGTTTATATTAAGACTGGTTAATATTGATGTTTACTAGAGACTGCAGGAAATGTTTGAACGAGTTGACTTTTTCTTTTTAGACTTTCTATTTAGCACTTTTATTGATACATGCAGAGATCGATGTACCAGCGACAGTGATATCGATCAAGTTTTAATCATTGCAATTTACAAAGAATAAAAACAATATTGTATTCTAATGATTGACATTACGGGACATAGTCACTCACTGCATAACTAATACGAAATGTTACTTTTATGGAATGACCGAACAATCGTACATAATTGAACTTGGCAACGATCCATTGTATTATTACATGTGCCTGAACGATTTAGGGATGTGGTGCGATTTCCGGTATGCTGTGGGTGCATTACGCAAGCAACCAGTTAGCTGCAGTTGACGGTGAAAGTTGGGCACATCTGCTTTGACCTGTACTCATGTAACTTGTCGAACTGTTTGTTTCTAAGTGAAAAAAAAAGTGTAATACTAAATACAAAAACGTGTTGGAAGAGAAAGTTTGAGAATTTTGAGATAGTGTACTGCAGGGTATAAACTCGATACTTGGTATAGTGAAAGTGTGTTAATCAAGGTTACGAATTCTTCCGTTCGAGACGTCTCCACGGTCAAAGGTCTGTCGGGTATAGTCGTTAAAAGACGGTACGCTTACAATATTTAACTGCTGTGATGTCCGGCGTAGGGTTAAAGACTAAAATAATCATAATACAACCATAATGTGTAACCTTGGTAGGACAAGTGTATTATATTGAATTTCGTATACGTATTATATATAGGGCATATATATCGATTATCGTAACTATTTTAAATAAAATGAAAAGCCAATCCGACCAAGTTTAATGCAAATCGCATAATTTGAGATACCTATCGTAAAAAAAAGCCATCTATGCATTATATTATTACAATCATGTCGTTAGATAAATCTTGATGAAAAAAATGACTGCACAAATAATTGTTGAGCTATAAATATATGTAGGCTATAATAATTTACATAATTTAACATTTTTAATAATTCAACAATTTTCAATAATTTAACATTTTGATTGCTGTATGTAATACAGTAAGTAATAATTTGGTACAACTAAAATGCTCTTAATTTTGTTTGAAAATATTGTTTACACCCATTTGTTTGCTTTTAAGGCAGTCTTACAAATAGACTTACCTTGTGCTATTTATATTATTTTTAAATATCACAAGACATCTTCATTCTTCTGAAGATATTTCAACAATAATACGATGTCCTTCGTCGACTGTTCTTTATACGAAGATTTATTTTTAATTTTGTAATTCCCATGGATAGAAAAATCATTATAATTCAATAATTGTGTGACATAGGTACACCTACCACCTACGTTCCGTGAATTAATTTGGTACACATGAAGCAAATTGTCTCCAGTAATCTGTAGCAATTGAACTTATTATGATATTTGGACAACAATTTCAATTTTTCATCCAAATATAGTTATTATCTATTAAAAACTGTTGTTTATTAAATGGCATCAAAAATTCCATACACACATGATATATATATGTGCCTATACGGATTTTTAAATTAAAGAATATGGTCGTAATATCTACTATATAACGTAGTTGTATTTTTTTTTATTATTATTACTCTGTGTTGTATACCCAACTAAACCGTTAGAATATTTATATTAGTTATACAATATGTACTATAGTCAAATGTCTACAGTAACCAAATGACATATTATCAGACATTGAATATTGATTAGGTAGGTGCCCATTTCTAAATAATAATTCTATTTTAAAATTTCACTGATATTATTTTATACAAATATGAACGCTCCCCACTACGCAGTTATGCATAATATTGTAGGTTTGTTTTTACCGATTAAAAAAACCAGTTAATTTGACTTTCGTCTAATTAATTGTATTACTCTATAAACAGATGCTTCTTTGTTTGCATACAGTAGTCTGTGTAACTTCTTCGCGTTGTTTTGTTATTATGCAATGTAATCTAAAAGATTTTTTTGTTTGATTTGCAATAGTTGCTAAACAGTGGTGGTCGACGTATAGCGGTTATGTATGTATAGGCGTATTTAATACAACTATGTACTCAACGGAGCAAAATGTCATGGATATTAAACATTGGCCGACACAATTTCATTCGACAACCTAGGTTATTGGGCCAATTGTCACACTTTGTTAACACTTACATTCTTTTTTTTTTAACAAGTCTAAGTAACCATCGTTTTTGTAGACAATTGTGTAATCGATGTATAATAATACGACTGCTCTGCAACGAAAACGTTAGGTCAGTTTATGTAAATAGGTATAACGAAAAGCAAAACACAATTAAACCTTAATTAATTTAACTAATTAAACATTACATTTTGTTGGCATCTACGGCCATTGGCATACAATGAGTTTTTAGGTTAACATTTTCGTAAGATACAGTATTTACATAGATAAATTACAGACGATACGCTATTGATGAGATTTGTCTTAATTAAAAAGGTTGTCATGTGACATATGTTATCTGGGTGGAGGTTAATATTTGATACCATAGCTTCAAGTTTGTCCGTTTCAAATGAACGGCATTCGGATACAATGCGTTTGATTGACATAGGAGTGTACGGCAACTGGTGCATATGGGTGGGTCTTCCTCCTTCATAAAGTACTGGTGTGTTAGCGACGTGTGTCATATTGGTACGCATAAACCATATTATTACCATGATAATATGTAATACCTACGTAATTCGAGTAAAAATCACAACACTATCGTAGGTGCGTATCGTAGTTACAGACACTTTTACAGCAAGAACAATAACACCATAGTATAATAACATTGCCGTATATCATGATCAGTCGGGTAAACAAAGCAGACGGGGCAGGGTCACCGGGTAACCGTGAGAATATAATTTCTTGTCAGGCCTCGGTTGGAACTTTGAAAACAATATTTCGTGTTGCATTGAAGATTATAATATTTTAGGTATTGAGATTTTAAGTGGCTATACAAATCTAAAATTTTCAGGAATGTTGTCTTTGTTCGGTTTTTAATAGCGAAATTAGCGTCAGAAAACTATGCCGTTAAATTGTATTGTCGTGTATACATGCGTTTTTAAACTTCAATGCTATTTTTTCCCATGAATATTTATACCACGATACTCAGTATATTATAAATTATAATAATAGTTTGGAGACTAAATTTGAGTGGCGACTACGCATAGCCAATTGTCATAATTGTAGAGTGCAATTAATAACAGAAAAAAGGTAGCGCATTATAATATTATGTTTCTGAATATTACCATGACAATAATTGTTGAAAATAATAAATACTAGGTACGAGTGTACAGTGTACATGAGTATTGTTTAGGTAGCCACCTACCAACGTATTGTAGTGCTAGTGTACCACGTTCAAAGAACTTATTGTGTTGTTGCTGAAAATAAAAAACCGATAAGGCTGAACAAAAAATCGCTTAACCCATTTGTCAAGCTATAAACATTGGTGTAGCCAATTACTCCGACTGCGGCGGTAGATACACGTAATTCAAAAACACAATGTATAGGTGACATATTTACACATAGCTGGTGTTGCAGTATATCTATCAGTATATATATATATATATATGTGGTATATCGTCATATACCTACATACTGTATTACTGTGTGTCGACAACGCTTTTTGATATTATGTTCACATAATAGTTTATTTTGTATTTTTAGTGCCATATTTTCGACCCATATAATAATAGATGCATACAATTTGGTGCCTACGATCCACCGCCCTTAGCATCAACGCGTATACTATGGATAGTGTGATTCATCGACTATATGCTCAACCCCTTTCTTATTATTTTGCAGGTTGTTGTAATTTATTAAAATTATGATTTTTGGATTTCTTACGCATATTCACGTAGTACTTTCACATGATTGGTTTTTTTGCACAAACCTTCTTTTTGTATGTGAGAACCACAATTTCTTATTGTTCGGCGTGAAGCAGATGCCTTTATTTGAAAGTGTTGATGCAAAAAAATCAAAATTTGAACGAGCAGTTTCTGAATCATAAAACTGGACGGGTGATAATCCTTAATGATGGAATATGAAATAAGTGTATGAATAATTGTGTTATGTAGGTACTTGAATAGTTGAATATACGGTTCGGACGATTTTTCTAATTGTCAAACGTTAGTATAAAGGTATTATTTAAATATCATAATTCTTAAAACATTGTAGCCCTCATATTTATTAAACCTACATTATTATCCTGTGCTATGACCAGCGTATTACCTTCGAGATAAAGTACACAAACAATGGAATAACTCAACATCTATAAGCTACTCTTTAAAATTTTGATTTAGACAAATGTTCACATCAATAATTTCATATATAATCAACCGTACAGAAGGGGGTTTTCATTCGAAAGCTAGAAGTTTGTGTGTCTCTACAGGACGCTATTTAAATGATATAAAAATCCAAGTAAATTTAATATAATATATGGTCTATAATTGGTCTTTGGGTGTACTTAAAAATTCCAAAGATCAGAATTTGAACAAATGCATAGGTAATTAAAGGAAAAAAATAAATGTGGGTAAACGTGCTCGGTGAATCACTCGGTATGTAATATTGTTATGAATACAGTAATATCTTTGTGTGGACATGTTCGAAACCGCTTATTGTAGCCTACTAGGCATATGTTTCAAAACGTTTATGTACATTTTTTTTTTTAAACGTCCTGGTCCGTCAACATGCGTTCAATTTGGCGTTGCAACACGACCGATAACGGTTGCATTGTTATACATTATATTATTATATTGACCGGATCAAAACCCGCGACGGTTGCTCAACGAAAGTCACAGTTGCCACGGGTACCTGCAGCTATATAATATACACAGGCACACAATATATACATTAAGTATAGTATTATACTGCAGTTTTTAATGCGATAGAAAATCATATTGTGTTTGATAACAACAATGCGCGATAATACGTTTATGGTATGTATACCTATTTATATATAAGCCACACACTGCGCGGTATGTATGAGAGAACGTTTCGTTTGACATAAAAATTGACATAGGTATAATATAATATAATATGTAAGCGCAAGTCGACTGTCTAGGTCAACCGGTATGTGTTACGAGTGTAAAGCATACACATATTACATATATATTATTAACTGGTGACTAAAGGACAATCTGGGTAATTATAGGTACCTAAATAGTATAAATACACATGTATTATACCTATATTGTACATAAAAGTAGGTACAGTGTATGTAATGTGTTTGTATATAGGTATTACGCTAGTAAAAACACTAAAAATGAATCGGCTATATAATTAACAGCGGGATGCTAAAAAATAATAATATACCTACCTAGGCACCTAGGCATATATAGATGAATATTTATACTTATATAGTTATATGGTACCTATACCTATACACTCTGCGTTCGTAACAGGTGGATACCGCTGCAGCAGCCTGTTGCAGTAGTTTTGATCGAGAACGGTTTCTTTAGATATCAATATAATGCGAACAGAACAATTAGGTATAATTATATAGCAGCGTGACTTAGGATTCATTTGTGTTTCAAAAATATATATTTTATTGTTTTGTTTGGTTTTTTAAATCAAACCATATATTTTTACATAATATTTACTTTTTAGTTCCATAGTTGTATGTAGGTAGTAGGTAACTATACAATAGACAATATGTAGCTTTTATAGTTGTATTGCATTTTTTTGGTTATAGGTATATGTTTAATGCACCTATAATATATAATTTCAGTTAGCCTGCAGTTAGTTCGATACAAAATGTGATGGTAATGGGTGAATAAAAATAGATAAATACAAATATTGATCATATGTATATTATTTTATTTATTATGTCAAGTGACAAGTAAAAATGTAATAAACTATGTTAAGTGATTAAAATAAATATGTTCGGTGTGGCTGTTATCATATTATAATCGTGTGAGGTAAATAAATTCGGGTAAGACTTAAAATCAAAATAATTATCGCTTGCACAGACGTGAGACGAATCTATTCCCCTTTCGGCAACAATGACGATGTTGTCATTATAATATTATATTATATTTATATACTATATATAGGTATACTATACATAGGTGCACTATATAGGTATTAGGTAGGTACACTGTAGAGTGATTTACAATATACATATATACATAGATATATCATAGAACCTTCTATTAATATCTGTGATGCGGATTGCCGTCATCGTTGAAATCTTTCTGTTCAGCTCCGGCGATGATGACAAAATTGTTGCCGAAACACATATTATTATTGTGTTTTGAAGTTTTGAGTGGGGAAAAAAGGTACCTATCTATATTATACGCCTTGCGACAGATTACAATATTATTATTGGCGTACATCCGGTAGTTTTTTTATTTTGTACGACGACGATATTCTGTGGATAAAGAACGTTCGTTTTGGGTTTTTTTACGCTCAATGATACTGTTGTATACTTTCATCACATTATTATGTGCATAAATCGGTCGGAAATTATCGGTATGACGCGCAGGTACCTAATGATTACAATATGTATACGTATCTATATATACTGAGCTAGGACCTTGTACAGGCTTTATAATCGTCCTGCAAACGCTGTACAAAATATTATTATATCGACACAACGCATTATAATATTGTACCTATATTATTATTATTGTTCGCTATAATCTCAACGAGTGAAAGTCGATGTTCCGCTTCTGTTTCAGTATATATAGGTAGGTAATATTATATACGTACCTAACGCTTCCAGGCCACTGCTGCCGAGGAACTGCGGATTGTTGATTCACGTCGCATATAATAGGTATGATACCTACGAGACGACGACGATGACGACGACGACGATATCTTATTATTGTAATATACTATACGAGCATTCGTCGTGTTCGCCCAACCTACGCCGATTTATAGCGCTGCAGTGACCTTTTACGACTTGATGACTTCGGTCGACACATATTGGTGTTTCAGTGTTTGAATATAATTTCACCGACCGCTGCACCGCGGCCCATTGTACCTATAATAATATTATATGTATTATAATGTATTGTTCGAGCAGTGTTATGCGTATATTGTACAATTATATATCGTAATAATAGGCTTGTAAATTATAATTATATGAGGATATGATCTTAATGCACAACAGTTATTATTATTCTGTATATTTCAGTCTGCAGGAGATGATCGCAACAGAATCGATGCAAATATAAATTATATAATAATAATAATATTATGTTGATCGCAGTATCGCACTATGTATCTATAATTACGATTGTAATGTCACGTACACTAGCGTCACCACTACATGTAGACGAATCATAATAATTATTTCACTTCGTGAAAGTGAAATTATTAACATATTACAGGCAGACACAATACAAAAAGGTGCAGGGCCGTACTTATAGGACTTGCGAGGATCGCTGAAAAAATAATTTTGATGCCTAATAACAGTTTATATTTCCAACTGTCTTTAAAATATCCACTTTTTTTTACTGCTCTTATTCACTAGGTAATTCAAAATTAACTATAGAATAAAATTCTCCATCTTTCAAAACGAAAATGTTTAGCCTTCTTTGAATTACACCAAAAAGGCATAGCAACCTATATGAACGATACCACATATTATTGATATCTCCGAGAAGCAAATTAAAGCTATGATCAGCGCAAGGGACAAAAATACTTTATGGGGTTTTCTGAAAGACTAACTGCACCTTTAAGTTTCGTAATATACCGCCTATTAATTACAAACGAATTGTGTCCCAAATACGAAATTGTTTCCCTAGGTATTTTCAAATAGCTTTTAGTGAGTTACACGAATTGTGTCTTGACGAAAAATAGCTAAGTTTACACAAGTTGTGTGCTGATAAATTCAAATCGAGAAAATTCGTCCTCTACAATATTACTTATGTGTATACATATATTTCAGACAGGAATAATTATTGTTGTTTCGCACATATTTATAATTAGTATAAATTAAGAGTAAAAATAATAGTTCTGGGGCAAAACATTTTAATGAAACTATTTTAATAAGTCGATTTTTCTTAAAAACAATGGTCACTATTAACGTATCTCTTGTTTTCGTCGAGACTCAACTGGTGAACCTATCTCTATTTGACCATAGGGACACAACTCGAGTACCAGTAATTTCGTTTGGCCACAATAATACCTACATGTCATATGAGACCATATGTCCGTATTTGCCACAATATCATAGTACTTCTATAAGTACATCTATAAGCGACTTAACGACTACATACTTCGTTGTGGCTACCTATTAAGAAATTTATGTGAGACAGAAATGTACAAATGTTTATATTTTTACTTTGTATATATTACCTAAAATAACGATTCAATGATATTAAATATTTTATTACATTTGCAACTAAGTTTTACATTTTATTATGGGTGTCCAACACAAATTATATGAAAACACAATAAGGAATGGTTTAAAGTTTTAAACCTTATCGTATATAAAATGTAAAAATAATATATATTTAATTATGCAATAATATGTGTAGGTTACTGTATGAAACAATATGCAATTATCACTATGTTACATAATATTTGAGTACTAATATCTTGTAACATATAATTACAGAATCGCATATGAATCCTCGTTTGAAGAGAGTAAGTCCAGAAAATACTGCTGTAAGTATATTTTTTTAAATTACATTTTATACAAAAATTAAAGTATTGTCTAATGGAAATTTCCACACGCATTCGAAGCATTGCTATTTTATTAACGGTTTTTTTCCTAACATGTTATATTATAATATTATACCGTGAAACCTCTAAATACTTGACACTCACTAAGTCTCTGAAATTTTGTCCACTATTCAGTTTTCGGTTTGTAGAAATGTTGTAATTTTTTCCTAAGAAAACGTCCACTATTAGGAGGTGTCCGTTAGGAAAGATTTCACTGAATAATAATAATGAAATGATATAAAAGAAAATTTTAATATTGAAAAACCAGCTGAAAAATCATTATGATGAAAAATATAACGAACCCATATTTATCGAAAAAATATGTATTATTTTTCATTTCGATAATTGATTTAGGAAAATCGATATGGCATTATAATAAACATTTTCACAGCGTTTATAATAACAATTTAATAATTAATAACTATTTTACATACTTAAAAGGTGTACGGTTCTCGCACGCAGGACCGGAGGGACTCGTCCGCGGACAGCCAACAATTCTTGCCGGCGTTCGGGCCGCTGTTCGGCCAACTCGGTCACCACTCCCGCCCACCCAGGCTGTACCAGGAGGCCGACTACCTGCCCGAACTGACGCCGTACCTGCAGACGGCCGCGGCGTCCAACCAAGAGAACGCCATGCTGGGTTCCGGCAACTTCGGCGTCATACCCGGTGGCACGTACTACGCGGCCGGCGAGACAGCTTCCGCTTCCGACCCGTACCTGTACGACGGCAACAGCCACGGACGACCGCACCGGTACGTTCAGGGGCACCGAATAAATGGCAATAGGTATATAATATGCCTGTCATCAACTTTCGTTTTCTTTTTCTTCTTCGGCGGCCGAGTATATTATAATAATATATATTGTGCGAAACAGCGGAAGTCCTAATGTGTAACATTACAGTGCTTGACTTGGGGGTGGAAGTGGGAGCAACTAATTTTTCAAAAATTGTAGAGTAGGTACTCCTACTATTATTATGAAGGGGAACTCACAGAACGCTATACATTACTCAGCATTTTTATCAAAATGCGAGAGATACCATCAAAATTAGTGTTATGGATTATTTAATAACCACGAATCTATAAATTAGTTAATATTAACTAATTATTACTAAACTATTCATTTATTTACTTTAACTATATTTTTGAGTTTGATATTATTTATAACTATAATATAATATGTACAGTAGTTACTAACTACCTATTATATTAATTTGTATTTGTATTTTTTTTTTTTTAAATTGATTATTCGTAAATATTTTAAATGTGATTTAAATAGGAGAAGGGCATAGCTTCCGAGGCTCAATAGAGTTTAACAAGTGAAGGGGACGCTCTTTTTTTAAAAGTAAACAGAGTTTCCCCACTTTAATTTTTCCAAGTCGAGCGCTGGTAATAAACAATATTATAGGTAGGTTAGAGCAATAACGCAGCGTTAATTTTGGTGTGGACCTAGGGCCTGCAGGAGGTGGAGGCCCCTTAAACTCAAAAATCCAATTATTAAATGAAGTGATACTATACAATCTGATGCTTAATTAATTATAAAAAAAAGATAGTAATGATAATAGTAATTGTTTTACTAATCGTACATAGGTACTTAAAAATGAACTTTTCGAACTGACGTGTGATTAAAAAAAAAATGTTTCTTAGATTATTTTTTTTAATGTGATTATAAAAGTAGTGTAATACTGCATAATGAATTTCCATTATACAGTATTATAAAGTATATATTTTTATTTTTATTAAGCTTCGGCAACTGAGGCCATTAGCTGTAGGTTGTGGTACTGTAGGATTTTTGGGACTGTAGGGTTATGGAACAAGTATGTGTTTGTTTGGCAGAATTTCTAGTGGGCACCCGTAGGTTTCTGCCATGCCCGGTTGGGGGATGGCGGCCTCTCTCTCCAGACAACGTGACTGCCCGGAGAGAAGTGTCACCCGTGACCGAGGTTCAAACCGACGACGGTGCGCGTTGCAACTGACGCGTTATCCGCTCAGCCACTTCGTCCCCCATAAAGTATATTATATTTCACCAATTGTATTGTCTTATGTAAATCGAATTTTAAATTGAAATCTCGTTAGTCATTAAGATAGATTAAAAAATATCTTTATTTTTTATTTTTCAAAATACTTGTTGAAATAAAATCAAAATATAATACTCTGGAGCTTACATACTAAAGCTAGATTGTTTTAAATATTTATATAGTTTTACAAGTACTTTCACCAAAATCTATTAAAATCTTATACTTTTTTGTAACTGTGTTTGTTCATAATTATTTTTAGGTTTTCCGGAAATCCTAGACCATCTGCATTCCGTGACCCAGATGACTTCTTTGCAGGGTTCCGAGACTTTGCGGATATTACAGCCCCTACAAAATCATCATTCTCACAATACCATATGGTATACGCCCCAATGGAAGATTTACCATCCAGCGAAGAAAAGGTCAAGTCGAAAAAGAAGAGGAAGTTAAACAAACATTTAGAGAACGAAAATGATAAAACAATTAAAGCTAAAAGAAAAATGCACGCGGGTGAAAAGGAATTATACGAACCAATGATTGCACTCAGTTAGTCGATATGAAACAAAAATGAGTGAATAATGAAGGTGTTATTATTGTTATTATTACTATTATTTTGAAGTACAAAGTATTGGAATTTCTTTTCTATCGACCATAGAGGTACATAAGGGCTCTAACTACCAAAATGCAAGAGCTCGATTACTTCCATCATATCGTTTTGGCATTTAAAATGTTTTATTTAACAAATAGATCCATCAAAAACACGGTTTCCCAATGTACTATACTATTACTGTGTTAATATGTTATTACTTATATTAATATAATATATTATGAATTATGACGTATTAATAGGTCATATTCAAATTAAAATAAATATTGTTTGTATGCTTAGTTATTATTTTATTATTGTATAAAAATACCAAATACTTAGTTGTATACTGTTTAGTACTAATGTAAAATGATTTGTAAATACATATTTTTTAAATAAATGTTAAAAATTGTTTAAAAATCAAGTTGAAATTATTAGTTTGAAAAATTGCTATACATACTGTATACTACGAGGCGTGTCCAGAAAGTAAGTGTACTCAATTGTTGTGTAGGCTTCAAAAAAAAAAAAATAAAAAAAAAATAACGTGGTTACATTAATATAATTGTGTGCTATTTGTCTACATAGTCACCATTTCTTTCAATGCCGGTTGTGAGACGGCAAATTAATTTTTTTATGCCTGCCTCGTAGAACTCTGCCACCACCTCCTTTGTCCACTTGTCGACAGCTCCCTTCACTTCCTCGACAGTTGTAAATTTTTTTCCACCTATGTGCTTCTTCAGGGAAGTGAATAAATGGTAATCTGAAGGGGGAATACGAGAGGTGGTTCAAAACATCCCATCTAAATGAGTCCAACAATTGCTTCGTGACATTGGCCATGTGGGGTCTGGCGTTGTCGTACATCAGGCAGACTCCGTTCGTTAACAGACCCCTTCTTTTATTTTGAGTAGCTCTCCTTAATTTTTTTAGTCTCACAATACCTTGCTGCGTTGATGGTCTACCCCCAAGGTAAATCAAAATGGATTCAATCAAAATGATGCCTTAGTGGTCCCAAAACACTGATGCCATGATTTTTTTGGTTGAAATGGTGGTTTTGAACTTTTTGGTTGAGAGTGAAGTGGTGTGACGCCACTGTTCGGACTGTCTCTTGGTTTCAGGTGTATAGTGTGCAACAAAATTTTCATCTCCAGTAACAATAGACTTGAGAAAATTATCATGTGGAGATTTTTCCTTCGCAACAAGGTAACGGATAACGGCGCGGGTTTCGCATTTGGCGGCAGACTCGATCCACATGTTTAACAAGAAAAACTCGTACGACCACAATTTTCAACGTACTGAACTCGTTCTGATCTTGTTTTAAAGGTTATGGCCGTTAGGGGTAAAGCACGAATTAATATACGGACTAGTATATTAATCCGTGGGGCAAAGCTATCTGAAAGTATAGCCAACATAGCAAAAAAATATTCCCTATGGCCGTGAAAGCCTCAGTACACTTACTTTCAGGACACGCCTCGTATATGGGTAATATTCGTTTTATTGAATTTAACACTTTACAGTTGTCAAAATTTACTATTTAGTACAATACATAATAAAGTTGTTAAGAACAACTATAGCCAATCCTGAATAAAAACAAAACAAAAATACAATTATTACACTCAATTATAGCGAATTTCGTCAATAAATAAAATGTATATTATTTACAAAACCACTTTTAAACGAGTAAGAGTTTGTGACATTAACGAATGGCTCAGTTTAATTGTAACTAATGGCCGTTGATGTGTTGTTTGAACGACCCATAGAAAATAAAAATCATTTTAAACAAACACTGAAAATTCGCTCGACGTTCAATTTCAAACAACCCATTTGAAATTAACTGTACTAAGCCAAAGGGCAGAGGAACGATGGTCATTTAAAATTTCTGAGATATCTTAAAGATAAACGCGATTCAAAGACCATTGCAGTTTTAAATTTGAGTGCTTTCGGTAAACCAAAAATATCGATTTTTAAAACCTCAATATTATATTATATTTATTACAAAGTGTGTTTCATAAAGAACGTAAATTTTAATTTTTCAGTCCATACTGTCTCATTAAAGTTAGGTACTGACTAGCTTATTTATTGTCGTTGCGGTCTGTGCTTCACGGTGTCCAAAGATCGTACATTCGTGCGAAGTTTCCTAACAGTTACTGCAACACACTCGAAGTGCTTATAATGGGTTTTAATGAACACGTTGGTCGATCGTTTTGGTCAATCACTAAAGACCTCTACAACCATAGGTAACAGAAATTATAAGAACAGAGTCACAAACATAACAACGAACAGTTACACTGCAGGTTTTCAAAAAGTGAGTTCTTAATAAAACACCCTATACGTACATCGTATAATTGTCAAAAATTTCCGAGATTTAAAGTGGAGCTCGCCGCTATCTATCGTTAACAAAAATGGACGCATACTGCCTAAAGGTACGGTTTCCCTGCAACGTCTGGACGCAGCGTCAAGCGTCACTACCGGTCTGGACGTAGGTTGCGTCTAGACGCCGCGTCCGACGCAGCCATGCTGTTCTCGCGTCTGACGTTGCAGGGAAACCGTACCTTAAATCTTTTTCGTTAACTACACGTAGCTGGTACTATAACAGTATTTTTTCTATACATAGTAGCGGGTTTATTTTATACCAAAGAAAGTATTCGAATTTCAAAATTTGACAAAATTAGATACAGGCAAAGAATAACGATATTACCTAGTTATTTTGTTGTAATTCAAAAATATTATTCGTCACAATAACATTTTCAAAACATTAAGATTAATTGTATGCTATTTCCTATGTGTAGTGTGTACGATACACGATGTGCAGCGGCTGTAATATGACTAGGACTCTAGAAGTATCTTCAGAAATCGCCGGTCTTGATGCACTACACACCTTAAAAAATTAGATATATTTTTTATTGATCTTAAAAAAAATAACTCGGCATCAAAGGCCATTATTCTATTTTATATATTGTAATTTATAGGTATGCACAATGCACATAGGCGGAGATCTCGTGAAATATTGAGGGAGGCTCAAATATTTGATGACATACAGACCCCCGTGGGGGCGTTGCCCCCACACCCCCAACAAACTAATTTTCACATTAAATCACTCATAAAAAATTGTTCTCGTTGACTCGTTATCATAACAACTTAAATAATTACAAACATAAAAAAGGAATAATTAATAAAAGATTTAAATTTATATACAAACATAATTGAACTAAATTATTTATTAAAAATCTAAATCACAATCTCAAAAGAAACGTATTCCCAAGAACATCAAACAATAAGTACAATATATTTTAGTATAAAATGGTCAATACGGTCACGGTAACGGTACGAATAAGAATGTACGATACGCTTTACAAATTGACAATAATATACGAAATACGAATACGATTCATTTAATCACGATAAGCTTTACGAATTTACGATAGATTTAATACAGCAATAGCGATAGTCCTATAATAGCTATCGCTTCTCGAGAATTATCAAAAATTAGAAATGAAATAATATTTTTCCCATCTATAAATAGAATGGTATAATATGTTATTCAATATTGATGACCGATCGGTACAAAATATGTACAATATTAGGTATATAAACACAATATAATATTATTGTGAATTGTGACTTAATATTGTTCAGCATGTTACCGTAAAAAATAAATTGGTAAATAGTATGTATGTAATGTACTAAGTACACTTATATAATTGTGGATATAAGAATATAAAATAATGAAAAAAATTCTGCAAACTGTACAAAATTACGGTAGTATTTGTTTAATATTTTTAGGGGGGCTTTAACTTCAAATTATTTATTTGGCGGGGGGGGGGTCTCTCCCCTCAGATCTCCGCCTATGAGTATGCATACTAAAAACAAACAAAACTAATTGCTAATTAGTAATTACCTTATACCTTAGATCATATACTATGGACGAACTTAATATGTGCTAAAAAATGCAATATTTTAAAGCTCGCTGATTTTACAAATGAAACAGTTTTTCTAGTCAAATTTTGACCAATGATAAATTATTATGGAAGATACTAGTTATAATAATTACCTTATTTCAGTTGTTGAATAGCACAATGAATAATATTATGCGTTTATACATACAATATACATATTATATTTTCAATTTTGTTGGTGAAGAAAAAATATGATACCTGACAAAGCAGGTAACCGCAATACCGACTTCTATATTGCCTATCCATATCTTAAAAGGAGTTTTAATTTTTTAACAATTTATTTTTTAGATATAATTAAAGATTCAAGATGGATAAATAATAATAATAATTATTGTAGGGGTTTTACTATAAAATATTAATTATTTAAATAGCTAGTAATATTTAAACGAGATTTTAAATTATTTGATATTTAACTTTATATTATGCATACACTTAACGTGGTATGTAGTATGTACCCACCTAATTTCAAAAGTAGTTATTAACTCATTATAATCATAAACCATCAGAAAAAATAAAAAGAGGAGGAGGGGGGGGGGGGGTGCAGAAATAAAATGAAAATTGTGTACTCAAAGATTTAAACTTATTTTTGATTAAGATATAACTAGAAGGGGTACATTAAAATATTTTTTAAAAAGGAGCAGTACTCCAATCCTTCCACATGCCATCTAATTCAACAAATGTTTGAAAGAAGAAAATTATCTTAAAAAACATAACAATATAATTAAACATTTTAAAGAACTTTACTATTCTAAACTGACAATTAGTTAAAACTATTGACATAATTTCATAAACAAATTAATTTAAAAAAAAATACAGGTGTACAGTTAATGCAAAACAGGGTATCATATTAAAGTTCCTTGTTGTGAATAGGTACCACAATTGAAATTTGTACTAGGAACCATTTGTATACATTTTTAATAAAAAAATTTTAATAAATATTTTATACTAATTTTTCTTTGGTCTGGACTGGGCTAGATAATTATCATGTAATTTATATAATGTTCAATCTACCATGTTAGCAATATGTGTATAACATTTAACTAAGTAGAGGTGTTTAATGACTCACTGTACTTCCTACTATAGTTTTACATTTTAATTTGATTAAATTAAATTAATATTATTTCATTTTATTTTAGAAACCGATCTATAATAAATTATAGGTAGGAATAATTACACGAACAATTTATTTATTGAACTGAAATGAAAATTGGTAAATAGCATATAAAGTGATGGCATATTTCATGATGGTACTAGATGGGTGGGTAGTGACTAGTGGGTACCTAGTATCAATGCCGGTTTGAGTACCGGATGCTGTTAATCGCACTAAAAGAGACTTAATCCACTTAGGTCTTAGAGTGGCTTAGACTTTTAAAGTGTACCTAGTACCTACTACCTACCTACCTAACTATAGGCTATACTGCTATAGACAGTTATGTAGATAGATAAAGACGTTATCGACTTATCAAAATCATAAATAGATTGATTGTATTATAGGAACAAAATTTCTTGAGCTAATATTTTGACTTCTGCAAATTAAGTTTAGGTAATGTAAAAATGTACTTATATAATGTATAAAATACATGTACCAAAAATTAATAACATTTTGGAGTTTTAGAAAAAATTCACTAGAAACTCCAAATCTGATCAAAATACAAAAAATGACAAAATATTCGTCTAAGTTTTCAATTGCCCGGTGTGTGAAACGAATTTTGTATATCTAACCTACCCAGGATCATGACTAAATAAATTTATTTGGTCATATTGTGTACCTACATTATATACTTGAAAAGCGTTGCTCCCATAGACATAAAAATATTATTGTGTCTATGGTTGCTCCAGACTTAACAGCGATTTTGGCAGTGACCTCTAGCGGAATCATTTAATACGACTAGCCGTTGTTTTATTTTTCACGTCCATGACGTACGCAGGTGGCTTATGGGGCGACAAGTGCAGTTTCACAACAGTAATAATAATAATATTAGGTAATAACGTTGTCAAAATTTCAAACATTGCCGTTCTTATCAGTCGTCTATAACCGTTAAAAATTGTAAATTGGAATACAGCCGATTAGGAATTTAGGATCTCGTATAGTTATATAGTCGTATTCTCGTGATATATTATTGATATTCTTCTTTAATCTATGATATTGATATAGCCGGTTCGCGGTTTTCTGTGAATTGTAATGCCGCACGCCCGTACTCGTTATGCAGTACCTACCTACTTAGTATTCGTCAACCGTACGGATATTTGAATATCGTGTTTTCCGTGTCCGATGGTCTCAGCGTCCTCGATCTCCATTGTCGTTGACCGTTGTAAATTGTAATACCCACCCGTGGATGTCGAACCCTACCGGACGTGAACGAATCGAACAACAGGTACTTCCGACCGAACTTTGATTATAGACATTGATCCATTCGGCGGCCGCGAACCAGGTAGGTTTTCATAACGTTTTTCGTCCCACTCGTCCGCAGACTAGTGATCACAGGCATACCGTTAGTTGCCAGTTAGTTGTCCAATTTGGTGGCTCCGTAACTTTCAATTCTTTCTGGTTTGCAAAGTAGTTGTACGCAATGACTAAAATATCAACAAACGTGTCAGATGTGTACGATCGCATGTCGGAGTCTTTGAACGGCTACAACAACATCAAGTATATGCCGTATCGCATTGCCCTGAAATTGACTGTCTTGCAAAAATACACAAGCCGTAAGTCCACATTTCTGTATATACCTATTGCCTACTCCTGTTACTAATAGTGATGTGATAGTAGTGTCCGCAGATTAAGATATAATATCAGTTTATATACTTATATCTTAGTCTATGGTTTTATCCACCCATACTATTTGTGAATTATTGATTTAACAGTACCTACCTACTTGAAGAGTAGTAGGTACAACTTTTTCAATCATATTCAATACTTTTAAATTATAAGTGTGGATTTTCAAACTAGTTTTTATTATATACCTACGTTTAAATTATGAGTCACCCATTGTATTACAGTTATAAATATTAGGTAGGTAGGTACCTATACATGAAACTTGAGGTACTTACATAATTATTTGTTAGTTTTTTTTACAGGTTTTACTTGTAGATACCTAGTATTACTTGTCTTAAGATATACTAAATGTATTGTGTACTTTCAAAAATGAATCTTATAAATAAGGATATAAATGATTTAACTCTACATTTATCCATATTAAATTAACAAAATAAGATAGGTACCTAAATACAAATGTATTTAGTGCTACTTATAATCAGAAAACATTTTTATACAAGTACAATTTTAACCAGAATTATGACCTTACATGTAGATATTTGTTTTAAATTTAAATGTACTAATTATGAATAGGCAAGTAGATAAATACTCTTTTAATTAAATACTGATATTTTAATTTAAGTCAATCTAGGTAAATGCATTCTAAGTAGGTACTCACTTAAATTAATTCATTTAAATTTTTATGATGAAGTAACCTTTTACAGTTTCCAGTACCTACTTATATAAATATTTTTAATTATTAGGTGCCTACTAATATAAGAAGTATTTATAAAATAATTAATTAACTATCAATATTATATCAAGATATTTTTGATTAGATACCTATCTTTAAATATGTAATATCAATGATAATCTTTAACATTTTTGTTTATTATTACACTATATTCAGAATAAGAATGGTATCAGGCAGCAACCGGTTTTTATCCTGCGACGGTCAGATGCTAAATTGTAGGTACCTATCAGTTAATTTAAAACTAAATATTTCAGTTAAGTTCATATTATATCCTGATGGGTCCTATCACTCATTAATAGAGGGTGCAGGGTTTAAACAAATTGACTAGGTAGCTCTTATATTTTATTTCTTTTTATAATTTATTATTCATAAAGGTCTCATTTTTTTTAGAATGTAAATATTTTAAATAAAAATTGTTATCCAGAAAATAGTTTAGATCGGTGAATTAATAACTAGGTATTACAACAATGCAATTTATGATTGGCCAATAATTACTATTAATAACATTAAATTGTCATTTGTAATAATTAGAAACCGAGTAGAAACCTATTATAATGTTTATAATTATACAAGTTGGACTCAATTTGGTCAAAACCTAACAATGGTTGTTCGTATAACATAAATATAGATATAAATATTTATAAAATTAATAAAATATGTACAAGTTGTTGATTAAAAATTCACTTTAACTCTATTTTACCTATACTTTTACATTGTTTGAATTTAATTTATCTAGTTAAAAGTAGGGTATAAGTAATTAATAAATAATTAATACTTAAAAGTATAATTTATTATATGAGCATAATTTTTAAAGATTTTTAATCATAACAAATATTATACACCTAAGTAATGAGTTATAATGTTTAATTACAAGATAAAAATAATAAAATAAAATAGTAGTAGAATGAAATGTATTATAATGAGCATTTTCCAATACGGGACTAATTGTATAGATGGTACATTATGAAGGCACACACGGTTGTCTACTGATATTGATAATACTGCTGCTTTCATATCTGGCATTAAATCTCTATTCAAAAATTCTAGGCCCGTAACAAACATAGCATGAACTTGTTTAACATTATAAATCATTTTTAAGTTACTTGCTTCATGTATGCTAACACTTCCCGAGTACATTGTACCAACAGCAATATATAGTCCATCTTGACGCACTGCTAATGCTGATGTAGGCTCAGTAAACAACAACTCATAAATTATTTTATTATTTTCCGACCATCTTTGTAAGTAAGATTTTTGTTTAGGACCATTTGCAATTGTATAAATGTTATAAATCAGTTTGTTTTCAATTACACCAAATTTACATCTTTTGAATATTTGTTTAGCATTATCTGGGTCTGGATGAATAAGTGCTGAACGTACATTAGTAACAGTATTCCAATGATAAGCTTTTCCATCTTTTGCAACACTTACTATAAATTTTCCATCAGAACTTATATCTATGTCATCGATTTCTTTAGTATGACATTTGTATTCTTTTAATGGTTTAGTATCTTTTGATTTATTTATTGGAAAGTTCCAAAGTCGAATGCATCCATCGGTACCTCCAGTCACCATGAAATTTCCATCATTGTTAATTTTCACAATCCTTTGTAAGGGTTCATCTTCACTGAAGTCTGTTAATAATGAATCTCCTGTTGTTACTTTAAAATTAATTTCTTTCCCTGCTTTACCATCATGAAATGTTGGTTCTATTATGATATCAGCCATATATTGTCGACATCTATCATTTTCATTTGCCGCAATATAAACTGTACTGCCTCTTATATTTGTACAACAGTTCATAATTACATTTGGACCACTATCGTAACGAAATACTTTTGTCATTGATATTGTTTTACCATCTCTATTTAGTTTGAATACTTCAAATCCATTAGCTATGCCAGTTTTGCTAGAACCGCCACCACCAGCAACCAGTATATAGTTCTTGAGGAATGTTTGAATTGAATACATTGGCAGATTTGTTGTAGTGACCACTTGAGACATGCTTCCCATATTTATAAATTGTTAATTTAATAATTTGAATATATTTCAAGAAATTCAAAATTTTAGTATTTACTATTTTAGCTTTGATAGTTTGATGTCACAATGTTATTGTTTTTATCATTATATTTTGATAAGAAGAGCAGTGCTAACATTTTAGAAGTACTTAATGTTTTAATAATAATTGTCTTGAAATAATGTTTGTAATAATTTTTTTGTTTTGAAAAACAAAAATAATATAGTTATCAAAATATTAAGAAATTTAAAATAGAATAATTTGTTATACATTTATATTTTATAATGAACAGATGAACTGATGTACCCACCTCTTAATGTTTTGCTAGTACCTACTGCCTTCTACTTAATAGCTATATCGTAAATGCAATATCTTGAACATTCTATTTTACTCCAGAACATTCAAATATTTTCCTTGAAAATACATATTATTTAAATATAATAATTTTAGAGCATTGCTTAAAAAAATGACTGCTTAATTTAAAGGCAAATATTAATTTTACCATAATGTTATAACAATATTAATAATATTGATAATTTATATAGCATATACTATACAGAGTGTGCATACTTGGTAGTGTCTGTACTCCACTCTGAATCCAGCTACATAAATATATTAGTAAATTACTAATAGTATAGGTAATAACTAAAGACCGGATTTAGCATATTATGCATATTCATATTTTTATAAGCTATTACATGCAGTAAATGGATTTTCATCAATCATAGTTAAACAAATAATGTTACAAATTTTTATTTTGCATATTTTTGCATATTTTGGGTACAAGTGCATATTTTCCATAAAAATGCATGTTTTTGCATATTACGTATATATTTAAATATTTTTATTTAATTTTATAACTGTATGTACCATTATTATACACAAATTTGTTCAAAACACAAAAATTGAAAATATTTTAAAAAATATAATAGGCAGATTGTATACTGATTTTCCCGTCGTATAGTTTTATCTTATCTAACATTATCAAGTTATCGACTATCGTTTATTTATACTACAGAACACAGACTGACAGACTAACGACTGTAGTTCGAAGTGTACATTCGGCAATAGTCAACGACGTCAACGTAGTTCTAAATAAACACATATTAATTTTATATAACATTGTTTGTGTTTTTAAATTACAATGCCAATAATGTCAGAATATAGAATAATGCCAATAATATCATGCCAAAATGGCCAGAGGGAGGTAATGACGAAAAAGTTTTGTTGATGTTATCCGATGCAGCCCCATAATATATGGTTAAGGCTGCCAAAAATTTAAAACCATTTTATTCCAATCTTATTCATGTGACTTGTTCTGCTCACGGGATTCTTCGGATTGCAGAAAATATTATGGATATTTTTCATGAAATAAACGATTTAATTAACAACGGAAAAAAGATTTTTTTGAAAGCTCCTTATAGAATTCAATTATATCATGAAATGCTACCTAATAAACCATTACCGCCCCAACCTATAATAACACGATGGGGTGCTTGGTTAGAATCAGCAATATTTTATGCAGATAATTTCGAAAATTTTAAAAATGTTATACAAAGCCTACCAGAAGACGATGTAAAAAGCATTAAAAACTGTAAGCAAATTCTAACTAAATCAAATATAATTAACGATTTAACTTATATTAAAACAAATTTTTCGGTTATTGTTGAAAGTATTAAAAAGCTTGAGACTTCAGGTTTGCTACTCATAAATGCTTTAGAAATATTTGAACAAGTTACAAATGCTATCAATAATCTTTCAGAAAATGAAAATAGCGTATTAATTAAAAAAAAATGTTCCGACATTATTAAAAAAAACAAAGGCCTGCTAATTTTAAAAGAAATTTCTAAAATACACCAAGGTGAGAATGTTGACTTAAGTTCTTCTATCAAACACTTTTCCCCGGAAATGTTGTCAAGTTTTAAATATGCACCCATAACAAGTGTTGATGTGGAACGAAGTTTTTCTGCATACAAACATATTGTCACAAATCGCCGTCATAATTTAACTGAGATCAATATGGAACATATTATTGTTACTTATTGTTTTTCCAATAACAAATAAATTATATATTTTTTATCACAATCATAAATTCATAAAATATATTGTATATAATATTGTAGTTTATTATTTTTTTTTCATCATAAATGTTTTGATTTTATAAATTGTCCATAAATAAAAAGCTGTAATAGGTAATAAAAATTTATTTTGCATGTTTTGTGATATTTAAGTGCATATTTTCGTCATAAATGTTTTGATTTTATAATTTTACCATAAATAAAAAGCTGTAATAATCAAAAATTATTTTGCATGTTTTATGATTTTTAAGTGCATATTCAGAACTTTTTAAGTGCATATTTGCATGCATATTTTAACATTTTAAATGCATATAAATCCGGTCTTTAGTAATAACTAATAAGGTATGATCATTTTTGGATGTACAATCATACAATAGTTTGAATATAATTACATTTTTAACATGTTGAATAAGTAAATAATTGTTCCCAAAAAACATGTAGGTATTACCTATACTTTGTAAGTATCCAATAAATGTAGTCTTAGAATTTAAATTTATTAATTAGGTTGTTTAGATTTAATTGATAAATTTTAGAATAATAAGATGAAAAAAGAGTTTTTTTTTTATTTTAAAATTTTTATGTAGGACTATATTATAGGAGTATGAACTATGCAAGTATATCTAGGAGTCCATATCAAATTGACAAATTGACTTTTTCATTAAAACAATATTAATTACGAATTAGATACCTACCTTAACGGTGATATTATTTTTCCCTACATTTTTATTTTATTTATTTGGTATAAAATAGCTACCTATTTCTTTTTTAAATTTAAGTTTTTTATTTTTATACCAAGTTTCCAACATATTGTGTTCCACCATATATTAATAATTGATTTTATTGCATTTTACTATCCACTACATAACTTTTAAACTGAAAATCTTTATTATAGATACCCTTACTTGGCTTACTTTAAGCTGTATTATTTTATTGTAATTGTGTAACTAAGCAAATACCAATTTTTAATAATCTTTCTTTATATTTTAGTGGATAAAGTGTCATTGTATGTTATAAATGGTGTTTATGAACAGCATAAAGGAAAAAACCTGAATCTCATCGATAAAGTTGTGTTGGATGATATTGTATCTGATATCTATTTTGCGGTCCAAAAAGAGCACTCAGGCTTATCCTTTGATGGAGAAATAGTATCTAACGTTTTAGTTCAGTTGTTGGGACAAATATTTTCAAAGTGAGTTTTAATACATTCATATATTTATACATTGTACATATTTGTGATTTAAATACATTTTATTATTATTGATTTATGAAGTTGTGTTGTTATATTTTATGTTTAATTATTGTGTATAGTGAACATTAATATAAAATAATTATATTACACGATATGCATCTCTACTAAACATTTAATTCTTAATTTGAAATGTATTGGCTTACAATAATTAATAATACTTTATGTTATTTAAAATATTTTTCAGGTATACAAATAAACAAATCAACTTGAGGTCTGCTCTTAATGTCATAGCTTGTTTATCATGTGATAGACTTCGTGTACGATTGGGTTATATGTTCCAGTTAAATTGTCTTAACAATGAACTTGGTTTAACAAAAGAATGTTTTAGAAATTTTTTAAGGGATCTCAGTTTATTACTGAACTTTCTTTCAGAAAAAAGTGTGTTTGAGTCCTCCTCCATTAACAATATTATTGTTAATTGCTTCCAAAATGTAAATAATGAATCATTAAAAAAAAAAAAAAAAATGGTTTAAGTGATAATATGTAATATATTATTGTTTTATTTAATTTTTAGTTAAACAACCCAAACTATATGACCGAAGCTGAATTCATGCAATGGTTTATGACTGAGCCGCCAGTATTAGAATGGTTACAAATATTGTATAGAATAAAAATGGCAGAAAATGGTAAGGTTAATCATGTTTTAGTCAAAATACATGCATATTTTAAAGTCTGATATCAATAAACTAAGTGGTTTATTATAAGAATCTGAATAAAAGTTGACTTTTGATTCACATAATATGAGACACAAATTATTTTTGTATACAAATACCAAACTGGTAGTGTTTAAGATCTGTTATGTTGTTATACATTTTCATTTTAAAATTATAAATACCTACATTCAACTTTAAAACTAAGTCTGTAATGTATTTGTATATTCATAGACATAGTTTCCATGTCAAGCCACTAGCAATGGCCAGACATGTGCATTTAAATAAACTCAAAACTAGATATAGTATATTGTAGATAAAAAAAAATATTATACCTACTTTACCTACTTGTCACATATTGTCATGTATGTATGTATTATTGTGTTGTCTCCATCTTATAAACCTTAAATATATCAAATCTTAGTTCAGCAGTTTCAATTTTGTGTAATTAGCTTAAATAGAATGAGTTGACCTATAATCGAACTAAAAAGTAAGAACATTATCTGTATTCTCTCTTTTTTTTATGATGTTTTAATTTTGAAGTAAGTGATGAGTATGTAAAATATTAATTTTTAAGTATGTTCATAGCGACATAACTCGATAATTAAGTTAGGTATCTTTAAGTTTACTGTTTTATCGAATCGAACCTAAAAATAGTAAGACAGAGACAACACATTCAGGTATGACTCACTTAAAGCTGTTAGAGCTAGCTATTTATTAAAGGCTGTTGAAAGCGGGTGGTTTTTTCATGCATTTAGACCAATAAGCAGAAGAAAAATAAATATATACTTTCAGATGTCCTATTTTAATGTTCAAAAAATATTTGAATTTAGTCGCTCCTTGTCTGTGTTTTGTAGGAAATGTATTATTTTTTTTAGTGTTGCTAAAGTAGTAGTTGGTTAAAAAAAATTAAAAATTAAATTTGGTCCTATTCTAATTTAACAATATAACAAATCAAAAATCCATTTCATACATAACTTAGCAAAGAGAATAAGGAATTCAAGTATGTTTTCAAAATTAAAATCAGGCTTTTAGTACTGGGTGAATTTTTCTTTTCTCTTAGGGATAATCATGTTGAAACTTTTTTGTTTGCAAAATATTGTGACTTGTGACTGTACTTAATTACGTTATGGATTTCCAAGAATCTTAGCTGTAGTTTATCTTCTATTACATAAAGCATTCAAGAAACTCACTCATACTTATGATCAGTCACTACACACACAGTCACACTTCACTTATGATTGTTACAGAATATTGCCTAAATCCAAAAATGGCTATTGTTGGCTCTGACACCATTAATAAAAACAATTTTTTTTTCAGTCAATCATGAAGTGAACTGTAAAGTTTGCAAATTACCTGTGAAAGGTTTACGCTATTTTTGTCTAAAATGTGTAAATTATAATCAATGCCAAAACTGTTTTTTGATTGGCGCCATTAACAAAAAACATAAATTAAAACATGCTATGCAAGAATATTGTTGGCTGGTTTGTATTTTACATTATACTTCTTAAAAGAAACCTTATCAATAAAGAGTTTAAAGTTTAATCTGATTGCAATTTTTAGGAAACACCCCAACAGTTATACACACAATACTTAAAATCCTATTTAGGAAGAATTTTTGGTTTAACATCAAAAATTAGGTATCTTCCTGTTGAGATGCCTATTGATGTTATTGAAACAAAACAAAAGTAAATACAATTTATATATTATACATTTAATAAACTATTACTTAATATCTAATCTTATTTATAGAATTCACTTCTTTAAAGGATAATAAATTATGAATAAATTACTATACTCTATTCCACTAGAGAACATGCCTCCACCCGACCAAAATCGGGTTTTCTGCTCATTTCCTAGCTACACCCTGCCATTGGGAAACCAGTTTCAATAGCAAGGTGAAGTGAGAAGATGTGCAGATGTGCAGATCTGGCATGTTCTCTGATGGAACAGGATATATACAACTATTCATTGTCAAACACATAGAGATTGGTACATAAATATTAATAATTAATATACATGGTAATAGTGCATGAGTATTTGCATATTGTAACATATTTAAAAAAAAATGTGTAATAAGTTATAACTGAATTAAAATTCAATGTTTTTATATTTCCAACAGTATTCTTAAATTATTTTTGATATTTTTTGAGATTGTTTTTTCTCCTTTGATTTTCTATTGCTTGAAACAATTGGTCTTGTTATAATCATATTTCTATAATCGTCTTGTGAATAATCTATTGTTATTCTGTTGGCAGGCTAAAAATGTAATTTACATGATAAGTAAGTGGTGAACACAGATATTTTCATTAGGAAGGGCTATAACAAAAATATATGTATGTATATAATGTATATATATATATATATATATCAAAATATTTTCAAAATTTTATTCATTTTTATAAATCTATACATATTAGTAGTAAAAATCCCGTGTGTGCACCACTGAGTAATTAAGACACTTGGATATTAATTTATTATACAAGTTTCAAACTGAATCTAAATACATATGTATGTCTTACAATATTTAACCTAAAAATACATGAAACATAATTGTATTATAATCATTAACCAACCTTACGCTTTTTACCTTGACTAGGGTTTACTTAATTACGAAACGATATATTCACGAAACACTCCGAAGCCTATCAATAAACCGACTAACCCTAATACGTATACTGTACATAATATGGATAACATTAATGACTATTGATATTGATAAATTTGTAATCGCAATAACCCAAATTTATGGGAAATTTGTAGAATTCGTTTTCATGTTTATTTTAATCTACGACATAAACTAGCGTAATTTACGTATTATAAATGGCTGTCCTGATTAATGAGGTTCTACTGTACTCATAAGTCATAACTTTGGTTAAACATTTTTTAAAAATTGCTGTGATAATTTTGTTCACATAAATTAAAAAGCTGCATTCTTTTTATTGAATTATTACATTATCATTAGTAGTTGTGTAATTTACTGTCTATTTATGTAATATTACTACACTTCTAATCTATAGTAATCTATTTAGTATTTACTTCAATTTTCACTAAATATTTTTATGTCATATGATTATTAGTGATTTTAACTATTCAAGTATTATTAATAGGTAAAAATATTCAGAGAACATTTAAAGTTAATTGTTAAAGTTGTACCTATGAAAAAAAGAATTATCATACATAAATGTATTATAATATATATGTCATAGTCACTTCATGAGATCATATAAAGTTATCTATTTCATTTCATTGAATCAACTTTTTCACACTGTATCAAATAAGAAAATATTTTATGAAATAGTCATTCCAATTTGACATCATGTTATTTTTTTTCACATTGACTTTATAAAATAACATTTGCCGCCCACATTTATTATCATTATTATTTATTTCCAAAATTGACAAACCTGTTTAATACCATATGCCATTTTCTACATATACTTACATCATATACTTTTAAGTTATATTTATTTAAAGGTTAGTTATACATTATCATATTTAATATTATGTTACTTTTATGTCTTATTAAATTTACACACAAAAATGCTATTTCATTTTATTTATTTAAAAAAAAAAGTTTATAGAAGTATATCATAATTTGATTAGATTTTCATTTTTTAATATGGACACTAAGTCATGACTGTTATATTATATTCTAATGTAGATAGTTTCATACAAATAGTTATCGATTATCAAATAGTTTAATAATATCTATGCATGAACCTAATTTTTAAAATCTGTAGATTCTATTGTTTTTGATTAGAGATAGGCCGGTTTATGTCTGGGTCCTAAAATTTTGCTTTTGGGTATCGATATCAGTTCCAATACTGATTCTTTTTTTTTAAACATTATTAAATAAGAATATAACAAAATAATTCATTTTAAAGAACTTTTTTAGTATGAATTATATTATGAACATTAATAATAACATCAAACAGTGTTACCCCCCCCCCCCCCCCCCCCCCCCAAAAAAAAAAAAAAAAAACTGAAGATAACTGGTACTAATAAATTATCAATCTAAAACCAATAATTATCCTTCCCTTCGATTCTCATAGAACCGGGAACTAGAACTGGCCCACAACTAGTATTGATATAATGGCATATTTTAAGTGTATAGTTGTTGTATCAACCATACTGTACTTTCACAAATTAATTTTTTTCTTTTTCTTTCGCGTTTTAATTCTGGAAATATTCAAAATGCCATAAAAATAATTAATTTTGTGAAACTGTTCAAGTGGTATCAGTAGGCTAGGGGCCTATAAACGTGCATGTTAATAATTTAGATTAACATATGCTTGTTTAAAGGTATGGTACTATAGGGTAATATTTAGTAGTTGTCATAATTCATTGTCCCGCTTAAAATGCCTTAAATAAATACAAATTAAAACAAACTACATAATAAATAATTTTAAAATTGTTGGCATTTATATAGTATAAATTTAATATGGATTCCAAATAAATTTAAATTAATTAGTAAAAAGTTAAAGATTTATTTAAACCAACAATTGTTTAAGTATTATTAATTATTATATATTATATTAATGTTTAATAATAGTTAGTTAAAAACTATAATAATATTGTATTATATTATATTATAATTTGTTTATTATTTATGAAATACTAGATAAAACATATTTTGTTGTTTCAATTTTTTAACATTATTTGATAAAAACTGTTTAGGAAAATTTTTTGGTTTTTAACATAAAACAAAATTTACATAAATTAAACAAATAAACAATAATATTTAAGTTTTTTTTTTGTATTTATATAAGAATAATAAAATTTACTTTAATGATTGAATAACTTAGTAAAACTCACTGATCGTAAAATATTTTGCTGTAGAACATACTGATTTATTTCTTCATATTCTTGCCGGTTATTATAAGTACCAGATACAATTGAATTTGTTTGCACATAAATTAAATTATCCTATTGTGTAAAAAAAAAATCAACAATTATGCACTTTCAAAAAAATTGATCTAAAATATGCTTACCATAATACAAATGTTTACTAAAATTATTTTTATATTAAATCTGAAATTAAGATTGAATGATATATTATTATGTTGTAGACAAAAATTATTTTAACAGTAGTATAACTATTAGAAATAACTAAGCTTACTAGTTGGCCCATCTAAAGATATTGATTCAATTTTAAGCTGGTTCCTTTAATTTATCTTATTTATTGCACTTAACAAGACAAGGTCATTGGTAATAATAAATAATAATTGATAGCACAAGTGTAGTATTAAGTTATTAAATATAGTATACTTATGAAAATTATTCTAATTGTCCAGTTAAATTATTTTTAATTGTTTTGATTTGTTAATATATATTTTTTACATTTATATTATATTTTAATCATTATCTACATTTTTTAATTCAATAAAAAAATGTATTCATTATGGTAAAGGTAATTTCAAATTAAAAAAAAAGCTTTTACTACCATACCATTAGTCTCTTTAAATTTATTATGAGTTGTTGATATTGTTTTTTAGTTGTACTACTTAAATGATTATTTTTAACACTCAAGATTACATAAATTGTCTTGTTTTTACTCATTTAAAGTACTTTTACATTGGTAATTCATAAATGCAAACACATCCAATCTTGTAAATAAATAATTTTTAATGGTTGTCAAGTATGATTTTTGAACACTTAATAAAGCATGTATGTGCTTAAATACTTTACTTTCACATGGTGTCCTTTATATTAAACTTTTTTTCAATTTTTTTTAGTGCTAAGGAATTCAGTAGTATCTCAATTGATTCCATCACAGTGAAATCACCTCGTCAAGAATTGCAGAGTGTTATATCACAAATAGAAAGAGAAAATAGGTACAGAAATATTATATTAGTTAATTAATTTTTAATATGGTAAATATATTAGATTAAACAGAAAATTTCATACATTTAAAAATAACTTTATCCATTAAATTACTATTGTGTTAATATTATTAGTAACTAAAATGAATTATCAAATATTTAATTGGAATAGATAGTTCTCAAATATTTTAAACATAATAAAATGGTTATAACTTTCATGTTGAAATAATGCTAATTATAATTTTAAAATTTTAAAATTTTGATGTTTATTTTCTATCAATTATGTTATTTACGTTAACATTTTTAAGTTCTAAAATGTATGGATTGGATCAGTGATGGTCTAGAATTTTCATAAGGTTGTTATCTCCAATGTAAATGTATACTATAATAGTATATACGAATTAAAATATAGTTATAGTAATAAAAAACAATTACATTCAATCATTGAATATGGTCAATGCATAACATATACTAATAAAGGAAGGAAGTGTTATATCCCCCAAACACCTTGCGTATTCCACTGCATTGAACTGTATAAAATAAGTTGCTTATCTTACTATCAAGATTTTTGGTCTGTTTTGAATTAATATTGTTTAACTATTAAACTTTCACTTTGTAATAATTAAATTACTTCAATAGTTTGTTAACAATAAACAATTTTACTATAGTAGTTAGTTATTTGTATTGGAAAAAAAACCATTTGAAAACAGTTTCATTAAATTACTATTAATTTAATAAACACGGAAGTTTTTACAACTTGTTTTAGTATTTATACACTTCTAAGACATACTATCTACATATTTTATCAAAGATAACCACCGCGTATATTGTATAATTTTGTTTGATCTTTTTATTATTTTAGTAATTAAACTATTTACAGGTCAAATGTTAAAATAATAAAAAGGTGAATCGTTAATAGTTCCAACCATACAGTCTAAATGTACTAAAACATAAAATAACTGAAATGAAATGGTTATTTCATAAGACAGTCATGGAAATATATGATATCTTCTTTAATATGAATAATAAATAGGTCAAATTCAAAGTTTTATAATATCATTAAATTAAAATATATTATAGGTAGGTATTTTTTTATGATTACGGAATCTAGAAAAATATATCAATGATTACAAAATAATAATTACCTATATTTTCCAAATAATACTTAAAATATGGTATGTCTTTATTCCCAACTGAATTATAACTTATAATTCTATGTTTGAAGCCATGATGAATTGTCATGTATTTTAACAATGATCTGTTTCTTACACCTAGTTGAATGAATTAATAAAATAAAATAAAAATAAAAATAAAATAAAATTATGCCTTAAGAATTTTCTATCTGATTCAGATAGTGGTCAGACTCAGGGCCCTTAGTTTTTTCCCCCTCTTAGAAGATATATTATGTGGTAAATATATCTAATAATTTTGAGGTATTTATGAGTAATCGAAAAAAAAACATTAATGTGATTGAAAAATTTGTTTCTGAAAAACAGTGCCAATCATCACTGTAATTAATACAATTCTAAATTGTATAAATATATTTAAGTAATCTATTCATCATAATTATAAATTAATATTAATATGAAATGTGATAACTTCTGTATTATATAATATTATGTGTTTTTATAAAATAAAGCATGAATAAAAATATTTTTTTATCTTGTTAATATTAAAGTGTAAATATGCCTGGAAACTACAAAAGGTCGCATCACCCTGATATTATTTTTATAATAATTATGTAATCGTTGTATTCTGAATAGAAGTTCTTATTACAACTTCTATTACAGAGTACAATAGTATATATTTATTTTGTTCATTCGTCTTAAATAATTTTATTTTAATGTCTTTAAAATCTAGTGTGATTGTGAATTACATGTTTATGTTATAGATTATTAAACTTATAAATAATAAACTTGTAATGTATTTCAGACTGTTGGAGATTGAAGTTAATACGTTGAAACGAGGTGATTCTCAGTTTGAAGCGTTTTTAGACCAACACCGGAGCAAAATCGAAAGACAGTTGATACGTCTAAAACAATTAAAGGTTAACAGTTAACATATTAATATATTATAAAATAAATAAATCTATATATAAAGGAAAGTGTTCTCCTGATTCATAATCAACGCAGAGTTGAACCTATTAAAATGATTGACTTGAAATTTCGAGGGTGGATTAACATTATAAATTAAGGATTTTTCAAAATTTTGATTTAACAGGGCTTAAATCGGCAAAAATTAAGCACCCATATGACTCACAAAAGGCAGGTAGCTGGAAACCCACAGGCCACCGGGCCGTACAATATTTATTTTATTTATTTATAAAAGTTCTAAACGGGCTAAGCCCAATGTTTACAAGATAGAACAAAAACCATGAGGTTTCAAAGTATAGTTTTTTTTTCTGTATAGGTATACAATTTGCACGTTTATTTTAATTAATAACCAATTTTCAGCCAAATTTCTTTATTTTTAGTAACCTAACCTAACCAGTAGATATTAGTTTGGTCCGGTTAAAAAAATCATCAAAATGTACACTGTTTAAATGGGCAACTCTTGCTTCGAGATTATAATTATACATACACTGTCGAGCCCCACCGCTCCTTTTTTTTTTACTTAGCTCGTGGCGCTGGATAATATTCGTTATCTGTATACGAATGAACTGTAAAACAAGTGGGTTGTGTTGCCGTTAGGTAATTACAGTGAGCATAAAGGCACTGCAAATGATTTGTAGAAAAAAAAACTCGTCAGTGCTGTTGCCAATTTATGGATGATAAAAGATAATAATAATATTATTGCATTTGTCGACATTTGCAATAATGCATTATAGCCTTATACTCAGAGTATTATTACATATTGAGTATAAGGTCTATGATTATAGCTTAACATGTGTCTATGTACATTATAGAACCATTTGAGTGGTACGTTTGGACGTGGAAAGATGAAGCGTATGCAGAGCACGCCGCTCATCATGTCGAGGCCTGACCGCAAGGGTGACGGAATCGCTGCCGTCAACCTAAGTCCAATATTTTCTGCCGAGGCGTCGTCGCGTGCAGTGCACAGCTGCACTGGTCTGGATGCACTCAGCACGTTGTACGGCGAGAGGACGGCCGGAGAAGGTTTGGCCGCCGAGCCGAACGAGTTTTCTTACTGGTTGGGCCCGAAAATCGCCGCCGCCAACAACCGAGAATTGGAAGGAACTTACATCGAAAAACCTGACCAAATCGACAAAGAAAACCACTCTGCGGTGGCCGCTGCCGTGTCAGCCAGATCCGAGCCCGAACCGTCACCGTCGGTCTTATCTGACATCCTGAACAGGCCGTCAGGTGGTGGTGGTAGTGGAGGTGGCGGCGGTGGTGGTGGCGGGCCCAAGTCTCCTGATAAAATTTCCATTACGGTCAACAAACAGTCTTCGGTGTGGCTCAACGCCAGTAGAGACTATGCCAGAGAGCCAACTGACGACAAGGACATGGACGAATTGCACACCGAACTAGATAAGATTTTGGACCAGTTACAGAAACTCGTGACTTAGATGAAAATTAAAACAATTAACGTTTAGTTTTTTCCTATTAAATTTAATTCCGCACACTATAATATTGTATAATGTGTATACATTTATTATACTTTGCATGATAACGTATTACTATATTTAGAATAATTTTATTTATTTGTATATTATTATAAGAGCACATATTTTTAAAGTGGATTGCAATACTCAAAAAATACATATTTTGCTATTATATTTTTATAAAATTCATAAAGCTATATTTTGTTTCTATAATACAATAATTGTATTAAGGTATTCCTATATTTTTTTAGATGCGTTCCTATTTATTGCACTTGACATTTAAAAGTTTAAGTGTTATTGTAAATTCCTCACAGAGCTTTACCCCACACTACTGCAATTATATAACCTTATAAGTTGTAAATCTACAATAATCGATACTTGAAAACTTTTTGTACACTTAACACACTTCATATTAATGATAAAAACAAAATATATACCTATAAAACTCACGAAGGTTTACCAGTAAATAGTAATACACAGTCCGCCAAGCTGTACATCTAAATAGTACATTTTGATGTGACCCATTGACTAAAAATTGTTCGTAATCAATCCATTTGCCTGTAATGTGTATTTTAATGCTAATCGTCTAACAGTTATAAGGAATATGTAATAATTTTTAACAAATTAATAGTCATGACTAAATACTGGATTTAATTGATATAGCAACTTTTTTGCAGTTAAGATAAACCAAATCTTATCAAATGTAAAGACGTAAAGTCGATATATACTTTATGTATTATGCCTATTTAATTTTATACAGCAATTTTTTGCAATTTTTACAATTTTGTGTGTTTAAATGAACAAAATATTTAATTCAGCTAAATTTATTGTATAAAAACGCTATTATGTCATACCAAGTTTTAGTTGTGATGAGTAGATAATCTGTAGTTGTACCATAAAGAATTATTATCAATATGTATACATCATTTTATTATTGTAGGTAGGTACCTATTATTCGATATGGATAATTTTAGTTTAAGTACCTACTAGAATGTTCGCTATAAAAGCCGGTTGTCGGAGCCACCTGTACGTCTGTCATATGCCGGGCAAACCTTTACCTCATGAACCTATTATTACAAGGTGGGGAACCTGATTAAATGCTGCACTTTTCTATGCAAATAATTTCGAAAAATTTCAAAATGTGATTTAGCATTCATAAAACTACACTTATCCGAGTTATCCATTAATCTTACAAACTTGGAAGCATCGAATAGTGAACTACTTGAAAGTATGAATATGATTAAAAAAATTGAAGATATTTCAACAAATATTCCTGATCCAGATGGTAAAAAAATTAAAGACAAATATTTGTATGTAAATGAAAAAAATGAAGGCTATAAAACTGTTAAATCTTTTTACGAAGTCATATTAGGTAAAAAAGATGTTAATATAGATATAACACTTACCTTATTGAATTATTTTAAATAAATTACCAATAACTAGTGTAGACGTAAGACGTAGTTTTTCTTTGTACAAACATTAAGTAATTGAAGATTTAATTTTAATGAACTTAATTTGGAAAGTATCTAATTATCAATTTTAATTCAAAAAGTTTATTTATCTAATTTTTTTAGATAACTTGAATTTTGATAGTACAATTTATTATGCAATTCTTACGTAATTTTTAGTGCAATTATACAATTTTAAGATGCAAGTTTTGTATGTTTTCAATGCTGCAATTAAGTCCGGTTTTTAGTTATGACTAAAAGTGTTTTAATTTTTTTTTCGGTCGGTAAGTATTACATAATTTTAAAACGGATAATTCATGGTGTTTCACTATAATAATAATAGAACTTGGGGATGCTAAAGAGTAAAGACCCTTTTGCACCTAGTTGCGCCAATGATCTAGAGTGAATTAACCACGAACAATTAATTTATATTTTATAATAGTTTGTTGAATGTTCTGTTGAGGCTGTCGGTGGTGGTACGAAATGCTGGGTTTGTTTTGGTAAACCTAATCAAAATTGATCGGTCGAGTGATTTTACGGACTTGAATATACTAGCTGGTTAATCTGTAAACAAATATAGGCATATAGCTTATTGTAACTATAGTATGCGCTAAAATCGGTAGTTCGAATTAATTTGCCGTACAAAAGCTGCTACTGATAATTTAATTATATTACGTTATAGATCAAACTTTACATGGAAGAATGCTACTAAAAAAACTTGTTGAATTATATAACAGATAAGTATCTCGACTCACAATTGTTCTTATGAATAATGGAACTTTTTTTATTATTTTGATTCGAATCCCTATTACGTAAATATTTATATTAAATGAAACTCGTTTTTAATACAATTATTATTGGTCCACTCGTCCACTTTTGCATGCTTAAGCGAATCAAATGAATGTCCAATGAACGTAACCTACGTACCTATATTCAGTTTGAATCTTTTTTTTATTTGATGTTTACTTCTTAGCTAAGAAATAAAAATAAAGTAAGTTATAAATACATTAACCAACATTGTTTTGTTATTTTATACATATCTATAGAGAAAAAGCGAGCGTTATGTTATTGACCTTGGGTGTTCAAACGGTCTAGTACCGGTTGACTTGAAAACCAATGTTTTATTCATGGTCATCTGAATTTCATAAAAATTACAATGCACCGAATATGCCAGTTAGTTTTCGTTCTCCGTCGTAATAATAAGTATTTTTTTTCATATTTTCAGCCGCCGATGATCTTTATGAATTTATAGATTTATGGAATTTATTTTGAAGTAAGTCAACTATTATATGAATAAACTTAATTTTTTTCTACTTGGTTACCTATTTAATATGATTTAGATGTAATCGTATGTATACACCATGCTATTTAAATAAGTACACCAAATTGCACACATAGATACATTTATTCTGTTCAACTATGATATACATAATTTATAGTTATGTATTTAAGACATCTACAACAGACATTTATTTGTGCCTATTTAATATTGTTTATAGTGATATGTGGGCATAAAATATCGGCATACTGTCACACGTAATTAGATTAAACCACCATTTTGCAATCATCTACAAATTGAACTCTGGTTAGTCTTCGTGTAATTCAAACACCTCGAACGTTGTAATACAGAGTTTTTTTTAATCTTTTCAAACCTTCGAAATACGTATCTAATATTTTGAATTTCCGTGAGTACAGTAGTATACATTACAGATTATTTAGGTATGACGAATTAATAGGTACATCTTCCTTTAATGTCAATGTGTACAAAAAGTCAAGAACCGTAGATCATAATAAAACTAATCAAAAATGTTTGATACATTTAATCGTTTCCGAACAATGAGGTCGTGAGGAGGTACCAAACCTCAATTATTTTTTATTATACCTAAGTATATTACAGTATTATTAATATAAATGTATAATATTTCTTACAAATCTATGTATATTTTATATTGTCACATTATAATACATTGACTTGACATTTTAAGTTAGCGTTTATCCATTATTAGTTTTTGGTTAAAAATATAAATAATAATGTATATGTACCTCAAAGTTTTCTGTCTGAATGCTTTAACAATATCAAAATACATATAATAATGACTAATGGCATACGACCGAAAAGGTTTTTGTCTTCAGCATCTTCTCTTTTTCGACGTTTATTTTATACAGGTACATACCTATAAGATATATATGGTCTTATATAATGTCCTCACTGAAATTTAATATTCATAGAACTTAAATATTTGGATATTTTATTACTTAAAAAAAAAAAAATATTTTTAGTTAAACTTATCCTGATCGGCTGTTCAACCAAATTGCAATTACCTTCTCAAATTAGATTTCAATAATGTGACATTCTAAATATTTTAGTAAAAAAGAGAGAATAAAATAATTTATTGCCATGTACAAATAATAATCAAAGAATTCAAATTGATAAATTTATATTTTATATTCTATGTAGGTGTATAATTGAATATGTATGTTAAAATATTACGTTGTCATACGTATTTTTATTTATTTACGTCATTACGATGTACATCATCCGTCTTATTTCAGCTATCTTATATAAATTAACGTTCGAGGTAATGACAATACTCTTATTTATTTTTAAAACAACGACATGATATTTTAGGTAGGTACCTACCTAATATGTTTGCCCAAAATGTATGTTAAAATTATTGATGTTCAAAACGCGTAATTTGTCGATAGTTTTGTCTGTTCAGTAACGATTATATGTTGATGAAAAGCCTGACAAAACAATATTTATAATAAACCTTCGATTATATTATACACAGACGTCGCATCATATAATATGTATACAGCATCCCTCGTCGGTTTCCTGATTATTCGTGTTTGGTAAGCTATCAAGAAGCTCAACAATTGACAATGTGCTAACTCACCATGGACTAGAATTATGTAAATGAGTGAATGAAACTTGAATTTCGATATAATTGGTAGGTAGGTACCTGTCGATGTTTATACTTTTTTTTTAGCATCCTTGTCCCAAATTACAAGGTTAGATAGCTGGACTTCGGAAGTAACAGGTAGGTAGGCTATATAGTAGGTACAGACTACAGACACAACTGTAGGCTGTATGGGAATATAACTGGTTATATTATTATTATAATCCGATTTGTCGTTATGTTTATATTTATAACCCAATGATATATCACAATATGTGTATAATATACCTCTATATCTATAGGTAGGTAGGTATATAAAATCAGGTATCATAGGTTCTACTTTCAAGTAAGTTGATTAGAGTTCATTACTACCTACCTATATTGATTAGGTGATAATATTATGATTATTAACTACGTACATCAACTATCAACAGTAGTTGAATATCACTGATCACTACCTAATCATCAATTTTAATCATATATTTTACAATGTAATATATTAATAATATGTTTCGTAAATCTCGTTTTTTCAACTGCTCCATTCTGTTAATTACGTTTTACATAGTTCTGCATTGTTCTATAGTTGTTGGTAAAAACAAGACAGCCGGCAGGTTGTAGGTACGTATAGAACTATAATAATACATATAGATATTACTAGAATCTATATTATGTAGGTAACTAATAACTAAACCTACCAGTATAATACATTTTTTTTTGTATCTAAGCTACTCGTGTAATTTGTGTATGAATAAAAAATACAGTAGGTACTCGTCAGTCGTCATCAATATTTTATGTTAATTATAAATGTATAATTTAGGTAGGTATATAGGTAACTAATCAAATTTAAACAGTAGGTAAAAGTTGCACACTATATGTGTATCCATCTAATTATTAGAGCATGTTAACTTACAAGTTATTTGCTAACTACAGATAAGGCGCAATGGGCGAGTCTAAAATTATGTATATCTACCTACCTAAATATGACCAATAGGTAATTAATGCGTTATTATTTATTATGTTGCTAAACCGAATGAAATATGTTCAAATTGACACTGTTTTATCTGAACAATTATTAGTTTATATTATATACCTACTCGAGCAATATAAAGTACAGGCAACTGTTGATTCGTGGAAAAACTACGGGGAAAAAAGTCCACTGAAAAGAACCCATCAAATTTTTATTTTTTTTCTTAATACTTTATTACTGCTTCAACAATGAAGTCATTAGCCGGGAGAAAAGCAGTTTACAGCAGTATACATAATTTATAACAAGTTTTATCCTTATTAGCTAAGTACATTGTAATGTACATAATTATTAAGATTAATGTACTTATTATTATAATATAAAACCAAAAAATTTCTCCCTGTAGAAAAACCAGGGGTTTTGATGTTAGATTTTAATATATTAGTTTATATTACATTAAACCTGGTTTAAAACCAATCAAGTTTGGTCTGTAAATGTAACTTTAGTAAATTTTTTTTTAATTTCTGCAACAAGCAACTAATGGATAATCGTTTAACCATTACTATGCAGGCAGAATAAGATAGGTAGGTACAAATAATTCAAATTAATTAAACTGTTTTTTAATAAAACAAGTCAATAGACAATAGGTTTGCCAACATTTTCATCAATGTCGAGTGTCTAATACAATTCAATTTTCAGGAAAACACATATTATGTCATAGGCACTAGATTTTTTACGCGGTCTCTTTTACCGATTACCATAAAATAGTGAAATTCATAACATTACCTATATACGGCTATAATATATATTATAAAATGTTGAACGAACCATTTGTTGAGTTCCTATTTAATTGGTTAAATGTCAATGAAAAACAATATAATATTAAATACGACGATTACGTATAATATCTAGTGGAGTGTAAGTGAGCAAAAAAATAACGTTAGTTGTCGGTAACCACGGTAACAAGGTCACGACTGTCAGATGAACACGATGTGGTAGATTAAGAGATAATAATCTGTACGACTGTATACGTAGTTAATCTTTGTTAAATTAGTCGTTATGGAAATAAGGTTTTAATAGCGTAATCATTTTAAGTATAAGTAGGTAATTGTACGATAGTTCACTACATTGGAGTATAGTTATGTGGGGGGTGGGGGGAGGGAGGTGGGATGATGGGGATAGATCTCCCTCAGAGCTTTTAGATTCTGAGTGGAGCAATTAATTCATTATATTACAATTTCGTTTTTTTTATATTATTATTTTGTGTACTGCGCATACAGATTTTACTACTTTTTATACAATTTTCTAATTTGAGAATGGTTTCTGATAATATTTAGATTGTACTTTTACTGTATTATAAATGACTACCAGTAAAATAAATTACCTACTTTAATATCAATAATAACATAAAATATAATTAGTATTTACTATAATGTACTATGCACAGCTAGAGTGGTATTCACTTTCCCATCTATTTTTTAAGGTATAACATTGAAATATACCAACCGTAGGTATATGTTAGCTGTATATAAAAACATAACCTTTGACCTGAAGAAGTAAAATTATAATTTTATTGATAAACAATCTAAATCAAGGTTTTTCCAAATAACTTCTTAAATATAATTATACAATGTGAATTTTTTTAAACCCCCTCTTATTGCTAGAGCATTCGAGAAATCAATATTTCAAATTTCAAGGTATAAAAAAAAACATCGAGCTATAAGGCATTTCGTAAGGATTTTTTATGTGTTTTTTTCGTAGGTACCAAACTTTTATAAACATAATTTTTATACCCATTGGCTAAGATTGAAATTGAACAGTGCATTGTATTATTATTAAACACTTTATGTCATTAATATTTTAAACAGTTCTTAAATTATGGCTCCGAGAACTAGTAGTTGGCCCGTATGGAGCGGTATATCGAGCACGGACAAAAATATAAAATCGGCCGACGATTGGATTGAGGCACGCCGAAAGGAAGACGGTGCAGACGAGTTGTGGAGAATTCACGATGGATTGTATAATCTTGAACAATGGATACACAAGCACCCAGGAGGACCACAGTGGTTGGAAATTACAAAAGTATGTACCTACTTAACTCACCTACTACTTAAAAATATATATTTCAAATTTTCAACCATAATAATATTAATGAACACAATACCAGATTGCATAAAATAATAGGAATAAATAATAATAAATACATCAAGAGTACGTAATATCACTAATAAGATAGGCACTTTCAAATTTAATAAATTTGAAACACGTTACCTTCATTAGAGACTAGAGTACATGTCAGTGACGTAGCCAGGGGGGGAGGCTGAGGGGGCTGCAGCCCCCCGAAATGTTAATAAAATTTAAAATTTAAAAATTATTTTAATGGTCTATGGTATTCGATCAAAAACTAAACAACCACTGTGTAAAAAATTGATCAGCCCCCCCTCCCCCCAAAAAAAAATCCTGGCTACGCCACTGGTATATGTATAGTATTTCCTTAAGCCTACGTATATCATTTTTTTAATACTTTTTACTATCAAAACAGGCACCATTCATTGACATTGTTATGTTAGGTAAACAACATATGTTATGGTCTAAGCGAATTCATGACGGATAATATTATTTGTCGAACAACATAGTTTTTGCTTTTAAAAATATTTGACGGTTAAATAAAATACAAATAATTAGATTATCACTATTATCTTACCACAAAATATATTTATCACATATTAAAAATGTGTTTATCAGTAAAATATATTTAATTATTACAGTTATAGTATACCAGTAAGTAGGTAAATATATTGTTTGACATTAAAATATTATTGTTAAATATTATCAAACATTCAAACACATCCACACTATTTTGTATTACTGTCTGAGACGATTTACCGTTTGATTTTCGTATTCGATTCGGCATTACAATACCCGAATAAAAGACAATAATAATAATATTATTCCTCGGAAAACAAAACGAAATCCCGAACAATAATTCGCTGTAAAACGTTACCAAAACGAAGGTTTTGTTGACAGGCAACAACAACTATACTTGATAGAAATATAGAATTCATACTCGTAAGGTGTAACGACCGTGTAAAATATATCGGCGGAATAATTTAAACCTCGGTCGTCTGTAACACGATGTCTAGGGCACTGATATCACTGAATTATTCGAGTCGTACCACGTGAACGGCAAAGCTGCGACGGCGGTGATGCACAAATTCTACGTGCGGCAGGCAGAGTCGCCCAGGAAATCGCCTTTCACGTTCAAGCCGGACGGATTTTACAACGTGTTGAAGTCCAGGGTCTCAAAAAAGTTGTCTTACGTGGACGGCGACAATTATCGCATAAAGTCCATGCTGGTCGTCGACACGTATTACCTGCTCGCGCTGGCCCTGTGCGTCGGAGTGGCTCAGACGGAAAACTTTTTCCTGGCGCTGTTGGCCGGCACCGTTTTGGCGCTCGGCACCGTCGCTAGTCACAATTTCACGCACCTCAAGGACAACTGGAGGATGTATTACGTGCAATTGGTATTATTATCCGTGCGGTGAGTTGTCGTTGTCGAACAATTATTTATTATTATATGTGAACTATTATTGGCGCACCGTCGTCATAATGTTATTTGGAATGCACGTTTCGTAGTACAGCCCGAGCCCGGGCATCGACGGGTTAAAAAGTCAAAGTCTAGTTGATTTTAACTTTTTTAAATTTAATTTTCACTAACTTATAATTGTCGACTCAACTGATTTGTATTGAAATAAACTTAATAAATAACGAGTTACATTGAATCAAATCCAATTTCGTTTATTTATAAATAATTAAATAATAAATAAGATAAAATTATTTTTTATGATTTATATTGCATTTACTTTTTATTGTTGTAAACCATATAACTAGCTATATTTATATATATATATATATATGTATACAAAATAACTTAACTTAAGTTAATAAGTTAATTATAAGCTTTCTAATAACTTATAACTTAACCGGGTTTAAAAAAAATTAGGATAACTATTAACTTTAAACTTTTTAAAATGTTTTCCATCAACTTAACTCAACTCAGTTAAAAATTATCATTGACTTGCCCTGGCTCAGCTTGACAATTTTTAGCGTTTTGTGATGTCTTTTTTTTTGTTTTTATTTTTAGCGAATGGAGAATATCGCACGTACTCAGCCATCATATATACACAAACACTGTACAAGACTTAGAGATGTCACTGTTGTATCCATTCATCCATTGGTTTCCGACTGCAGACAAACCGTTTACCGTTCGATTATTCCCATATCTCACACCCGTCATATACCCTTTTATTATTCCTGGCCAATTGGTCATTAGGTACCTATCTTTTGTCGTATACAAATAATCCAATATTGTACTATTACAAATTAATCATCATTGTGCGTACATAAACATTGTTTTAGAACTTTCAAGTGTAATAACGACAAAGCCGATCTACTCATGTTTGTTATACCTGCAATATTGATGTTATGTGGACAAATGACCATAAGTTCTGTAATGATTGCGTGGCTTGTCGTAGTTCTGACAAGCAGTTTTATGTTTACGTTCATTGGGTTCAGTGCTTCTCATCATTTTCCGGACAACTTTCACGACGGAGACTACGTCAAGTAAAAAAAAAAAAACATAGTTACATTTATAATTAAAATTGTTAGATACATTTCTTCCCACTAGATATCAATTTCGTAGGTATTGTATAAGGACTTGCTATAAGGATTGTGTATTAATATTTTACTAGGTACTAAAACTTAAATAAATAGTATAATATCAAAATATTGCGAATAAGCTTAAACAATTTTAACCATGCCATCTCGAAATGGTTACTCGTGGTATAGGTATTCAATTACAGATAAATTATTATGAGTTATTATACGTTTTGTAGTTAAAATAGGTAGGTACTTTAAATTCGACTTCAGAGTTAATTCTTTAAAAATAACTTAAATTATTGAGGTACACCATGACTCACGAGTCTTGATTTTTGAATATTATATTGCACCCACAATAAGCATTAAACATTTTTTTATATTTTTGTTATTTGTATTGCAATGTAATGCACGGTCATTATTATTGCAGGCCAATGGTCGTTACATTGCATAATTTATGCAAATTATTCTTTTAGGAGTTATCATGTTTGTTGGTAATATTAGGTTGTTTGAACTCTGGAGTGTCCTTATAGTGTTCTTAAAAATACCTTCAAAATGTGTCAACTTATCAATAGTTCTATTTAAATACGTCTCAGTATTATTTAATAGGTGTTTTTAGATTTAACAGCGTATTATTATATTATTATACATTTAACCGAGTTTAAGTCTTGTGTTAATAAGCTGCGTACAACTAATAATATTTTGTAATATTTAGAGGATGCCAAGAGACTAGAGTACAATAAATATTACAAGGACTATATTATTTTATACGATTATCGAAGTTCTTCGTTAATCGTTCCCGCTATTAATAAAAACACCACGTCCAAAATAAAAAATAAAATCATAATAGCCTTGGTTTTTTTTTTTTGGTCATTGCACGAATGTAATTTCGTAATTTATTTTATTTCTTGGTACCTAATTATAGTGTTTTGTCAGGTTTATCGAGGTTCGCTCAAAAGTTAAATTAATAATAACATAGTACCATTTTTCCAAGGAACTTTTATTTTGTTCGAATACCAATACTGCAATACTGTTTTATTTTTTTCTAGTGATGAATACATTGATTGGGGAATACATCAAATGATAACCAGTGCAGAACGAAACGAGCCGATCAATAATATATTTATAACGATTGCGACATTTGGTGACCATACATTACACCATTTGTTCCCAGCTTTAGATCACAGTTTAATACCACTGTTGAAAGACACATTCGAAGATACGTGTAAAGAATTTGGTTTGGACCTAACACCGAAATCATGTGCAACGATCATGCACGGACAGTTTAAACAATTATCTCGCGTTACTCCTAATAATCCGAAGAAGAATAATATTATCGGAGCTGACATAAAACTAGACAATAACATCTAAATATTATTCAAGAAAATTTGAACGAATATACAATATACATAACGTATGACGTGTAAGGAGGAAAATAACATAAATAAGATCCGGGACACAGAGATACTGCCATTGGGCGGTAATATAATTGTTATAATAGCCTATTTATGGCTAACAGTGTTCTCGGCTGAATAGTTATTTTACTATTTAAAATCATTATTTATTATACATTTTTATCATGTGATATTATAATAGGATATTATTACGATCTTGTCTATTAAGATGGTAACTAATTGCTAACCAGGCAATATATTTTTGTATTTTGCTTTTTTTTTTTTAGTGTTTTATATACCAACTATTTAGTATAAATTTACTATAATATACTTTGTGATAATTTGCTTCCAATTTTTAAAAAAGTATTGGTTTTTCAATGCTATATCCATGTTACTTATTAGAAAATATAAACTACTGTTTGAGTGAGAGTGTTTGGATATGCTATAAGTATGTACTTACCTAGATACACTATTACTATTAGCATTACACTTTTTACTGTTACTTAAACATTTTTTTATAAGCATGTTAAGTTTGTCTTGGAAACATTATGCATATTGCATATATTGTGGCTTTATATTTCAGTCGTAGGTAAACTACTTATGTAAAAAAATAATTATTAATTTGTTCAAACGAATACATTTAATAACAATCTACTTATCATAATATATTATTATTGTATAAATGTTTATTTGTAATAAATATAATTGTGTACGATGCCAATAATCATAACGATTGTCAATGGTCATACGAAAATATAAAATATGACACATATTTGAATTGATCAAAAATCAAACATGGAATGTTCATTAGCTTTGTGAATTTATATGCATTTGTTATTAGCCACTGTATTATGTTACATTTCTATAGCACTTATTATTCACTATGCATTTGTATTATAATTTATATGTCAAACTCTAAATATCACAAGGAGGGAAAAAAAATTAATTCAAAATAGAATAAGTACTAATTAGGTGTCTGGACCATGAAGGTTAGATTAATAATTTAGCCTTCGTGGTACTAACTACTAAAGTACTAATTGTATATAGTATAGTACACAGCATTATACCTACAATTTAACGATTTATGATTATCGTATAAAAATGTGTACCAACTCAACTACGAAGTACGACGTGAGAGGATTTGGCTGACCTAGTTCGTACGTTGTATAATCATCGCAGTGAATTGTCCTTCAATTAGTTACTTATGATTATATATTTATGGCGTATATTACCTATTTTATAACTTATATAAGATGTAATGTGTGTGCCATAACAAAATATATATTTGATTTTTATGAGTAACATAGCCCGTGAACTATAAGATTCTAGGACCAATTTCCCACCAAACATTTCTTATCAATAAGTAAATTTTTCTAAGATGGAAATTTCCCACCTATATTTTTTTTAATGGCATTATAATATGTTATAAAATATAAATATAATTATTTTTCAGATATTTTTAAAAACTTATATTTTTTGAATATTAATTAATCATAATATTGAAACTATACCAAGTAAGTAGTATGATAAACACAATAAAAATAATAACATATTTTTAAAACAAATGAAGTAAAACCATAACTTTAAATACGTTGATTATTTAGAGTGTAAAAAGAAAAAATAGCTTAATATTCTGACAAAAATGTTACTCTTTGTAAAATGTGACATGAAATAAATTAATTCATATCTATTTCATTAATTAATTTTACGTATTATCAAATGTCGTTACGTTAGTATTTTATTGACCGAACGTCTACATCTAAATTTTGATTTTAATAGCAGTTTATTATAAAAATTATAAGTACTAAGGTTCACGAAAAAACAGACCACCGTTCACACTAAAATTGTACAAGAAAAAAAAATATGCAGCATGTTAGATAGGTAATATAATGTCATCTTGTATTATAAATCTTGAATCATATTTATGTTCCTATATGTTATATGCATATGGCCTAATTTTACTCATACTGTAAAATGTAAATAAATTCCCTCAATACGCGTAGTACCCAAGTTCAACATATAGAAACGTACTTGTGGTATAAAATTTACATCGAAAAAAAAATCAACAGTCTAAAAATATGCTAAAATATGCGGACAACGATTTAGTGTTTTTTGTTACGTACTTGCATCTAAGGTGTTCGTAATGTATTCGACCTTAACTTCGCGTGACCATTATCCAAATATTTATACATAAAATATTATGTATATAAATGTATAATGCACCATTGTACATGATATTATATATGTACTTACCCACTACCTACCTAACTGTAATGTATTTTTATTATTATTATTATTATTATCATTATTATTATGCATAATACATTAATACATTTTGCAATCTCAAAATGCTCTAATTATAATAATTATTATTGTTTACTCTGCATTTTGATGAAATAATTAGTAAAAATATGATGTTGTTGTATTTGGCTTGGTTACATAACACACACACATATATATATATATATGCAAAAACCAGGTGGTAAAGACTGTTAAGTGTACCCACTTCATAATATTAATTTCCCAAAATGTGGTGTTTGAATTATGTAATGATTCTTAAGTATTCTCTCGGATTACCTTTTCGTTAATCAATTACTTAGGTATTAAAAATATTATTCCTTCTTTCCAGCAGTTTTAATGAATTCCGCTCATTTCGGTCTATATACGACTTTTTTGGTATCAATGATTTGCCAGTTTTCGACAAAATCGTCTTTGTTTTGTTTTGTTGAAATTCTAGAGACTTGAAATTCGCACCAATTATTTATATTTTAATTTTTTAAACAATTTAAAATCTAATATACTTATCAGATTGTTTTATAGTCGTTATTTAAGTTCAAGTCGAATTCTTATTAAATATAATCTATTGTTCCTGGGGACTGAATCTTTTCGTCACTGCGTGTATTATAGGTATTAATTACTGTGTGTAAAGTGCTAATATATTTGGATAAATTTTAAGCCGATTTTACTTTAAACCCATTCACACCGTTCTACAGCAAGTCGAAATTATTGACTTATAAGCAGTTAGCAGTAAGTTATAAAAGTAAGTAATATGATTCGAAATAGTATTATAATTTACAATTATTATTTTTAATACAAACACAATTTGTTGTACTTATAAAAACAAGAAATTTCGTTTTAAAGGAATAATTGTAATGCATTGTTGAAACTTGAGTTGGCATACAAACGTTTGTAAAATACAGACAAACTGTATTATTTAGTGAAATTATATCAGTTCTCCAATATTATAATATTATATTGATAGATTGCAGTACATACAGACTGCAGTTATTAGCCGGTATCAGTTTTAAGAATGTTTCAGTAGAAGTTATTTTTAACTCACGCGGTGCATTGTTCTCTGAAACAAATTCTTTTTTTTTCTCTAAAAAATACTATAAAACGAATAAACCCACTGAAACGTATCACACGCCATTTAGTAGGTACATATTAAATTTTTTACGAAGAAGTGATTTTTTATGGATTTATAACTGCACGACCATTTCCTTATACGGTGTATAATGATACTTTTTTTCTGCGTATAATTTATAGTATACATGTACAAAGCTTTCAATTTAGATTATTTTTCCACCTTCAGTCCTGAATTATAATATAATATACATTATTTATGTACGAGTACAATAAGTTGTATACAAGCAATCAATTGTTGTATTACGCGTGACGACGAATTTCCACTGCTCTTTTTCGACCTAGTTGGTATGCATCAATCTCGCTTCTTGTACCCATATAGGCAATTGTATAATTGTAATTGTAATTATGTACCCAAAACGTTTTTCTCTATGCAGCGAAGTCTCGCCGAGACGTAATCGCCTGGGGACGTCTAATTTTTCCATCTTAACGGAGTTCCCGACTTGGTGGGTGGGTAAGGGGGGGGGGTTCGCATAGTCATTACGAAGTTGAAAGGGGACCAAAGAAATTGTCCCTGTGTTACCGGGGTTTCCGTCTTACAGAAGCGCCGTCTTACCGAACTTGTATACCATACCTACCCGAGCTTCATTAATTGTTTTCGTCTTGCACGTCCGTTTTTCTAGTCTAACTTACAACCGCCGCCACGTTCCCGCTATAAGTCGTGGTTTGCCGAGGTCTAATGTCGAGTCCGACTCAGTAAGCAGTATATTGTACAAACCCGCCATCGGTGCGTATTACCTATTAGTTATCACACACCAATTTGATGCACATAGCCCCACAGGTATAGATAAACTAAATTACAATAAGACGGACTTCATGTTACCTACAGACTCATTGCTTGGACATAATTTATTTGCATATAATACACCAACCAACATTCAGCTCACGCGTTGCCGTAGATGGTTGTCGTATCACGATCAGTGTTCGAATTGTCGAAATGGGAGCAAGGCGACTCGGTTTACTCTACAAAAAAAGACCTCCCCCATCACTACTTTGTATGCGTTGTTGAACCACGAGGGGCATAGAAATTAGAAATGAGATTCAATTATTAATATTGTGTAAACGTAAATTAAAAAAAAAAAAAAAAACATAAATAACGACTAAAGATGAAAATAGAGGTAAAAATAATAAACGACGGGTTTTTTAATTGGTACGGCTGTATAATTAATTATATTATCATGATCGAAAGAATTAATATAATAATATAAGCCTGCAGCTGCCGCAGAAGGAACAAAAAAAAAAAAACACGTCTTGTACGCCTGTAACGAATTTATAATACCTAATAATTCGCAAATATCGCAAGAGATTTAGGATTTGACGTTTCCTAATAAACCATATAACCTACTCGAGCTGTACGCTCTTAGCATAATCCAATCCGATAAAAACGTATCCGACACATGTTATTATATTGTTCTGACGTGTATGGTGGTGTATGGTAGGTAATAGGTATCGAATGAATCTCGCCGTCTCTGCGGAATACGATTATTCCTTCAAAAATTGTTTTTAAATTTATATTTATTCGATATTGTTGTTTGTTATTATTTATTATCGCTCGAATTTAGCCATGACGCCCGATGCAGCGCCGAGTAGAGGTATAATCGAATTAAAAGCTACCGAATACTTGTTGGCGTGAGGTCCTCGGGGATAATGTAAATTTAAACATAATCATCCGAAAGTTTTTGATTGGCTTTTTAGCGGTTAGTATTTTAAACGCGGCGGCCAGAAAAGTTTTATTTCGAAATCGCACTATGTGGTCTGCAGCAGCCCTATTGAAAATATTGCTCACGGTATATATTATGAACATTTTAATTTTTTTTCAAACTTCTGCCAAAAGTTTGAACTAAACGATAATATAATATACTATACATACATATGCGGGGTGGAAACACGGTTATATAGACCTTAACTGCAACTTATGTATTTACCCTGACATTAGTTTAACAGCCTTTATTATTTCAAATACAATTTCACATCGGGGTTTGATGTAGGAACCGATGTAAAATTATATTACGGCGCACACTAGCGGTACCTATACTGGCTATACTATTATTTCACACGTGTCTTCGCTGATATATTTACGCACAATATTGAACAATAAATACAATTATAGCTAATGAGAGAATGATTAAGAATAATATATTTTATGTTATGAGGTCGTGGAATGGCCGCCCATTAGAGGGAACTCTGCACGTCTCCGACAAGATTTATTACAAGCAGTATTAACAGACAACAGTATAGGCACATAATATCGTGAACATGAATAGTTTTAGTCGTTTAAGTTTCCTAAATTTTTTTATGTTGCTATTAACATTGAATTCAGTATTTTTATCATTTTTTAAATGTTTTATTGTTATGAACTGAAGTACCATTATGGTGCAGAAGATGGTTA